ATGCTACTCTCCTTCAGTGGCAGGGAATCGAGGAAATTTTCCTTGGTCCTCGATGCAAGATTCGAGGAGCTGAGGACGGCTGGCGGGATGCCCGCTCGAGAATCACGAGGCTGCTCATACTCTGTAGGAACTCCTTCCAAGTGGCTGGGTCCGTGATAATTGAGCTCTGCATATGAGCATCAAGTCTGAACCTTTTGCGCAGAACCGTCGTCATACACATTTTGCGACGGTCTGCAATCATGTCTCAGGTGGGGAACGACATCTGTATAGTCAAGGGGACTGCTCATAGTTCTAAGGAGGAACACGTGGTCTGACACTGTTCTGGAAGCTAACGAATGGGGAAAAATCCCGTGGAATAAGAGCCCGCGCAACGGCTTGAGCTTGGTGCTTCCTCGCATGAACAGCACAGAGAGCAGAGGGTCATGCTCTCTCCATACTTCCAAGAGACCCCCGACGTTTATACCGAAGTATAGGCTCCGGAGGGCGTTCCATCGTATCCATCTCTTGTCCGCTGCGGAACTCGAGTCGCCCCCAGACAAACTCGTGTACGCCGCAATCGCCCGTGGGTTTTGGGGGATCCCTTGCTGAGAAATCATCGCAAGCCTCGACTAAATTTGAGGAGCTCGCGACGGCCGCGCTGGATTCCAACGCTTATACGGAGAGGAAGAAAAGCATCCTCACCTAGTTTGAGGAGCTACGTTCCATCTCGGCACGTAACACGCATGCAGTCGTTCGCCCGAGAATGGCACGGACAGCAATCAAAATGCAAATTGGGTCGACTGTTTGTTCGTTTGTTCGCGCCATATCAGAACGCAACATTTTCGAAGGAGACAATATGATCCTCAGCACGTCAACCTAGTCCTCATGGGAAAGCTCCTCGCGCATCGGGTCCATTCGATGATGATGATTTTGCCTCAGAACCGATCCGAGGGCTCTGGGCTCTTGGAGGGACTCGGATTCGAAATTAGAACAGAGATCGCCTTAAGCTGGATTGCGACGAGACCGCGCAGTCGACGCAATCAGCTCCATCTGATGCGATTGTTGATGCGATACTGCGGTGGAACTGATCCGCACGTCGCGCGAAGACCGCTGGAGCGAGTTTTAGTCGATCGATGCTCTAATTATTGTGAGAACAGCTCGCTAGTCTGGACTGCCGTCCCGGAGATTGATGGATACTTCTGCATAGAACCATATTGACCCAAGTCACCAATCGATTCAGATATCTTCCGCGTTCTTGCCTGTCGCCTCGCCTGCGACTCGAGACATTTCATCTTGGGACACGTGTCCAAGAAGACGGAACGCCAGAGATCCGATCAGTGAGACCGGGAAGGATCGATGAAAGAATAAAATATCAACTCGACTGATACGCATAGTACCTCATGTTCACGGCGAGTTCCATTCGAGGGCTCGAGCGGAGAAAAACGTGGTCAGACATGATCAACGCGCGGACTTACCCTGAGGGGAGTATTCGGAGTCCGCGGTCTCAACCACAGCGGATAGAAACCGACAACGGAACTGTTTGCTCCGCGTGTAGTCGGTCTGTCTGGAAATACTTCATCTGAATGCGGTATGCAACAAATAGGGAGCTCGAAATTATGTTGGGCAGCGTCTGCATTTATCGGAGAACATGCCCATTAATAGATTCCGCAGCTACGAGAACATACAGAATTTAGTTGTCAATTCTACGCATAGAGTTGACTTCGGTACCTCTAGAGTCGATCTCTCGAAATGTGTTCGTCCGTATCGAAGGACTTCCCTTTCTCGAATCGATATCAAGGAAGTCAGTCTGTGCCGTCGCCTGAAGCAGCCCAAAATGTGAACCATTCGATTGGGAGGAAGTAGTCCCAGTGTGCGAACGATTAGATTTCTCCCCACGCGACGCTAATTATAAATCAGAAGAGGGATCACATCGGTGGATTGGCTCTCAATTAGGGCACGTCAAGGAATGCCCCGAGAAGGCCGCTGCAGGATCAACATCGGCCCGTGCCCCGAAATCGACTTACATTCTCGAGGAGCCCTGCGGTACCCAACAGCGAGCCGCGCACTAACTTCTCGAGTTCCACCGCTCATCGAACGAATTTCCAGTGCTCTGAGCCCGAAGAAATCCCATAGGAGACTGATTTGTGGAGACTGAGAAACGATCGATGCCTCGGGACGGGGAGTCTAGACGGTCGACCCCAGGACCTTTCCCAATGTCCTGCGCCATATCCAGGGAAACATACGACGTGGAGCGATTTTTTTTCTTGAAAAAGCTTGTGCGGACATCGCTCGACTTAATACGCTCCTAATGTTCAAGGCATTCTTCGGCGATATAACAGCCAAGTGGGAAACATCTATTCTTGTCACGTCCTCGCTGAGAGGCTCCGGGGCTCACTTGGAGCCGCCCCCGATCAGACGATGCTTCATGTTTTAGCGCCGTAACGAGGCTGTTGCTGTGGCCTTAGGGCTGGACCGAGGACACTCTGTCAGTCGGTCGGAGCTGCAGACCTATGAGACACAAGCCTCTGATAGACTGTAGAAATCCGTGATCAACTGCACTAAGATCATTTCCAGACGACCCGACAGAAGGAAAATACTCCGATCGCTGCTCCTTTGTCGATCTCCGCAGCTGGACCTAGGTCGAACTGTAACGCTGTGCATTGGCACACCTCGTAAAAATTCGTTCCTTAATTTTGCCGCCCCCGATTCCTTGAGGGTATTCTCCGAGCATAAAAATCGATGTGCTTGTGTCAAGGAGGGTTCGAGCCTGGGAGCGAGCAAGCACCGCGGAACTGCAACGTCTTTTCTTGACGAGCCCAACGGGTCGGTCGAACTCCGGCGGGAGGAAATCAACGCATCGGCGTGCGACAAAGACCCTGCGAGTTTTTTTTCCGATTGCTCGTGGTTGCCCCTCGTGCCGTTGAGACGATCGACTGGAGTTTCAGCTCGCTCCTCCATATTTCAATCGAGTCATGATTTCGACAAGCTGCTCATCCGATTTTATCGCAAAGCTGAAGATGAAAAACTATGGGGAAACTCGAGTGGCTTCTCGTGAGTCCCTCGATCGGCTTTTCGGAGATTCACAAAATCCTCTTTCCCAAGAAGAATCCCTCGCAGAGAGAAACGATCGCGGCGCCACAGCCGAACTCGTAGGTCCCGGCTTCCGAGAGAGAAAAATAGAAAAGTCTGAAATCGATCCAAGTTCGAGAAGAGGTCGCCCCTCAATTGCGACGTCCAGCTTCGTATCTACGTTGATTACAGATTTTATCCTTTTCCTTTTTCTGCAGGATCGGCGTACATCGAAAGCTTCTCGTTTGTGCCGGTTTTGTCTTAGGCACCGGCGGAAGTTTCTCTTCGCTGGGACAGCGGTGGTATCGTTGACTGCGCTCTTGTTGGCGATCTGCATAATCATTGCGCAAGGTGAGCTCCATTCGTCCCTCGAGAAGCCCTCACAGTCAGAGATCAAAACGGTCCTAATTCTCCATGATTGCAGCCAAACATCGTCCCGTCGAGATCGAGGGAGAGTATCATCATTTCAATTATTTCGGAGCTCCCACGAACGGATGTGTTGCTCTGAAGATCCCGCTGTGCCACAAGCATCGGGTGCCGTACTCGCATTCCGTTCCGGGCCACGAGATTAACGTCGACGAGATAGCCAAATTCGAGCCCATGGTTCAGATAAAGGTAGGCACGAAAGATGACAAATTCACGAGTACATGCGAGTCTCCTTTTTTCTTCGCATATACATGCGTATGATTTGTCTTTCCTGAAAAGAGCATCGGAGCCCCGACTGGAAGGAAACTGAAACCCCTTCCGCATTCCATCTGTTGGAAGCTCCCTATTGCATCGTCAACACAAGTGTTAAACAGTGCACGGCAAACATTCGAACGAAGCAGTGTTTACATGGGACTTTGAGAAGCCCTTTTCATAAAACTCCTTAAACAAACGAAAGAAAGTAGGGAGGAACGAGAACCGACAAGCGAGAGCTTGGACGAAAAGTAAAAAGGATTGGTGTTTCAAAAGAGCCCCGGTCCGCTCCTTTCCAGTGCTCCAAACTGCTGCCTCTTTTCGTTTGTACAACGTTCGCTCCATCTTGTGTGAGCCGGGGACGCGAAGTGCCTCCATGTCGATCGTTGTGCGAAGAAGTCATGCGATCGTGTTCTTTCTTCATGGGCGTTTTTTCACTCAAGTAGGTTTCGGCTGGAAGCTGACTGTGTTTCTCAAGGACTGTTCCAGAATATTCCGAGCTCTCTCGGGTGTTCACACCTTAATTGCTTCTGCAGGTGGTCGCGTATCGAAGGCTGCTCCGGCTTACCCGAGTCAAGTGATCGAAACGTTTGCGTTGGAAGGAACGAGATCGAAAAACTACGCATGTCGAAAGAAAGTGCGTATCTCCTCCAGACTGTCGAGCTGCTCGTCGATTTCGGACGAGTATGCACGATCGCACCCTATCCTCGGACTGCTCGAAAATAATTCTTGATCCTTGCAGGATGCGACGGCGGGTTCCGCTGCGACAAGAGTCGTTGTATCTCTCAGAAATGGGTTTGCGACGGACACTACGATTGCCAAGATCGCTCGGACGAATTGAATTGCAGTAAGTATCAGGCTAGCAATGCTCCATCGCACTGGAAGCGATTATTCCATGTGCGACCGGGGTCGTCGTTCATCGCGCGACCTACAGATATACAGTACAGGAGTGTGTTCCAAACTGACTTCGTTTGGAACAAAATTACTGACTCCTGTTTTTGCTTAAGATTTTTGGATGGACTATCTGACAGGCCGCTGCCCCGGCGAGTTTCGTTGCTCCGGATCGGCTCGAGAATGCATCACGAAGAATAAAGTGTGCGACGGAACGATGGATTGCGCTGATGGATCGGATGAGAGACAGTGTTGTGAGTTGCCGTTTCACCGGTATAGAGGGGGAGGGGGCAAGGGGCTGAGGAGCAAAATCCGACGGGTATCGACTCGGGAGAAGGGGGTACGGGGGGGGGAGAAAGTATCGCAATCGACCGGAAGATAGGCCAACTAAGGAGCCTCCTCTCGAGTTTGAGAAAATGGGGTTCTGGGGAAATAGACGACTCGTGGCCTCCAGGAACTTGATACGATCGACATTTTCTAGTACAACTCAACCATCGCATGGGTTTCGTTGGCGAGGGACGACTCGAGATGTTCTCGACACAAGCGGAAGGCTTCGTCCCTGTGTGTGCTGAGGATTGGGTCAACTCCGACACCATGGCCGCGCATCCCGCAAAGAACGATTGGAGTCAAAAAACATGCCGGATGCTCGGCTACGAACAAGCGCAGGTAGGTGCTCTTCCGCTCTGATTCCCATGTTCTATGCTGAACTCTGAAATGAGCCAGTTTCTCGGTTCAGAGATGAGTTTTGCAGCGTGACGTGTTATCCGCAGGAAACTCGCATCCGAGACGATTCACCCTCGATAGCCTTCATCGGCGGACGTCCGCCAGTGAGATTCCATCCATCCCTGCGGAATGGCCTTTCTGCGCCTTCAGAGGACGAGCCGCGATATTCGATCGACGACCTCAGGTCCGTCTCGAGAAACCCCAGGACTCATCTCCGAGAGGGGTCGAGGAGAAATCCCGCCCCAGAGCGGAGTGTCCCGACATCGACAGCAGGCCCGCTAATTCGACATTTTCTTCTCCTCAGGGAATTCCGTAAAAAACTTTTCGATCGCCAAAAGGACACGGCTTGCGCTTCGTCGAGCGTTTCGGTCTACCTGAAGTGCACGAACTTCTGTAAGCATCTATTCAGGCTACTCGTTCGATTACATCAGATGATGATATGCGGGTAGCGGCTTCAGAACGAGTATTGTCTCCCCGATCGTGACGCGGTCAGCTCTTATAATCTTGAGATGGAGCTCATGCTGACTCATAAGAGCATCCGAGTGACTTCACCTCTGCAGAGCGTTGAGGGAGCTGAGATATGCGCCTTCTAATCAGTCGCAGCTGTTATTTCCCAAATGGGGTGGCGATTGCGTTCCCACCGCTGAAGTGGAGATGGGGGAAGGCGGTGCATAAAAACGCGTAATGATAGCGTGTTCTCCGGAAGGTATGCAAGTGAGCTCGGTCGAGAGCGCTCCCCGAAGTTTGACATCGGACTGGGCTAACCCTTGAGATACGGCAGCTCGAGGCTGAGCCGATTGCAGAGACAATCTTTCCAAGCGGACCAAGCGTCCGCGGCGAAACATCGAACGAGTATTCCAACGAGCCTGACTGATAGACCGTATGTTTCAAGCACGAAAAAATTTATTTCGTTCCAGCTTGCGGTCGACGTGCGGAAGACATGCGAATCAAGCCTCAGTCGAGGATCGTGGGAGGGAGCGAGTCCCCACCAGGAAGGTGAGCGCATGGGGTCAGAACATTCAACACAGAAACTCCAGTGTTGTCCAGGTCGGCTGCCGGCTATTCTCAGAACCAATCGATTGTAGGTGGCCGTGGCTGGTTGCTCTACACGGCGGCAGTGACCATGTCTTCTTCTGTGGTGGAGTGCTCATTTCGTCGTGGTGGGTTTTGACAGCTGCGCATTGCGCTGGAAAGTGAGTACCGACGAGGGGTGCCTTGAGCCGCTGACTGAATCCAATCCCGATTTTCTCCATGTGACGGGAGTGATATGAATTATTCTTCTAGCCTCACCGATACGAGTGGTTGGCTTCTTCAAATGGGGATGACAAGACGAAATTCCTATCAACATAGTTCAACTCAATCGAGGAAAATTCAAGCCATTATCAAGCATCCAGAATACAACAACGCATCCCTCTACAATAATGATATCGGTGAGCGGAGCCATCCGAGGTTTCATCTCCTATCGATAAATCGGGGAGGGAGCACTCGGGGACTGCGAGTAATTTCTTTATGCCGGCTCTCTCTTCGGGAATTCCTACGGCTTGTCCGTTCAGACCGCGATACTTCTGCATACCACTGGAGATAGTTGAGTCCGCTTTCCGCTACATGCGATTCCGCGGACGACTCCACGACGATCATGAGGCCGAGAGCGTCTCAGAAGAGCTCCTTTAATTGTAAGAGCTTATTAGATGACATGGTCTCCATCGGTGCCTGATCGAGAGCTCGTTCGACTGCGGAGGAGTAGCCAGTCATGCAGACTCAATCAATGAATACAGCTCTGGGTGGTTATAATAGTCCTGGAAACCGCTGCCAGTTCGAGATCGATGAGCACCTAATACCGATCTGACGCGGGGAAGGTTACCTGCGGAGAGAGTTTACTCCGGCTCGATTAGTGAATCCCGGGCAGAATAAAATCAGAATTGTTTTTAGCGCTCTTGTTGATCTCGGAGCCTGTGAACTTCGACGACTTCTTGAGGCCAGTGTGTCTTCCACCGCAAGACGCCCCGGAGCCGGGCACACAGTGCACAGTTGTAGGCTGGGGAAAACCACATCACGGAGAAGGTAAGCGGAGCCTTCGTTTCTGGAATCAATGAGACGAAATGAAGAATTTCTCTCTCCCGGCTCTCACTGAGCAACGTATTCTCTTTCTTTCAGACGTGGATTACAATATGGTCATCCACGAAGTTAGCGTGCCCATTGTCGATTTCGAAACCTGCCAACAATGGTACAGTAAGGTAAGTTCTTGCAGCCAGCCCGAAGGGACTCCGAACCCTACGATTTGGACCGTGAGTCCGGATCTGGATGTGCGCATGCGTTTTCCTTCTCTAATATCGAACTTCCCGTTTTTGTCAGGAGTATACGACACTGTCGGAATCGATGATCTGTGCGGGCTATGCTGAAGGGCAGAAAGACGCTTGTCAAGGAGATTCTGGAGGTCCCCTGATTTGCAGGTAGGTCGCTCAAAGGCTTGCCTGTCATTCGATCTATTCCCAAGAGGTTTCCCATGCTTGAGGTTCGCTTTCTCACAGAGAATCATTCTCGTCCCCTAGGTCGGAAGCTGATGGAGCGTGGTTCGTTGCGGGAATCGTCTCGTGGGGTATCAAATGCGCTCAACCACACTTGCCGGGCGTGTATACGAACGTTCCGAAGTATCTCGATTGGATCCAGGAGGTCACCGAAGATTTCAAACATCCCTTGAGACTCTGAACGGGAACAACCGTCGGAATCGATGAGAACAGGGTGCCGAATGAGTTCGAACGAGCAACCAAGATCCTCGATAGCCGATTAATTCGAGTGACATGACTTTTGAGACGGGGTTCCCCGAGACGAGCGGGAAGGAGATTTGTTGCTAGTTGAGCGTGTCATACGAAGCGTCGCGGAACGAAACCAAGTCTCATGAACAATCAACCACTAGTGAGATCGCCACACCGAGGCAAAGTGAGATTTTTTTGCTATACAAACAAGAACACATTATTATGTATAACACGCTTGCTTGGATGAACGAGAGCTTTGGAGTCGAATTGTGCGGGTCGGGTGCGGGAGACGACGGGGACAAGCAGTCGTTGCTCTCGCCAGTACAGCATTGACCGGAGGACTCGTAACGAGCGCGTGGGAACCTGTATTTTCACACTGATTGAGATCGCAAATATATCGCTTGTGAATGCACAGCTCTCAACGATAGGCAAAGTAGTCGAACAACCGGATGGATATTGGATATCATCGTTGTTAATGACAAATCGAATAGTGAGATCACAGCGGAACTGATTCGCTCGAGAAACAAACAAACGTTTTTATTGTTTCTCTTGGAAGACCGAAAGTGAGATTTTTCTGAACTGTGCGTCGCTCGGTAACGATGAGTCGCTGTAGGATCGAAATCTGATCGACCCACGTGTAAAGCGCCGAGTATTCTATTAATTAGTTCGTGCGCCGTAGCATCGAACCCGATCAGCCTCTCCAATGTAGACTTCAGAGAAGAAAGTATCGAACCGGTGAGCTCTATACGGGATCGAGAACCCACAAGTCGCAATTATTATTATTATTATTATAATTAATATTATCATGGTTGTAGAAGCGACCGGGAGCAGATATAAGTGTCTTTAGAGTATTGATGTGGAAATAGATATGAACATAATCAGCTCGCCCGTCGTCGGAGAGGAAAATGAAGGTCAAACGAAGACGGTGTAGCCTCGCCCGCAGTAGAATCATTGAAAAGCCTCGATTCTCCCTCATTCAGGAAGAAGGGAAATTCTTCGATGAGAATACGTTGACTCAAGCGAGTGGAGTATGGAGCGGCTCAGAGGAGTGGCGGCGTCGCATCCGTCATCGTCCGATCGTATACGTTCAGCCTGTTCTCAACCAATATGATACATTCTTGGTCTATTCCTAGTGTAGGCGGAGCACTGCTGATAAAGATATTCGTGGTACTGCAACTTGTTAATAGCCAATTATGACAATGGATGGATGCAGAGGGCGATAGACTGTTTAGATATCCGACAAACGTACTTATCCAATATTTATCACAATTGATTGATATTCACTGTTGATCATCGGAGGACTAAGGAAGCGAACTCTCGAACATTCTTCTCACTTTGACAGAGAGCCTCGGTTCATCAGGTATGATTGCTTCAGTCAGCAATGGGAGCGAGAATACCAGATGCGTTTATTCTGCAGGGTCTGACCTCATGGTACTTCGGTCAAATAGTGAGACTTCCCGAAACTTATCTGAAGTCGTGTAATTTCCGTTCTAAAATTGAGGAAGCCAGTCGTCGAGAGTTCGAGAGCTGCGCGATATTCGAACGAGAAACAAAGATGCCCCGAAAGCGATTGCTAGCTACTCATCCATAAATTCAGGAATCTGACACGCGTATCATTGCGGTGTTTGCTACATAAAGAGACAAGAATTTCAGCCTACCAGTTTGCTTTTCCTGCTTAGTCGGGCAGGATTCCAGAGCAAAGCGCTCATTGAATGCAAACGTTCCGTTCGATGTTGTATGAACAAATATCTGACTCCCCTGACTGAATGGAGTTCCCCTCAGAATTTTATACCTGTAATTAAGGAGTAGTTCTTTCGCTTCTCAGTCGGTTGAAACCCAAGTTGGCACGACCGAGTAGCGCGGACAGGAGCTCCAAATCTGGAACCGCATAAAGTCCGAACCTAAGGGGTGTGAAAGGAAACCTTAGCGTACAAACGACAAGTTAATAAAAAGAGACTCACGGAATCACAAAGGAGTCAAGCATACATACTAACATATTGTCTAATGTGACTCGAACCGAGACAAGAAAGTGAGAACGCAAAGTAAATGTTGTAAGTACAATCTCAATAAAGCCAGCTGCTTTTCCTTTAGCTGATATGGGATGGAGATGTTTTCCCTCTCGGAGCGACCCCCTTATTCTCTCCCTGGGAAAACCTGATAGACGTAGAATCCTAAAGGTTGATCTCGTGAGGCAGGAAGAGGAGATGTCGGAAAGGGGAGGCTGAAAGATCTTTGTCGACAGCCGGTATCGGGCGCCGGCGTCGGTCAGGGTCCTATCACGTAGTCTCTCTTGCATTCTATTGGTTCGTCGCTCCTGGAAGGTCTCTCCTAGATCGCTGGTCCAGAGAATCTATGGGATTCGCTACCCGAGGATACAGAAAATCTATATTTCCGGCGAACTAATTAGCGCGGAACACTGAAGAGGTGTTAAAGAAAGTATGGACTGATCGAGGCGCTCCCTGAAAAGGGCGAGCTTTACTGAACAATTTCTCAGCTCAATTTGGGTCGTACCCAGTCCTCCACGAGCTCATCGACTTGCGGCACTCCGCGTCTGAAGTCTCTGGGGTCGAACATTTTTATGAGCCTCACGTAGCCTCCGATGGCTTCACCAAATGAATTATTGTCGATAGCCGTCAAAGCTTGCTGGAAGATGATGAATCCTTCCAGAGTTTCTCCGCTAGCGGTCTCCAGGTCCTTGAGCAGCGGTCCGAGGTTCCGATTGATACGGCCGATGATTATGCGTGAGCAGGCCGTAGTTTCCGAAAAGAATCGGATGATACCTTGAACGTCCATCGACGCTGCCACCGTGAAGTAGAAAACGATATCATTCGACTTCACCATTGTTTATCCCAATCACCGCGAGAAGATCCCAGATCAAAGGCGACTGCACTGATTCTGGAAGTCTAATTTCGTCGTCGGATCTGACAAGATATCGAGCTGCACTCTTATGTCATGGGACCTAGAACCGACCAAGACCCGACTGAAGGCTGACTTTCAGGACAGACCCTGGGATGCTCTAAATGTGTTCCCGAGGGGTTTCCGAGCCTTATGGAAGAAAGGGATACTTTCGCTCCTCGACTCCAAGACCAAGAGAAGTTTTCGATGTGAAGCATCCGTGCGTGTTGGCGGCAGCGGTAGGAGCCTGAATTCCAGAGGTCGGAAGTAGGAACTCGAAGGACACCTCGATTTTGGAATAATTTCTCTGTGAAGATGTGCCCCACGTTCTGCGTATCGTGCATTCGTCTTCCCAGTGAAGCGGACGTACGAGAGAATTTAACCCATGGGGCACGATACCCGGGACTTGGGCAGCCTAACGATCAAGCAGAACTCGCATGGAGTTCCTGAAACCATGCGAGAGATCCTATGAGGGTCTCCTCTGTTGTCCTACCCAGAACAGAGTCAGCCAGATTTCCTCGGAGCATGAGCGAGCTGATCCAACCGATGACTTGACTCTTGACTTGATAGAGACGAAGGAGAGCAGACAACATTCGCGTGAACCGAGGAGACCTCCGAGGAAACCCCGCCGAGGAGTCGTTCCGACCTGGGCCGGAAGCCAGGCGGACTGAGAGCCGATAGAATTCGCACACAGAAAATTCAAGACCGGAAGTTTATTCGCAACCTCATATACATACATACTTTCATGTACACAGTTTATCTATTTGCGGTGGCCTATAAAAGCGTCTCGTCCCGCTTTCATCGGGAGGTGGATAGGTGAGTCAGCCGGACTGATAGTCTCAGGTACTCATTTATATTCTCAGAGAATCCGCGTCTCGGCGGCGAAAACGGTCGATTCTGAAGGGCGATGACGAGCGTTCTCCCCCTCGCTTACGCACGGAAGCGTCTTGCCGACTCGAGGAGCGTGAATGCGGTTCTATGACACGATCGGACCCCATAACCGCGATCGAATGTTCTCGCAGGCTCGTCAGTTTCCGGAGATGTTGAGGGTGACAATCTCTGGGCTTTCCTACTTTCGGGATTCCGGAAGGACCGGATCCTGTTCTCTAGTCCTTGTGTTGTCAGGACTTCGCTGCTCAGTCATTCAGTCTCAGCATGGCTCCGCAGGTGCTTTCGACCACGGTTACAGCATCAATGCCGATCGCGTCATCGATGAGGAATGTCGAGCTTAGATTACTTTGAGAGAACTTTTTCTCCTCGAGTGACGTCCTGGAACCGAGTAATCATCGTTAGCTAGAAAGTCGTACTCGAGCCCGGGAGGTACGCTGAATATGGACACAATCGAACTTTTCCACCTCAGGAGTTGCTTGAATTTGCTCCTCCGCAAGTGAAGCTGGAGCGCCTTCCGACCCTTCTCCAAAGATTTGACGAATTTCCCGATGCCGGGCACGCTAAGCCAGTATGAACCTATTTGAACCAATTATAATGAGTTGAATATTTCAAAATAACTCTGATTTCGAAACAGAGGAGGTACTTGGCGCTGTCGGGGGGACTCGCTCCAACCCCCTCCGCGCAGGTCACGCGAGGAACTCACCAATTATATTTCTGCGGGTGAGAACCCCCATCTGGACAAGTTCGCTCACGTCCTTCTCGCTGAATACTTCCGACAGCTCTTCTCGGGTATAAACTTGACTGGGATGTAGGTTCACCTGAAAGTCAGCCGAGTTCGGAAAAGATTCCATCAGCATGCTTGTCCGCCGAGCACGGGGTGTCTCACCCCGCCGAGAGCAACTTACCATGCCCACGAATTTCTCCATCAAAGCAAGATTTTTCGGTTTGATCAGACAAAACTGGACGTATTCCTTGAAGGAGAAGGATATTAACTCATACAAGCTTCATCTTGTCATGGAACGCATCGAACTTGGATTGTTTTCCATGTTCGCTTACTTCGAGATCGACGAGAGCGGTTTCTTCATCTTGGATTCCAAGTCGGATTGCTCTTAGACGGCCGGATTCTACAAGTTCGTTTATCCGTCTGTCGACCAGAGTTCTGTTGTCTATATAGGCGTAGAGCATATGCTGCATGATCTGCAATCCAAAATTGTCTGGTCGGCCCCTATTCATCAAGTTAATCAGATCACGGGAAGGGCCCCGAGTACCTTGCTGGGGGCTCCTCGGACCGATCGCCTCGACGGTGAAAGTTGTCGAGCGTGAATCGCTCAATTCTCTGCACCTCCGATATTGAACCGATAAAACCTCGAGTACTCACTGTGCATAGCTTGAAGTTTTTCCGGCAAGAACAACGTTCATTGTACTCTTGCCGAATCTTCATCATGACCAGATCCACATCGAGTCTCGATTTTTTTCCCGGGCCCAAGCTCCCCCCACCCGGTAGGGAACGTTTAGCACACATCCTGGAATCCCGCGGCCTTCCACTGTATCCTCTACGCGTCTGTCATAACACTCCGTTCCAAGCTACCTCCTCATCCCGGTTGAAGAACCCCGATCTTCTTCCCCAGCGGTGTTGAGAAGATCCCACCGGAGATTGAATTGGTAAAACGGTAGGAACTCTCCCATGGAACTCTTCTTCCCGAGCACCGGATATTAAAGTACGAAGACTGAGTTTCTTCGTACAAGGTACTCGACACAGAATGATCGCATCTCCCCCAACTGACCGAGCGCCGCAGTGTCTGCTGATACCGCAGCTACGATCAGCTGGTGTGGAGGAGCTAAATAAAGACCGGGGTCAGAATTTACCGAACACGCGCATTCGCGCCGACTCACTGCAGCTTACCAGGTGGCATAGCACGATACTGAACGAGCTCTCGCCGGCTCGGGCTCAGAAGCTGCATTGAGACCCCCTCCGGGTGCGAGTCCACGGAAATTCCCACGAGTCGCGTAGAGATCCCCAATCTCCAACAGAGGTTTTCTGCTTCATAGAGGGTTCCGGTTTTCTCGACGACAGCCTTTCGGAGAGGAGGAGAAGGACGGGGAGCAGCCGCTCGTGGTCGTCGAGCCGCCGTCGTCGATTCCACTGTGCGTGGATTCGTTGCATTCGGCAGCAGGTTCCAGCTTGAGCTGTGTTTCTAAATGAGTGCGTGTGAGTGTGTGACCGAAGCCGTACATTAAAGTACGATAACTGATTACATCCGAACGATGGCTCCATTGAACAACTCCGAAGTATTGTATGCGAACTCATTCGAACCTCACGAGCAGTACAAGAAAGGGATCAACGCTGTGCTGCTAGGGCCACCGGGCTCCGGCAAGGGCACTCAGGCCCCTAGATTGAAGGATGAGTACAATGTGTGCCATCTGTCCACGGGAGATCTGCTCCGGGCCGAAGTGGCTTCGGGCTCCGAGCTAGGCAAAACTTTGAAACAAATTATGTCGGAGGGTAAACTCGTTGATGACACCCTTGTGGTTTCGATGATTGAGAAAAATTTAGACCGGCCCGAGTGTCTCAATGGTTTTCTGCTCGACGGCTTCCCCCGGACTGTTGTTCAAGCTCAGAAACTCGACGAACTCTTGGAACGTCGCAAGACCCAACTGGATTCGGTGATCAATTTCAGCATCGATGACAATCTCCTCGTGAGGAGGATCACTGGTCGTCTTGTTCATCCCTCCAGCGGTCGGAGCTACCATGAGGAGTTCGCACCTCCCAAGGTCAGTGAAACTCTCTTTATTCTTTTTCTTCTTGTTCTTTTCTATATCATGTGATTCCTCCTCCTCGGCTCTCGTGGCCGCTGGCCGCGCGGCGCGACCACATTTCGAGCCGTCAGACTTGGAACTCGTTCCTGTCTGCAGAGCGCGGTCAAGGGGTCCGCTTCTCGTTGAATGTCCTTTCGCGTGTCACCCAACCGGATTCCCCACGACGAGCTCCCTTCGGATCTCGACCGGGGAATCTGACGTGCCTACATATGTTCTCCGGGTGTCGCGAAATACAACGTCGGTGTGGGGTCGCGAAATCACGAAAATCATCACGAAGTGAGACTCATGCTGCGCTCTCGCATAAGGGGACCGATTGCGAGTCTGCGTTGTGATTATCGTCTCGACGGAATGGGATCGAATTCCGAATGGTCTGAGCTTGCACTCGGCGTCTAATGCTCACTCAAAGACTCGCTCCATGTGAACCCGAGAGACTCAGCGACAGCGGAACTAAGAAGGATTTTTTTCTGTCTCAGATGTCGATGAAGGATGATATTACCGGCGAGCCTCTGATCCGGCGGTCCGATGACAACGTGGAATCTCTGAAAACGCGATTGGAATCGTACCACAATAAAACATCTCCGCTGATCCAGTACTATCAGCAGCACGGGATCCACTCGAAAATCGATGCGAGTCAGAAATCTGATAAAGTTTTCGGAGACATCCTGAGTGCCTTCGAGAAAGCACGGAAGCGTTTCCCTACGAAGCCATCCGAGAATTGAAGATTTAGTAACAAAGTTCACGGAGTGCATGATGCTACACGAGCGATTTCGTTTGCGATGGAATGAAATGTCTCCCTTAAATTTCAATTTCGCTTATTGAACGGAGTTTGCTTCGCTGTCGGCGAGGAAGAGACGGAGAAACAACGACGCGTCGACCCTAGAGGAACCTGAGCGAAGTGTGATAAAGAGGAATTAAGCCTACGAACCTAATGGAAACTGCAATCTCACTACTGAAAGATCCACAGTGGAAACCACCGCGCTCAAAACGCTCGATGGATTCGGAACGATTCGCTTACGTGATAATTGAAGCTTTTTTCAAGCTAGCAAGTTCATCATTTCATATACCTATCCACGGCCGGAATCAATTTGTTATGAGCCAATAAATGCACTAATGTTTTGATTTAAACCGAGAAAACTATCTTTGAGCTTTCGCGCGGAACCTGCGCTGCGCCGGTGTCCCCCGCAGCTGGGACGTGTCGGATCACTCGAAGGTCTCCCCTGTGTTTCGAATGAAATCGTTCTGATCGAGGGAAGGTGACTGAACTCGCTCGCTCTCCCAGCCGTGGTCCGTGGTGCCAATCGGACGGTAGCGGAAGGAGACTCGATCTTTTCTTCCGTTCTCGTGACGAGGGTGCCGAAAGACGTACTGAAGAGCTCCGGGAATATGTTCCCGCTCATAGATCTTCCCCTCTCTCCAACGAGGAAGAATGCTAAGCGCTCTCAAAAGCGACGAATCATCACTCTCTAAAGCGGGGAACAATCAGGACGACCGATAATCTTTATCGTTCGCTATCTTCGCTTGGTTCAGGTTTTCGGGGCATGACGTAAGGAGGAGTGCGATACGCATTGGGGCGATAACAAGGCGCCAAAGTGCTACGTAATCGTCAGTCGGCTGAATACAACGAGTATCCCTTTCGGTCAAGGAGCGAATCCGCTCGATTTGCAGCTTGAAGCCGGGGAAATCCCAGGAGGAGAGCGGATCGGTTGGGATCGAACCCATCCCAACATCCTTTTCCGTTTTTCCCGAAGACTCCCAACAGTCAATCATCCGGTGAACGCTTCGCTGAATCAGCACTTATCGAAGATTTTATTCAATTTCTTCCTGATCTGTGTTCGACTAATATCATTCGATTCTTCGATATACATAATTAGGTTTATCATGCTCCTCTAGTTCGGAACATTCTAGCGGGTTCTAACTCGGTAGGCCTTAACTTAAAATACGATACTCCATGTGTGACCAAGGTTCTCGGAAACTTTATTGTATGGGTTGCCGACCCAGAAGCTTCGAGGAACGGTGGAAACGGCTAAACAATCAGAATGGTCAGTCATACACAACGATCGAATGGAGACGTTCGAATACCATTCTGTTACATTCCATCGAGGGTTCCGATCGGATCTCCCTCTTCACAATTCGAAGTCAAATATTCTTGAATATCATCTCCTACTATAAGTATCATCAAAAATATGATGTAATCATCTCGTCACGTTATGCAGGCGTCCTGCATTCCAGCTATAATAGATTAAAATGAGAGTTTCGGGAATAGAATGTTCACAGAGCCTATGACCGCGCAGATATCTAGCTGCCTCTGGTGGAACGAACGAACGAGCGAGGCTCCGGAGGGTCTTCGTCGTCGGGCTCAAGATTTTCATCATGACCAGTTGTTCGGAGTTTTCAAGAGCAGTAGTACCTCTCTGTCGCCTTCGTTACTCCTTTCAAGACCACAGTCGAGACGGAAAATTTTATACGGTGGAAGGAACGATCCTCTCGGAAAAAAATCTCTGAGTTCGGGTTCAATCGTCCCCGAAGAAACTTATCGGGTTATGATATCAACAGCAGCGGGAGCTCCCTGATATTTGTGACCCTAAAGATATCATTGGTGTGCACTTATCTATGGATTCTGATGTAGATGGGTCGCTACGCGGTGAGAACGGGATGAAAATGAAAGTGTTGTACTAATGGGTGGATCTGCGTGAGTTTTTTGGTGGGTTCCACTTAGGCACTTTATCGGGATCGATCAATGAGCCGTAACCTGTATCGGTGATTTTCTTCAATGCAGTCTTCCAGAACTGCATCGCCCCTGCATACATGCTGCTCCGCTCGTCGTTGTAGCGTTCACAGTTCCTGAACATCAGGAGGATGTCGTCGATGAATTGTTTATTATGTTGGTATCCCATGTTGTTCAGCGAGCTTTGGATCGTGGATAGGTCCATCGGGTGCTCGATTATGTCAAAGTAATCTGGAGCTTCCTTCTTCGTGACAGGTCTGGAATACGAAAGCCAGGTGAGCACTCGTCGTCGGAGTCACTGCGCTCACTGGGGACTCGGGCCATGGGCATAAACTTCGAAATCACGGGAGAATGATTGAATCCAATGCTGAAAGACGGCCAAGTCAATATTACCTTCGAAACGGGAAAGACAAGTTATCTTTCACGAGCGTCTCAAGGATTTCTGTGCATCCTTTGTAGTCGAACCCATCGACCTCGACAGCCTGTGAAAGGGAGGGGGGAATCAGTTCTCTTACTCAATAACAATCTGGATGATCACGAATCGTTCCTACTCCTGAGCATTCGAGAATAGGTATACGTTCACCGGATCTTACATTGACCAGATCCGATTCGGATGCGTGATTTTCTTCACTGGTCTCTCGGATATCTTCTTCATCATCTAGATCGGCTTCCGGTTCTTTGCCCACGCATGCCGGACACAGCCATTTTTCCACAGATATCCTCAAACCTGCGCACTTCAGATGGAGGGTCGTGTAACAGAGTCGACAACAAACCTGTTCGATGAGACCGAGCGTTAGAATGGGCATGCCTTCAATCGCACCGAGCACGCTTGTGTTATCTGAGATTGGACGAAGACTCACCTTCTTTATACCGTATGGGAAATCCATTCGACATTTGGTGCATTTACTTCGGATAACTTCCTCGAGCCATCGGAATTCTTGCGGATTAAGCAAAGAAGACATCGAATAGTTGTCGAGTAGGCCCATGAAGATTCCAAGTAGCCGTTTGCCCTCCTTATAGACCTCAGCTTCTTCAAGATTGTAGGCCTCGCAATTTATAAATACTTGAAGGACGTCATTCACAAACGAAACGTTCGTCTGTAAGGGTCAGAATCGGAGGAAACCAGTGAGTCAACGACACTCGTCGACGGAAACAGTCCCTACTCGGACTTTCGCCGCGGCGCATAGTATTTGAGAATAACTCCGCGGAATTCGCTTGCCCTTTCTGCTTACCGTGTATTTCATATCGTTAAGTTTCGTTTGGATGGTTCCGAGATCCATGGGCTTCTTGATTATTTTCAAGTAATCGGGTGCATCTTTTTTGCTGACTGGGACGAGGAAAGGCCAAGCGTGATCAGATCTCTTCAGAACGTCAAGGATGTCACAGCAAGCTTTGTAGTCGAATCCATCAACATCCACCTCCACTTGTTGCTCTTCGTCTACGACCTCTTCTTCTTCCGATTCTTCCTCGTCGCTCTCTCCGTTCATAGTCTGATTCAGGGAAACATAACCGGGCTCACAACGCTTCTTGCAGTACCAATCGCCTTTCGGTCTCTTGGTTAGGTCGGCGCAAGCCAAATGGTACTTCCTGCCGCAGCCGATGCATTCGATGTGTCCACGGCTCAGGAGCTCTCCACATTTCAGGCATTGATTTATTGAGAAGTCCTCCTCGTTGCTGTCCTTCGCTTCGAAAGCTTCCTTTTCTTCGATGATCTTCTTCAAGTCCTTCAGCTCTTGTTTATATTTTTTCACTCCTGCAGTACACGCGAGACACCGCCAATCTCTCCTCGGCGCTCGTTTCATTTGAATACAGATCAAGTGGAATGATCGTGGACACGACCCACAACTGATCAGCTGCTCGTCGTTGAGACATACTTCACAAAAATCGTTACTCTCAGGAACCTGCGAAAATCAGTGTAATCATTAGAGCTTGGGTATGGAACCAGAGGCGTTCTGTCCCTTTTCTGTAAGAGTTCGTATTGTCCTACAGAGACCTTCCTTCCGTGTCGGGTCGACGAGATCGACCGGCATCGAGAAGTACTCACTTCGCCCGTGGATTCTTCTTCGTCTTCAGCACTTGTGACCTTGGGCTTCTTCCGGGGTGAGTCTGGGACGGTTTCTGGCGTACAAGCCTTACAGAACCATTCTCCTCGAGGGATCTCACGGAGGGCAGGTTTGATGCACGGTAAATGGAAAACTAGATCACATGTTTCGCATCGAATCATCCTGTCTGGCTGTGGGAAGATGAGATTGGATTTAGATGAGATTTAGATCGATGAGAACGCATTTCGTCCTCACGACGAGTAGGCGGGAGTGAGCAATCATGGAGCATTCATGGGAGCGAAAAAAAAACGGCGTAACAGCCAAAAGCTTACCGTTGCCTTCCCTCTGCAGACCTTGCAGCGAGCGTTCGTCAAGCCCTTCTGCCACTCGATCGAGCTCTCCAAAGAGGAATAGAAGAGGAATAGTTGACTGAGATTCCGACAGAACGGCAGAGCTGCGCGCCAGTTATCCAATTTGTTCCGCAACGACGGTCCCTGATCTCCGAGAGGTGCTTTCAAGAACTTCACCGGGATACTTTCACAAAATTCGCTCAGCTTTGGTATAAGGAATTGTAGCTCTGTTTCGTCTTCGCTTTCAGGGAAGAGCTCATTGGTTTTCTCCGGCTCGAGATTCTGCATTTTCAGGAGAGGCTCTTCGAGCTCGAGCCTCCACATTCGTCGGCGTTCCTCATCCTTGAAGCCACCGAGGGAGGCTTGAACGGATTTCTCTTCAATGTCTAGCAGGAGTTCTCTGAAGGTGAGGTTCAAAGCAAGATTTGGTCTGAGACCGAAAACGTTGGAGACCTTGAACGCATCGGATGGGTACCTCCGTCGAACAGCCTCATTCAATGTGCGATTCAGCCTGTAGGAGATAATCGACGATTAGAACGAGATCGAAACGAGCCTTCATCTCTCATAAACGGCGCGTTGCCCTCTCGGGGAAACGATGAGAACTCACTTTGATAAAGGGGTTTTCTTGAGCACCGACTTCAAGTACTCGACTTCGTTCACTATAGTCTCTTTTAGGACACTCTCGCGCACGCCTTTGGTTGCCAACGAACTCAACAAACTATCGAGTTGCTCCTGAGAAGATATAAATAAATACTGCGGCTCTTTCTCCTTGTGGATAGCGCAAGTTTCAATCGATCCGCTGCAAACGAGATGCGAGTCTTTCCGGAGGTCTTCCCCATTCTCTGCTTTGATTTCTTCCTTCATTTCCACGTCGGCGTCGTTCTCCGGGGTTCCTCCTATGGAAGAATGCGGAACCGTTGAAAACGTCATAACTCCACGATCGACATCGGACCTGAATTCTCAGAATCTCCAACTCCCGAATCTTCCACTCTCTGGAATACTGACCTTCGATGCAAGGCGCCTCGACGCAGGGCAAAACCTCAACAACGATCGCCGGCACTGAATGTAGAACGCTATAGATTCGATGGGCTCGATCTTCGCCGAGGTTCGACAGGCCGAAACGATACCAAACTTTGCCGATTTCGTCCTCGGTCTGTTCGATCCGTTTCTCTATTTCTTCGCGAGGCATCTCAGGAAGCACATATCGCCAGTTGCGCCGCTTCTTTTCGTCGTCGTTCCCAGTAGTCGTTTGTGTCACCGCCGCCGCTGCGGCTGCCGCCTCCTCGTCTTTATCGCGCTTGATTCCTTTCTCCTCGTCGTCGAGGAGTTTCTTCCGCCAATGCAGCTTTTTCAATTGTATTTTCAGCTCGACACATTTTTCCAGGCCGTCCTCGATAGCCTCTCGGAATATTCCAAAGGTCAAAAGTTGATCTATGAGACAGCGTACGATCTGTGGAAGATTTCTTCTCATTTTCACATCTTCGCTCGACATCGCGCTCCCTGATGAACTCGATCCCGGAGAAATTCTATTCATTCACGACGAATCAGAGGTTACCAACCTTCATCTTCTCCAGAACATCCAGGCTGGCCATAGAGTTTTTTTCTAGTTTCTCCATTATTTCCGGATTCCTCATCACAAATACAAGTCCTGGATCTTCTTTCGGCGTGAAACCTTGATGACAATGAATTCTATCTCGCAAATCGATGCCGGGCGCTCCACTTGCCTGAGAAAGAAACGCTCCTCTGTATGCGGACTCGAAGTAGGTGATTTCTAGTCTCGCGTGCAACGTACTGCGACCGAAGGAAGTAAGCGGATCATCGATCGACTTCTCGTCAACTATAAAGTCCACTCACCTTCAAGTGGTAGCGGACAACATCGCTGTAGGTGAACGAGTCCAGGGGAACGGTATGAAACATGAAGCCGTAGGTATCTCGGAACTCTCGTCCCGCGGCCGCTGCCTGTTCCTGATATGCGGCCATCTTGGTACAGAGATCGTCGCCCTCATTTCTGAAATAGATCAACGGCATTACGAAGAACGAAAATGCCTCCCGGAGACGAACGGAGAAACATCCGAGCCTTCGCGATCGATTTTGTGGATCCATCACGACTCGTAAATTCATCGCAAGGACACTAACTGAGTGCTGTAGTCGATAGTCCAATCTGACAGCTGGAGTTTCATGAGTCGGCTGAGAAGTATTTGGAATACGTTCACTAGGAGACCGAGGGCATCGACTTCCGTGAATGCTCGCTCGAGAATATCGAAGGATATCCCTTGCGAGAAGTAGTCCTTCACACCGAGCTCCTTCGAGAACGCGGTCATGAACTCGAGAATGCAGAAGAATTCCCCGAGGCCCTCCTTGGGTATTCCGCATTCGATTTCGGTGAAGGCGGGAAGGGGGATGAGATTCGGAAGGAAGAGATCGTCGTCCAGGATCCTCTCTTTCTGCTTAGCTTCTCTCTCGAGCTTTCGTTTTTCTTTGAGTTTCTCGCTGATCTTCTTCTTATATTCCTGCTTACGGGCTTCTCTCTCTTCTTCGCTCCGTGGCGGCCGACCCCTTCTTTTCGGGGTCGTGGAACTGCTACTGTCCGTCGATAGGCGTTTCTTGAACCCATTCAGGCTCAGAGCGTTCTCTGGTGGAGGCTTCGGTGCCTTCTTTTCTACGATCTTCGGTTCCTTCGAGCGTTCTGCGGTATTCTTGAAGAATTCCCTAAACTTCTCGTAGCTCCGGTTCCGGCCTTTCGACGGCTTCTTGTCCTCGTAGAAATTCTTATCGTATTCCTTGTAGGACTTCGCCGGCGTGTTCCGTTGGGACTTCCGAGGCGATTTAGCGGGACTCTCGGAAACAACCACGACGTCGTCTGTGAAAGATAGGGATGCGTTGCTTACGATCGGCTCAACATGAGAATACCGAATCACAGTTTTTCATTCTCAAAGTCGTTTCTTCAAGTTCTGGATAACATCGCAGATGTACAAAATTATTATCGATTATTATGCTTGAGCTCACCGATGTCATTTCCGTTAGTCTCGTTTGAATCGACGTGCATGTTCCTTCCTTCGCTTCCGCTCGAAATTGCTTCGAAAGAGCGAATTCGTTCTCCTGAAAGCCCACTTGGACTCGCTGGAGCTTCCCGGCACTCATTCAATTCCTTGGCGGTATCTCGCGCGGTCTGCAAAATCGAACTCATGCGGTTATGTCCCTGAATGCTTCGGAAATCCGAGAAATATCACCTGAATATCCATAGTAATCCAAGGAATCTCTATTGATGTCTCTAGGAGTCTCCGTCGCGATTCGGTACCTTGAAGGCATGATTACTGCTCGCATCGGTGTTCGTCCTATCCGAGCATGGGGACTTGCTCACAGTTGTCTTCTGATTGAGGATTTTGTCCTGATCTTCTGAGGTTCCGTTGCTTGTCGCAGAAACTGAGGGGGGTTTCCTGATGGAGAACAGAAATCAGAAACATTATTCCCTGCCCAGTAAAACAATTACCCGTTGCGAAGGAGCTACGCACAGGCGGAGCAGAGTCGGCGCGCTCCGTCGAATTAATTCGAGATTGTGCATGGCCTGGCAATGGTCGAGCGAATCCACGAGATTTGACATTAGTTTCGAGGGTATTTCTTCCGGAACAGGGATCAGAAATTTCTGTTTCGCCATTACGAGCGAGGAGCAAGTGGCTCACTTCCATACACAACGGTGCCGTACCACGAGGCCGCATAGAAACGAATCGTTCGGCCTGCGCGCAGACCGACCAGCTCGGTTTCGGTCTTCTTCCCCAATCGCATATTTGATTGTCAGCCGAATCCGCGACTTCTAGAACACAAGACAGAAAACATCCCATTGATCGCAATATGTCGGAGGGATTTCAATCGCGTCGTATCATCGCTGTTTTGATGGAATGCCTGCCCAAAAATGGCACGAAGTGTTTCTGCTCTGATCGCGAATGGAGCACTTCGCTCGCTGGAAACCTCGCGAGCAGCCGCTGATTCACGCTGAACTATCGCGTACCGCACTTCCTTACAGACCCGATCGAATGCTCACTAGTCGCTCACAGTTTCCAGCGAAATTCCCGGTAGAGTGTCGTCTACCTCGCGTGGTTTCCTACGGAAGCGAGCGACTCGCTCACCAGCCAGCCGGAGGATCACCTCGCGTCGAAACGCTCGGCCGAAACTACGTCGAAACACCTGGGAGCAGAAACCGCGCCCCACCGACTCTCCGGAAGTCCCAAGCGCAGTGTCGAAACACTTTGCTCTCGGGCGAGTTCTGAGGACTTGACGTGAATTCTGGACGAGCTCAGCGACGGCCAGCGCTGCCCGGTACACGCATCTGACACACTCTCGAAGAGACACAGAGACGAGCACCGATCAGAGAAACCTATTCCTGATTCGAGCGAGGCACGTTCCGCGACGAAGACTCACCAGAAGTCGGTGATTTTAGTGGGTCTCTTGACAACAGCAGGCGTCGAGTCCGAAGCACCGAAAGAAGATTTCCGTTTCGTCGACGGAATTTTCGCGTCTTTGTCTGCGGCGACGGCGACGACTGCTGTTGCGGCGGCTGCTGCTACTGAAGCCGCTTGTTCCATTCCCTGAAGAGAATCAAACCGACACAGCGCACACACACATACACAGACGAACGAACGAACGAACAGATGGACCGACCGACCGACCGATCGACTCTCGCACACACACACGCGGTGTCAACAACCGCTGATTTCTTGAAGCGCAGCTACTTCTCGAAAGTATCGCGAGTCGTCGTCGCCCCACTCGACCGTCGTCAGCTCTATCGATGATGACAGTCAAACTCCTCCGCAGACGAAACTATCCACGTTAGATCGGAGTATCCTTCGCCGGAACACGCACGAATCAGTGTTCGCTCCGTCGTTACAACAACCGGGAAACTAATGGAACGCAGCCCTCGGCGCAGAGAGGCGGTCAATCATTGCTGCTCGCCGCCGACAATAACAAACGCGGCAAGACACACTCCTTCGTTGGTGGACTTCAAATTTTTAAACGCACACACTTCGACTGCTATCCGGAGCGTTGTTGAGGAGGGGACCTCATCAGAGTTCGTTCGCTCGCTCGCTCAATCGTTCGCTCACTCGCTCCCCTACTCCAAACAACAGTGCTCTGCTTGCCGCTGCCGCCGATATTGATGCTGGTTGGCGGTCTAGGAGAGCAGCAGCGGAGGCGCGAGGCAGCTGCCTTGAGCAGCCAACCGCTGGTGAAAATTGGCGCCAAAAACCGTTCTCGCCGTCGCATTCACGACGAGCTTACGATGGCGCAAGGGCATCCCTCTGGAAACGCGTGATTCGTCGACTCGTCGTCGTCGCTTTCGTCATCTTCTGATAGTCGTCCGACAAGGTTACGGATGAAGATTGCGCTTTTACGGAGCGTATCATAGCGGAGCCATACCAGAGTCGAGACTCGGGACAGGTCAGAGAGGGTCCGCCGCTCGCGCGGAAGTCCGCCCCGAGGCATTCGAGACCTGATCGCGCACGATTCGTTCGCTTCCGTCGTAATTCGATGCGAACCCAAGGGGCTGCTGCTGTGCATCAGATGGGTCACCTGCGTCTCCGCTGCGACACATTTAGTGACATCGGTTAATCTTGAGCAGATGCCGGGCTCGACAGGAGGATCGGTGAGCTAAGCTCTCGCAGACGATCCGAGGTGCACCGCTCCCGTACTAATGTCATCCCGATTTGGGGATTGGGCATCGGGTCAAGTCGTTCCGTTTAGCTGCCGGCAGATGCGACAGGGACTATGTGGGTATTCGATGATACTCGCAGAAACTTGCGTCTCCCATATTTCACCCGTAGAGTTGGAGGATACGCCATCAACCTAGCACCCTGACCTTCCCTCGATGTCGGTCCGATCTGTCACGGAGATATGCGCGGTCCGAATAGGAACTCATCGCATGGCGAAAGGAATATGCTGCCCTCATATTCATCCTTCGAAAATTCGGGGCCCAGTGGCTTTTGATCCCTCACGGCTCAGCCATTTGCTCGCGCGGGAAGCGACCCTTGGATGTGGTCGCGGACTCATTGCATTATTCTTCGAGCAGAATGTGGAATATATCCTTCCGGAGGTCTCTCAAAACTATTCAGCAAATTAGCCGCTATTGCAGCTGAAGCGCCACAAATTCGAAATCTGGCCAGCGGAGAGAGCCTCTTCAGCGCGGTGTACAGGGGGAACAAATACGGATTGAAGACGCCGCCAATCATGGAGATCCCCGTGAGGGCCTGGAATATAGTCGAGCCGACGGTGCAGTTTGCGCGCCCCGTTTCCGGCCAGGGTTTCTTTCAACGACGAGTCAACCTTTCATTTTGAGAGCGAATGATGACGCTGATCTATGACGCCGGAGTAGGATTTCGAACGAATCCCGAGCTCTTCTGGAACGCCTGCCCGGGTCTTCGTCTCTGACCCAACTCAGAGGCTGGATAAGCGCAAGCGTGTGGCGCTCATCAGACAGGGATTGGGAACCGTGGACATTCTCCGAGATCGGTGCCCGAAGACACCGTCTTGCGGTACGAGAGACTCATGAATTTCTCGCTTGCAGAATAAAAACGCTGCGGACCTCGTCACCACTATTTCAGCCTCTCGGTCTGAAGGGAGGTTCACTTGCCGCCTCCAAGATGTGATGAAGTGTCAGCGTCCATCTCGAGTTCTAGCCCGGGCTCCGAGTTCTGGCGATGGAAGTCTTTCCGGCTCTACCTGGTCAGTGAACAAGTGTCAACCACCACATCGCATCGACACCGGACGTACGCGTTCGATTTCAGGCTCTCTGAAGAAATTCGTCTTCCGCCGTCCTTGGCGGGCTGTGACCATTGCGTTTTGTCTCCAGGAGAAGGGAATCTCGATGATCAGACGGTTCTTCTGGAAGACCAAGAGATCGAACGCAACCCGCAGTCGGCAACGTACTCCGCATGTGCGCGGATAGAGGGGTCGCCCAGTGATCGAAAACCGAGTGATCAGACTTTCCAATGCAATGAGTGCGAGCGCAGCTACAAAAGCACAGCGGCCCTGAACATGCACCGTTCGAGAAATCATGGATACAAGAATAAAACTCAAGGCAACATCCGATGTCAGGTTTGTTCCGATCGAGCCGTGTGTCATCCATCTACAATCTGCCACCATGAGCTTCAGCGTCAGGTGTTTTCCATGATGCACAGGAAACGTCTTGCAACGCTCTGGTGAAAACCATCACCGACTTGCGGGAGCACCTGGAAGAAGCACACAAACTCCAGTTCAAAACCATAGAGACGGAATTCGTTGGGGAAAAGGCGTTCAATCGTTGGAAGGCCCAGGTAGAGTCAGATACAGCAGAAATAGACGCCGCTTGCTCTCAAAGTGTTCTCCTCACCGGAATTTATCCTTACAGGTTGAGCATATTGAATGCGTTTGCTTCGTCATGAAGAAATCCAAAGTCACCCCAACTGAGCGCCAGCGATACTTTTACTGCCAGAGAAGCGCTCTGTGCAGCGTAAACAATAAGGTAGCGATCTTGACTGATAACATCATGAGGACGTGGGGGTCGGTCGAACGGGGACAGCTCAGAGAACTCGCTTTCTTTCCAGAACGTGAACTGCACGGCTCAGCTCCTGGTCAAGGAGAATAGTCGCAGTGGCAGCATAATTGTGACGGGTTGCTTGACGCATTACGGTCATTCGATGACGACGCGGCAATTCATCGAATCTATTTCGAAAAGACCGAGGTACAAATTATAGACTTATAGAATTATTTCTGATTGCCGTGGGATTTATTGCTTATCTCGACTATCTGCTGGGCGTACTGGGTGTACAAATATGGAGTCCGACTGGGGGCCGAATTGAGGAGCTTGGAAAAACTCCGGCTTGGCAGTCGTACATACGTAGATCGTTCCGCTCCGAGCGCGAGAGCCGAAATCCTCTCCGATTGAGTGGGCGAGTTCGGGTGATCTCGCTCCGGAAACGAACATCCGCGAACTTTCTCGATGTACCGTCGGTAAGTCCCAATCCTGAGCCGCGGATCAATTGTTCTGAGGCGCGGATCTTCTTGCTAGGATAAGAGAAGGTGGGGTTGCCGGCCAGGAGGTGGACATGTCTGTCATCAGCGGCCAGCTTCTAGCAATATACGAGCTGGCGATCATCAAGAAGAAGCAGAAATCGGTCGATAAGATTTGCGCAGCACTTCGTGACCTCTACGACTGCCTCAAAGGTGAATAATATCTTCTCCCCGCTCTCAAGCGAAAGATTTTTAGTTTCGAAAAAATAGATGATTTTTTTGCTCATGTTCTGCCTACGGACAGAGCGGACAAGTGCCAATACTGTCCCTTAGAATCGATGCAGTATGAGACCGCCAATGATTCGTATTATTCTTCACAGATTACGATGAGGACGATGAAACCCTACCAGGCCTCGAAGAAACCCAAGCTTGGCGACGGACAGCCGCGCGGGAGGTCGCTGAGCGAGAGCGACAAGCTATCGCTGAGTCCACGATATAGCTCACTACAGCGAATGTTTTCCGGATGTGTTCTCTAGATTTTAATGGAATAGGTAACAGTCTCTCAAACTTGTGTGGGAGCAGAATGGAGCGCTCCCAGTGAGCAATAAATGACGGCGATTCTCTTACACGCGATAATTCGATATGCTCTCCTCGGGGCCATCTGTACTAGAACTGAGAAACTGTAAGCCCAGTCCAGTTGCATCCTGCCGTCGGAGACCTCGTGCTTTCTGCTGGGATTCATTCCGAATAGAGGGGAAGGGAAGGATGGGGATGGTCGACCAGACGAACGGCGACGTCGACCTCGCGAACTACAGGTACTTCCGAAACTTCATCGCAGGCGGTCCGAATGCGGATTGTGATTCGGAGGGGTCCCGAGATACAAAGGGTTGGGGACCTGTGCTGTGAACTATATCCTCGATATGGAGGGAGCCTCTAGTAATGGGCCCTGAAGAGAGAAAATATCTCACCGGGAGGAGGACGTCGTAAAATAACTCGTTCGGTAGGAGAATGGACCTGGGCTTGAATCCGGGAGATAACTTAGCGTACAGCGGAACATATTGGTATAGGTAGCGAGCCCTGCAGTATACTGCGGGAGGAGAGACCTCCTTCCCGCAGTCGATATGTGCATATCGTCTCCGGCCCGTTCTCGGCAGCAATGTCTCATCGGTAACTTCTACCGGGACACTCCAGTTCTTGGCTACTAACGGATCGGCCCGGGAAATACAGACCGGGCCAATCTGATCGCGCGAAGCAAGCCCGACTCAAGCGAATAATTCTCGGAATGTGACGAGGGGAGCGTTCACCTCAAGTTCAAACTCCGGAATCGCAGATGTCGGTTCTATCAGTGAGTGAGTGAGTGAGTGAAGAATCGAGAGCCATCGATAATAATATTTGTAGGGTAGTTGACCACCCAAGATGAGACGTAGACGACGTCTCGGAGGAAATTCAACAATTGACAATATAGGATCTGATTCGGGGGTCGTTCATACCTATGAAAAGGGTACCCGTTCCGGGGGAGGGATTCCATCGAGATTTAGCGTTTTCAGATCAGCGCCTCGACCCAGCGTAAGCGGGCAGTCCTCCGCCGGTCGGCTTTTCGGTGAATTTTTATCGGGTCGGAACAGCCCGCATGATATTTCGATTGTCCCAGCCGACCCATGTCGCTCTGATCTAGGTGAAATGCCACCGCAGAGCTTCATTGGAAGCAAGTGTCTCTTCGCGGCATCGGCGAGCGTAACTTTCAACGTCCACCCTTCATGCACACGACAACGAATCGTGATCACGGCGGAGGATACTGGAATTATCAGTGGGGAGCTCTTCGGGAGTCACCTGGATTCTCTTCCACAGCTCGTTACACAATCGGATGAGCAGGGCGTCCGTCGATACAAGGTGAGGCGATTGGACTCAGAGGCATGTCGCAGTTCCCGTTGTAGGTTCGGTTCGAACTCCTCGGAATCTCGCTCGCGCATCAGTATCCGTACGTCGTCTTCGTAGACCGTGGGCTCGCGCTCTCCGAGGTCAGTGCTCCCCATGACGAGGGCAAAAAAGTCTAAGGTTCTCAATTAGCTACTTTCTCGAAGGCGGAATCTTCTCCCGAAAGTACCGCCGGGGCATGGAATACATCAACGTTCCTCGACGCAGTCCCGGATCACTTGATCAATCGGCCATCAGGTCCGCGACGCCAGCGCTGCCCACACTCATGTCTAACTATCAGCGGAACTAGCGGGAGGAAAGTTTTGTAACCCATGTTTCGAGGTTCATGAATTATTCATGTGGAAGATCGCGCTCAGCATCCGAGGTCTAACTGAAGAGAAGCCCGACGATCACAAGCCCGACTCAGTCAGCAATGGAATCTTGATCGGCCTTCGCGTGAGCCGAAATAACTGAATTTGCGTTTGACGTGAGGGTGAGAGCTCTTCTTTGAAGCGTCAAAAACGGCATTCGATTTTCGCATTCAAATACATATATGAGATCAGTTTCATTCAGTATCGAGCTCTTTTCAAAAGCCCTCAGCATTGACGGGGCGGTCGTGAATGGCCATTATTTTCCCTTGGGCTCGCAGTCGCTGGTGTGGCTCGTTGTTTCCCAGTCAGAAACTGTTCTTCCAAACCAGAACGCGCTTTTCTCCCAGGTCGGCGACAGTGTCCGAGCGCCGGAGTGTGCTCCCGACAAGTGAAGTTCCAATCCTTGAGCCGGGTGCCGAGTAGCAGTTTAGCTATCGGGGAACCGGAGAACTGAATAATTCCAGTCTTCCCGCCGCGTCGGAAAGTGGCCTCGGCTGTCTCGAACCGGATTGGATAAGTCTCTGAGGGAACCATTCGGAGATTTCCACAGGTATCCGTGAGGGGAAATGGAGTTGCGCGTGTTTTTCCTCCCCTTGGTCGCTTCAACTCAACTGGTCGCCGCCGAGCTTCCCCATCTCTCTGTCAGTGAGTTCAAACAGCAGCAGCACAATCTCCAGCGTCTGCATCACCTTAAACAGCAGCAGCACGCTGACAACTTGATGTTGTCAAATCTGGAAATGGATCCCAATATTGCCGATCTGACGAAGCAGGCCCGATGTGTCGATCCTTATCGTTCGATACCAATGTACGGATGGAGATGGTTCCAACGTAAGTTTGTTCCCTCGATGCGATGTCGGACGCATTCGCGAGCTTATTCATTGAATTCACGGTAACACGTAATGGAACTTCCGTCCCGATGTTTCCAGAATTCCATAAGAACAACATCAAAGAAGCACTAGGCTGTTGGGATATCACCGAAGAGCAAGCGAAGATGGTATGATAAGGCAACGGATACGAGATAGCTCGGACATATCATCCAAGGGATAGCTCGTGTCATTATCAATATTGTCGGCAATTATTTGGATTAGCAACTTCCGATGGGCTTCATGATGCGGGATTATCCGGTTTCTAGCGAGACACCTCATTCGAGACTAGGCGCGCAAAGTGCATTCGACGAGTGCTCATTGACCGTGGTTTCTTCGGGAAGGACCAAGTGCTCAGCGAAACGCACGTCAACGACATTCTGTGCCACGTCCTGACGGAAGCCGTCCGCAGCAAGGTTGTTCTCGAGCCAATACCCGTGATGGTCTCCTAGCCAGGAATTCCCGGAAGAACATATCATCGTTTCACTTAGGGAACGATGAGCGGGAAGAATAAGACTAAGAATTCGATAAACGACGAGTCAAATTGAGCTTCAATTCTAGGACCCAAGAATTCAGTTCGCTCGTCGCGTCAAGCTATGCATGCGCGAAATACTCGCTGACATCCAGGTTAGTGACACCGTGCGAACAGGTCAGATAACCGTTCTTTTCCACGGACGCAAGGATCCTGGGAATTTGAGGGAGAAAGAGTCGAACTGTTTCGGAAAGAGGGGCTACGTCACAGTCCGGATGCATAAGATCGATGCGATCTCTTCTATTCCAGCTGAACAATACTGTAAACATCGAAGATATCCGATTGGAATGCATGCAGAAGCACAAATCTACCTCGATGAAGCCCGACATCCAAACCGGTCAGCTCGGTGCTGAGTTCAATTACGGACAAGAAATGTACATCCAGGCAGTACGAACGGCAGACGCGGTACTCGCTGAGGTGAGTCGGAGACCTTGTCGTCAGGACTATCCAAAAACTCGATCATCCTTGAAAACTCGATTTTTGCTGAAAGCGGCCCCGGATATTTTCCATTCTAGATGAATCACTGTTTGAGATACTTCGGTCTTGTGGCAAAGGTGAGGCTCAAACAGGCCACGTTCATGACATCATGCGACGCTCGATGATCACGCATGCTAATACCAACAGAAATTCGTTCATGAGCTCAACGTCTTTTCTTCTTTCGTCCACAGGAAGCGGATGAGTATGAGCGGCTCGAAGAGTCATGCAAAGGGACTCTGCAATCGAAGCGCAGCCTGGAAACGTTAGATGAAGACACACAGGTCCGTCTTGGTGATTGATCCGCATGGAGACAATGTTCTACATCGGGCAGATGTTTCAAGCTTGGCTGTCGCTTTCTGTCGCAGCTCGACATCTGCATATTCTCGCACAGCGTCAAGGGGCGTGTCGCCAAAGAAGACATCGAAGTGCAGTTCGAGTGTCTGAATCAATACCTAGAATCGACGTCGAACTCCGACAGGAGTAAAGCGGTCCTCCTCGATCTCTTCTGGAATCAAACTCGACCCATCTATCTGGAGCAGCAAATGTCGTGCAAAGCTCTGAGTGGCCGGCCGAAATGGACCAAAGCGAGTTTTCAATCGTTTCTCTATTTCTCGAATCTGTCGTGTCGAGACGTTCCTCGTCTATTTCTCTAATCTTCAACTCTTCAGGTCCTAAACGGTTGGAACCTTACGTGCGAAAGGCTGAGAAGCATCAAAGCGAAACGTCAAGTTCCGGAAGTGGAAGAAGACGTAACGCCGAACTGGGATTCCGCAGAGCTCCACACGCCGATACCGAATACTGAAGGTCTCCCGACCGATGGGACGGTGATGACGACCACTCAGCCGGATGGCGATCGATTCCAAGTTCTCGAAGAGGTCGGTAGAGAGCATCGGTGGAAATTCCTTGGCTAATCCCTTCGGAGAGCTCTCTTGGCAGTCTCGTCATCGGCAGAATCGTAATGATACGAGTCGAACGGAATTTTCAGTTGAACAAGTGTATCTTGGATCGCATCCGATCCAGCACAGCGCGTACCGCTTTGAAAGATCTGGAAAAATCTCATCGCCAATGGCAGTACAAACACCAAGTAAGGCAGAAATAGTAGCGACTACTTTGGAAGGGGATTCCTCGCGATTCTGCGCTCAGTTCTGAAAGCTCCCATTTATCGAGATTCCAATGCCACACTCCGGCGCTTAGAATCAGCTCGGGAGAAGGCTCGGGATTCGGATATTTTTATTCACGCACACATAAGTAGATAGTTGTTTGTGGTGTGACCTCAATCTTATGAACAATAACAAACCTCTACAATCCTTTGCAGCAATGCTGGAATAAATACAAAGATCAGAGAGTACAGCAGATCGGTGACCGGTACGTGACGAGACAGCAAGCGTGGAACAAAGTTCGCGAACCCCTCTTTCTGGACACCCCTACCGTATCGACCCATTGAGGATCTTCGCCCGCGAAGCATATTCTCAAATTCTCAATGAAAGCATACATTGTATCAGAATTCTAGGTATCGCTAGTGCTACTCTGGTGTGATTGGACCTGAATTCGCGAATGAAGTCGGGAGTAGATCGGAATAAACCAATAATTCTTCCCCGAAGAACGTGGCCATGCCCCGAACCTCTCGTATGAAGTCGAGGAATAAGTTGTCATTCTAAGCGTCCCCGGGCCAGAGCAACGAGAAGGTCAAACACTCGCTGCCGTGTTTTCCGCCTGGCCCGTCAAAGGATGCGTTCAGAACCTTTTGTATTGACGTTCGGTTGTCAGAGCGGTGCCGTACCGGCTCCCGCAGGGGATCGGGAAGACAACCCGCGTCGCGACGCCTCCGTTTGAGCTCATTAAAGATCCTCTGCGCCGTGAGTCGTAATCCAAAATTGCCGTCTACTTCACTCTCGGTCGAACAGCGTAGCAATTCTCCTCCCTCGGCCATGACGACAAACGCCAGGACTAACGAGGGAATTGTACGGGCTCTTTCGGATTCGTCCGGCAAACACCGATCCGTTAAGAGAGTGTCTGGAGCTGTATCGATTACTCAGCCGACGTCGACCTTGAATAGCAACACTTCCATCAAGCTGAGTGCGAATATGCGTCCCCGACTTGTCTCCACGAAGAGACGACGAGTTCAGAGAACCTTGTCCGGGAATTCGCGCAGCCCCATAAGGACTCTCGCGAAAGCGAGCGCTTCCGTTCTTTTCCCATTGATCTAAGCGAACCATGTCATTGCCGTCATCGAAATTGCCGAACTTCTGACCAAACTCGCTAGTTGGTGGCTCCAAAGTGGCTCTCAAGCATAGAAACGAAAAATTCACGCCGTGGGTATCGAAGGTGAGTAGGACTTCGTTTCCGTCCCCGCCGGTCGCTCTCTACCAGTTCCCGGAGATCCGCCTCCCCAGGGCAGCAGCGCGGAACCGACGGGATCGGTTGATTCGATGTGTCGTGAGTGCTTATCAGGCTGGAAAGTTAGGGTTGCGAGTTGTGCTCTCAATTCCGCACGGCACCTTCGGCGTCACCGCTTCCATGACTTTCTTGCGGTAAATCCACACCGCGATCCTCGATCCGTGAGCTTGGTTCGTGAGTCGTGAGTAGGCGCCATGTGGACGAGAGGTGACCCGCGCACGATAGACTGCGTCTCTTCGTGGTCAGCTCGTGTTGTGACGTTCTATCATTCCGTCCGCGAAGGAACGCCGATGATATTCTACCCGATCGCTCAGTCAGTCCGGAGCAGAGAGCTTTGATCATTGGAAAAGCAGTCGAACTCTTTTCTCCATTCAAGGTCGAAGATGATGGGAGCGCAACCCGGAACGACGGGAACGAGGAGGAAAAACTGGTCAACAAGGAGATTCTCACGAAGTTCCCGGTTCTCAATCATTTCATGCCCGTTCTGCTATCTCTGCAAGCTTTGGGCGTTGCATTCGATGACGAGCGCCTCTCATCAACGACAAAATTATACATGCGAATCTGGCGGGCCGTCGTGTGGTTTACTTTCCTGGCGTATCTTGTGATATTCATTTACTTCCTGATATTCTCCAAGGAGCAATCCAGGAACAGTCTCAGAAGTGAAGTCTACCGTCTGGAGGTCGTCGATACGATCATGGTGTTTGTGGCGGCAGTTTCCGCGAATTTCTTGCACAACTTCCAAAAGATATCGTTCTTGAAAATCGTGCACACACTTAACGAAATGGGAACGCAGAGTCAAATTGGAGCGCAGTCAGATTTCGAGGGCACCAGGTGCTTCCTCATGAGTCTGATGAACCTGCTTTGTCATATGAGCGGTGCTGTGATCTACCTGGTGTACGAAAACCCTCGACAGAACCCGTGGAGCTGCTGTGAATCGGTTATTCGGATGCTATTAATCAGCACAACTTTGCTACTTCAGGTGCGAAAATAGATAATGATACTTCCTGCAATAGCATTCTTTTATTGGTGTGATCATGCTTAATTCGCTTTGTACTCACCGGTCCCTATGAATTTCCTGCTCCCTCCCCTCTCTACCCCATGGTCGTGATCACACCTTCTTGGCCGCCTCGTTTCACGCTAATCCACATTAGATAATATCCTTAGGTGATTTCGGCTGGCGAGATCTGCTGGACCTTCACCCACTACGTCCGGGAGATCAATCGACTTCTGATGCGCCGGGTGAATCTGCGTATCCTGCTTGACATGAGAGTCTGTTACACCAGAATGATTGCGACAGTCCGTGATATCAACCGCATCTATACCATGCCCGTGGGGATAGTCTTCATCCATGCGGCGCTCCGCGCTATCAGCACTCTGAAGCTCTTTCTACGGGAATATCCTGAAGTGAGCGCCGTCGTAGTGGTGTGGACTGTTTACGAAATTACGATTCTATTGTGTTTGATCGTCATGTGCGAGGCGTCGAATGCACTGCGGATCACCGGCACGGCGACTGCATCGTTGGTCACGGAACGAATTTCGGAGTATCGCGATGCGCCTCAACAGATGTCCCTCTTGGTTCAGTCATTGAAAAGGCAGAAGCTGCAACTGAGACTTTTCGGCTTCATATCGCTTTCGCGTTTGACGTGTTTGACATATTTCCTGCTCCTGATTGTCAGCACATCGGTGATTGTTTTGCGAGATAAGAACATGGTTTCCGGGATCGCTGGCTTCATTTCGGCGTGAGAGTGAAGCCGGATGGAATTTAGGCGGGGTGATCACTCGGAACTGTGAAACGTGGCATTGAATAAACGCTTCATATTACCAGACGTTCCCAGAGGAACGAACTACAACCTCCAAATTTATTTCAATCTTCTAAAACAAACAGTTCATATGTACAATTGATTCTCATTATTTGAATTTAGATCCTCTCTCGTCACGACCGTTAGCGGTCCATTCTGCCGCCGACAGATGAAAGACCTCCAGTTCGCCTACAATGCAACGAGTCGGAGCGGGAATCGTGGGAAAAAATAACGGTGACATCGATTCATTAATTTCATCCGCTCCGCAAACTGTGTGGGGTCGTCCGTGCTCAACTGAAATGCTACCCGCCTCCACGTCACGATACATTCGATCTGCTCCATGGCTCTCCAAAACTTCGATCGTATCACTCGGGTTCTCGCGAATTCGCGAAATTAGTCAAGCTTGCTTTGGGCTTAATTTACTTCTTTTTGCTGCGTGTTCGCAGCTCCGGATGTCTTGGCGGCTTCAGCTGCTTCTTTTTCCCTGTTTTTTTTCAACGCTTCCTCCCGTAGCAGAAGGTTGATGATTTCTTTCATGTGCTTAGGGTCCACCTATTGAGGGAGATGCAATTGATTCAGTCGGGAAAAAACAGGAAAAAGGTCGGAAAAGTCAAAACATCATCTAGCGAGACCATTCTCGTGCCGCATACTCTCTCTAGCTAACAGTTTCTAGAGCTCCGCCACGAGATGCCACGTGTTAGGCGCAACCGGAAACCGTTCGCTAAGCATCTTACCTTGACGTTCTCTCTGCCAACGAGATCGATTACTTTGAGAACGAGATCGATCTCAATTTTACCGTCGTGATCCGAATCGATCGTGTCCAGGACCTCTTGAATCATCTGTACTCGAGAAGCATCCGAGCTTTTCTTCAATCGATGCATCAAGAGCACGAGTTCGTTGATCCCTGAAGAGACATCCAAAGGTGACTTCTTTGCTCGAAAACTTTCTCCGCATGGAATCATTATTACTCCTGTCATCGTGAGAATGTATTTCGACTCGGGACCATCGAGGCTCCCTGTGGTGTCTATGAAGGAGAAATAAGAGCTCACCGATAATGTCATCTCGGACCGATTCGTCTTTGACGTCCTTCTGTTTGAGTTCTGCCTTCTCCTCGTTGAGTTTGTCGATCACGTTGTCCAGGTTCTTTATCATAGCATCAACTTTCTTATAAAGTCTGTGCGCTCCTTTTCCTTCACTGAGCTCTCCCGTTCCTCGAGTGACTTCGACCAGCTCCTTGACGTCCTCCTCGTAATCTTTCATTTCCTCTTTGAGATCATCGAGTTCCTCTTTCTCGACCAGGAGTTTCTTCTTCTCCAGAGCGATTGTTTCGATCGCATCCTCAAGATTCTCGAGATCCTCTTTCGAGAGTTTCTTCTCTTCGTCGGCCTTGATCGTTTTCGCCGAATCGACGAGCATCTCAGTTTCAGCAGCACTGACAGCTTCGAGCGGTGCGACGTCCTTGAGCTTCTCCTTCTCCTTACGTTTTGCTTCGGCCACTTGTTCTTCCTCTTGTGCTCTCTTCAGCTCCCGTCTCTCTTCTTTGATCGCCAATTCCTCTTGTCTGATCAGTTCCAACTTGGTCCTGTTGTCGACCTTGCCTTCTGTTTCACCGATCTTGAATTTAGCTTCCGTTATAGCTTGCATCGGGAGTTGTGTGATCGTTTCCCTCAGCTGCTCGGTGGCGTTCACAGTCTCCGGGAGGAGCATCGCTCGAGATAACAGTAACAACGACGGCGGTATTGATTCCCTCAAACTCAGATCCAACCACTGGTTCAATTGGTACCGTAATTTCTCTTCGGGGATTCCGAGCGCCCTCATCCCCCGGGCGCGACAGGCGGCTTGCAACTCACTGACAGTCAAAGAATCCAAACCCTCTTTCTTTATCACTGCGTCATCGTTCTTCAAATTTTTCAACCTCATCCGAAGTTGGAAGCGGAGCAGTTGCGTCGTACCTTCAGAAGAGGAAAAATTGTAAATTCATAGCCTAGAATGACCGACCTCAAAATTATCGCAGGATGATCCGGATCGGACGAATAGAAATTTTCCAGCGAAAAGGCTCGAGTTGACTCAGAAGACTGACGATTGAAGACTTATAGCTACGTGGAACACAATAGAGCCCCGCACATGGAACATGGAAATGAGTTTTCGCGCTCACCCAGAGTTTGGATGTCCAAGAGACGACACAATGCGACGAGCTGCTGGCGGCCGAGTGAATCTAGAGTCAGCTCGTCCTCAAATAGTTTTGAGAATTTGAGAATCTCTTCACTACTCGCGAAATTCCCGGATTCGCGAATCCTCTCACAGAATAGAGCGAATTCCTTGGCTGCGTGAGAATGCACTTCGCCTTTGTTCTTGACCGCCATCTCATCAAGCGTGGTCTGCAGGAACTTCGCCATTTCCAATTTCATCTTCAGTTGCGTTTTAAACTGAAATACAGGGTTCCCTCATTCGGATGCTCGTCAGGGAAATATAACGACGGAGGAAGATATGGTTCCTGGATTCCGTTGCTAGGCGCATAGAGAGTAGATTGTCACCTTGGCTTTCTGGTCCTTGGGGTCTTGAAATGTAGACGGGAGCATGCCCGGGAAGAGTTGCACTGCTATTGGCAGGAGAAGTTCCATGAAGGGCACGATAATGAACACGGAAAAAGGAACCAGACGGAACAAATCTGAAGTTGTTCGAACCAACTGTTTGTGTTCTCTCCTGGAGAGATCTTCGCCTTTCAAGATCCGATAGAGAAGTTGGCTGCACACCCGAACGTCAATAAAGAGTAAGCGAAAACCATGGTAATAATGTACAAGTTCGTCCCAGATCCGCTTCCTGAGCGACCTCTTGGGCGGTGCAACTTGGAGATGATCCTCTTTTCTGGCTACGGGTTTCGGAGCCTGCGCGCTTGATTTCTCGGCTCCCTCTTTCCGGAGAGCTTTAACAGTTTTCTCAACTTTCGACGACGGATCTAAGGTTTCCTCATCGGTTGACGAGGACGCTGCCTGCGAGGGAGGGGCCGGTGGAGGCAGCGGTGGTTGGGGAGTAGGAGTTGGCGGAACGACGGTAGAAAACCTCAAGAACGGTACCGGTTGCTGATGCAACCTGAGCTGATAGTCGCGTTGACCTAACCCCGCACGTCCCGGTGATCGCGAGGCGGCGATCACTGCGCGTGACACGCCGACCGTTCTGCAGCACAAGCGGTACATGGTCCTTCTGCTTCTATAATTCGACACGGGTTGGATCTAATCGCTCAATTTCATCTCTGAAGTCGCGAGCGTTCGAGAAAGAAACCACGCGACTCTCGACCGTCAGACAACTGTTCTCTACCACTAGACTAGGTACCAGAATAGCGCTATCCGCCGTTTAGCGTTAACAGTCAGAACAACAATGGTGCATACGTTCAAACGCTTGGCGCTCTGAGCATACGCAAGCATTGCGCTCCTGGTGGTTTGAGCGTCGGCCATCCTCTCGTAGTCCAAAGAAGGCTCAGCTATCGGCGGGGAATGCCAGTAGCCGATCGGGTACCTCCGCGAGCTGAGAGTACGCAAACGACTAATCGGTTTCCGCGCTTGAGTCACGAAATTCAAGCATCGTTCCTCGCCTCCATCCACCCCTGTATCTATATAGCTCGGCCATATACGGAACTATGATGTCTGAACTCAGAACCTCACATCATACACGAGGAGTGGACAAAGACTGCCTAATCATTATCATTGCAGGCGAATCCGCTACTGTGACCTCCGATTCGGGGACCGTTTCGAGCCCCAGATCAGGGACCTCTACTCCGAGTGATGGGCACATTGACCGGCCGTGCCGCGCGCGATCTGGCAGGGGAGCCTTCTGGTTCATACGACCAGAGCATTGCGTCCGATGACGAGAGCATCGGGAGATTTCCGTAGAAAGAGAATTTGACCGAACACCGGATGAGCAAGACGTGTCGGGACAGGACGTGTCGGGCGGGATCGAAGCTCCAGTGATGACTCATCAGGTCAGCAGTGATGAAGGGAAAAACGCGAGCGACTCCTACGATTTCCGAGACCCATGCATCTACCTCCGGGGGAAGATTCGCTCCACTCGCGAGGAACGACTGACGGAAGCGCGCGAGGCTCAGTCACGCTGGTCTGAGGTTGCTCCGTGCTTGGCTCCTGTGTGTTCACATGAGGCAACAGAGCCGTTCGTCACGGTGCCCCCCACGGCGGAGTTGCTCTACGACGTCTTGGGCAGCGAATGAGTCGATCAATTCCAATCCAGGCTCCAATCAGGCACTTATATGAGACCATTCCCTCGTAGGAGCTCTATCGGTACCCAATCACGCGCCTTATCCCGGCAGATTCTCCTTCGGCTCCCCAGAGCCCACCGGCTCAGCTGTGCGTTCCTGCACGGAGCTCAATAATAAATAATCGTTCTAGAAGCTTCTCCGTGTACATGAGGTCTTCCCGCCGTTTATTCTCAAGGATAAGTTATACAGTCTTCTTTCCGTACTTCATCGACCTTCTCATCGAGCCTCAAGTTAATTAAGGCACTCCTGCAGCGTTTCCTGCGCTGGAATGTCCGGATGAGATGGAGATTTCGAGGGGAATACCCTCCGGGATCCTCGAAGAGCGAAGCTGGGAGACTCGCCAAGATATCATCTCCAAGGCTTTCAAAATCGTATAGAAACGAATGCACGATCACGGTCATTCACGATCCGGTGCTGAGCTCCCGAGGATGCGCATCTCATGGAGCGTTGCTCTCGAGAGGGAAGATGGCGCTCACGTCCGGAGATTCGACAGTCATCGATTCCAACGCGCTGACATTCTGATCGGGAAGGAAGTTTGAGACCATCTCGCGGACGGTCATGTTCGATATTCCGGAGAGTCTCTCGGGTGTCTGGAGTCGGTCGCAGCTCTCGCGTTTCGGGGACGATGTGGCTCTCTGGGATGATCGTCTCGACTTCTGCAAGGTCTGCAAAAAATGAGATGCAATATCGGTCAGTATTGAGTACGTACTCAGGACTGAGGGCTTTCACCGCCAGGAACGCTCGTTCCGGGCTCGTCTTAGAGTTCCAGCATCGGTAGGGTAAGGGATATGAACGATATTTCAAGCGAGCAGAAAATCACGGGAGGAGGGAAACGGCTGCTGACCTGTCTCTTGGTATTCTCCAATACCTTGTTGGCAATGACTTTCGTCGCATGTATGCTTTCCGGCAGATTCCCGGTCTCAGCCTCCGGCAGAGTCGGAATCTGGGACAGCTCTTCTAGTACCGCGCTGATACCCCCATTAAGGATCATGCTTTGCGAATTTATAAGGATGTTGTTCATCACTGCAAGACCTCCGATCTCTTAATGGGTGGAATGTGGTATTTTTCTCGCGACCGATATACCGTTCGATTCCGCGATCGATCCCATCGTTCCCTTTTCACCCGTCATTGATTCTCCCAATCGCGACCTGGAGTCCATTGCAAAAACTCCTGGAATACCTTGACGTTGATACTCAGAGACATTCTTCATCTGAAGTCCCTGATCTTTGGCGAAATCCAGATACTTGAAAATAGCGCAGCTGACATCCTGCCGATCCAGTTCGATGACCCGCTTCACGAAAGACACCGGGTCTTTGAGATCCGAGTCGCATTTAGTTGGAGGTATGAGGTACGTCTGATTGACGTCAATCGCTCTCTTGATAAGATGCGTTTGTCTGGAAAGAGTATCTGAGGCTTGATCCGATACTTTAGATGACGCCGAATCTTGTCAATGGTCGACAGAACATCTAGGTCACGATTTTTTCATCAAAAATCAGGCGAGCTCCAGTAGCCACCTTCTGAGGTCTTCTAAGTTGAAGGTCTGATTGATCGGGGCGAGAACCGATGGGGTTTTAAAAACTTCCTCAGTTTTCTGATTGGCTGCGGGGGGGCCGTTCTTACGCTGTTCTCGACTCGGTTGGAATTGAAATTCCTAGGGGAGAAGAAAATCATGAGTTTAAACGAAATTGCAAAACATGGAGGGACAGCTTCCCCCGATTCATGCAAGGACGAATACGAACCTTTGGAACCGTGACCGCTTTCGTCTTCACGTTCGACACGACAGCCCTCGGTCTCGCTTTCTTGACAGGCTTCACCGGCTGCTTCACGGACACTGTGACGTTGACCTGGAACACAAGACCCAAGTCTGACGCTACGAGCTCGATTCCTAAAAAACTGTCCCTTAACCTCGGGAGTCACCACATCACTCACTTGGCCTCCTCGATAGAATTTGATGTCTGGTGCGAAGACTTTAATTGTTGCCCGGAAGGATTCTTTGGCCTCGAAAGCCGTGATCTCGAACAACTGCGAAAAATCGATGGGGGTTTTCGTCTCTTATTCGAAGGCTCTTGCAGAAATCACGCAATCTATTTGATCGACTTCCACGGAGTTCGAAATTCACCTCGACGCTCTGAGGCTGGATGACGATGGTTTCCGGTTTGATCTGCAGGGGTTTACCGGCAGGAATCTCGAAGTATATCCGCGACGGGTTATCATCTATGTTCTGGAGTGATAGGAGAGTGGCCTTCGACAACCCTGTCGGAAATGTCATTCTCCATTGAAATTCTGTTCTGCGACCCGAGAATAGAATCTCGCGTCTCGCGAAGCTTTCATCAACTCAGACTAAAAAATCTCGTACCCGGCTCCGAGAGTTCTATCTGGAGAGCTGGAGCTCTCGAGAAAGGTTTCAGCAGGAGGAACTCGGATGGTGAGCACTTTATTTCTTTTTTGTGAGGCGGTGAAAACACAAGCACGTCTCTGGACTTCGACATATTCCCACTTTACTGGTGAGCTTCAGCGAAGGGTCTTTACGCAACACGGTCTTAGAGCGACGCGACTTTTCTGCAGAGTACTATATCACAGAATAGACTCGCTTTCCTCTGACACAAGAAGGACCAGAAGTCTCGAAGACTCCATGGGATCGCGAGCGGCCGCCGACGGTTTGCTCACCAAAGTTTTAAATCGCTCAAGCAATGTCGTCTGCTCCACTTACGGATACCGCGGGAAGGGGCTGGGTAGAACTCCGGGCACGAATTCCGCCGGGTGTGGGCGAATCTGGCGTGAGATCCCGCGAGTCCCAGTTCCCAGAGCTGCCTGTGTTCCGGGCATCTGAGACGTCGCGGGATATTTACGTCGAAGATTCAACCACGCTCTACGATACATAAAAGAGCCTCTTTGTTTACATAATCACGGCCCCGTCGCTGCGCGGCTGCATCGAGTCGCCCGTTCGGAAAAGACCTTACCGCTCGTCACGAAGGACAAAACTGATCTTCGAGGTATAATCCATGTTTTTTCTCGTCTACTAGTTTTTAAATTCCGTTAGAAGACCCCCAGCATGCATCGGAATCGTACGAATAGGCCGAATGGGGTCTTCGCGGGGAATCGCGACAATATCCTTCACTTACGGAATAGAGAGCCTGATGAAAAATTCCCTTGTCGAGGAAAGCTTATCCCTGAAGCGAATCCTCCTTTCCATAGACTCGTTCTCCGATCCATCTGATGTGTAGGGAGCTGAACTGAATTAGATTCTGCTCAGATCGCCATAATTCTTTCTCCAATCGTGAGTTCGCCGCCGGTGTTGCGGGCTGATTCTCTTCCCGGGTGGAACTCACGTGTTTCGGAGTGTTAAATTCCGCCGGGAAGAAACGTTGTGATACATTGAGATGGAGACGAAATCTTTGGCGCTGAAAAAGTACTCGGAGTGAGCCTGTGTGGACTTTCGATTCACGGCCGGCCATCGATCCTAAGCCCAGCTGCTGCGGTGCAAGTGATTCCCCGCTGAAGTCATGCTCTCATTCTATGAGTTCCGGAGCTCCTCTTACCGCTCTCGCTAAGCCTCATGATTCTCCTCAAGTCCAAGGGGAGACTCGGGAAGCGGTATAGACCAGGTCCGAGGCCTTGTCCGAGTGGTACCGAAAGTTCCTGTGTTCAGAGAGATCGGTGACATCGGAGATCATGAACTTGGTGACGTTCAGAATTTCCTGGGCGAGAATCTTCTCATGGGGACGCGTTACGATGCGGTCCTGACCTAATGGGAAAATGATTTTTCAGCATGGCGGGTCACGGGAACGAACCGGAGTTCAAAGGTCTCCTGAAGTACTTCAACTCGACAACGAATCAAGGTCGCGCGAACTTCGCCATGGCAACATACGCCAGTTTGGCAGCGATCGGATTCTACATATACTTCAAACCCAAGAAAACGACTGACCCCAGTGCAGCGAAGAAATGAGTGGGAATGGCCGACTTAGAGGACATCCATCGCTCTTAGTACATAAAATGTCGAATTCTGATGGCAAATATATCTTCTGTCAAAGCGAATAAAGAGTGAAAAACCCCATCGAGGACTATTCCATTCGGATCGGCAACTCATTGCGAGCCGCGCGACCGGAGCCGTGGTGTATCCGCAGGATTCCTTTCCGGATGTTCGATTCGGGCTGATAACCCCCGATCGGTGATCCGCCTCGAGACTCATCAGCTCATCAGAAAAATAAGTGAACGGTGGTTAAGAGTTTTATATCATGAGAAATTCGCTTCGATCGAGCTCCCGACCCTCTGTTTTATTGAGAACCGATCTACGAAGTGACCGATGGGAATTCTGACCCTCGGCTTCGACACCCTGTCATTGCTTTTCAGCTCGAGATTCATGTTTCTTGACGGATGAAGGAACGCTGTCAGGACCCGTCAAATGACAGCATCCGACCCGGGAGAGGGAGGGTTCTTGAGTTTTCTGATCTCGATTTCAGCCACTTTCGGGGGTCTCCGAAGGCGCTCGCTACTGAGTTCTCGTCGGCTGGAGCACTTGTCTGAAGCCTTCAAACAAGAGGTCTGCCGGATTCTTCTTGTCAGACGACGAGGATGAATCCCCGTTCCGGTTGAATATTTGCCGCTGCAGCATTTCAGCGAAATTCGAGCCGCTCGACTGGCCGTTCTGGCCTTGCTGACCCTGCGAGAGACTCTTCAACAATGACGAAAACAATTGCTCTCCAGCACTCTGGCCATGAGCTGGGGTTCCTGAAGGTTGACCCTGGGCTGCCGAGGGACCCCTGTTCGATTGGAGTGTTTGGATCAAATTCGTCACGAACTGACTCCCTTCACTGTTCTGTCCCTGGAGCCGATTTAGAAGATTGTTGAGAACGTTCCCGGACGATGCGGGCGGGGGGTTCCCTTGTCCAGGGTTGCTCTGCTGGGCGTTCTGCAACTGGGACAGGAGACCGTTGAGCAATGCTCCAGGAGATGCCTTGGCGGTATCGCTCGGGTTCTGCGGCGCCACAATCTTCAGCACACCTCCTATGACTTTGTCGAAGAAACTTTTCTTGGGCTTGGGCGTTGTTGATGCGGGCATCGGGGGAGCGATCGGTGCGGGATAATTCGGAGGTGCGACGGGGCTGAAGTCCGTGGGAGGGGAAGCGGTTGGTCTGTTGTACGGGGCGACGGTCGGGGTATGAGCGGGCCCGTTGGACGGCATGCTGGTTGGCGCCGACGGTCCTCGAATGTCGTCGGGGATGGCCGGATAGAGAGGTGCCGCTGTCGTCGGAGGATACTGCGGAGGAACGGTTCTCGCTCCGGGCTTCGAATCCCCTGATTTCTCGATGAGATCAAGAATCGCTAGAAGTTCGTCGCGTGAGAGATCCGGGAGGTCCGCCGTAGGATCTTTACGACGGCTGCCGCCTGCAACAAGGGTCGGACATTTGAGCATACGAATATGTTTCTAGGGGCGAAGTGATACAGAGGCTCCTTGCTGGAATTTCTGCTTGTGACTGCCGGCCTCTGGGGATCACCGCTCCAGCATGGAGCAATGACTTTGTTAGCCTGAAGAGAGGGGTGCCGCAACGACATTATCTGATGGTCGTCGTACTGCGGAGAAACAAATGACTGCAGGCGTATGCTCCCGGCGATTAGAATTCTTTTCCTCGATCGAGACCTCGAACGATGGCCCGAGAAGAGGCTGACGGAGCTACGTACTCGACATCCCGCAAGCCAAGTCTAAGTAAGTAAAGGAAACATTCCCGCATTTCAAACAGTCCTCATATCCCTCAGCTGGGATGGGAGTTCGTCGCCTCCATGTCATAGCAGGGAATTCTCAGTCTCACCCGGTCTTGGCGTCGGACCTCCACCAGTCCTTACAGGAACGATGTCCTCGGTCAAACATCCTGTGACTGCCACCAGAACCAGGAGTACACGAGACGGGAACATGCTTCGTTTTATCTTTCGTTCAACTGCCACCTCGTATCTGGACAACGGCGGCGTCCGGTGTCCAATGACGACCAACAACGCGAAGAGAGTTGAAAAGTCTTCCCTCACCGAAGAGTGCTCTTCATACCGCAGCCGTTGAATGGGAAACGCGTGGACACAATTGAGACAATACAATGCAGCCGTCAGAGCGATTCCAATTGAAGTGGCTGACCAAGTTGGAGAAAAGGTTTTTGGCCCCTCCTACGGATAAATCAACCGCTGCGTTAGACGAGCCGCCGGAAACTCGTCAAGAAACTCTTCTCTACGAGTTCGAGTCAGGATATGAGTTTTGAGTCTGTCTCTCTCATAGGAATCTTTTCAGGGTCAAGGAAACGGCGAGATTTCTCTCACCGTCTCGCCATTTCGATCACGGAATCGGGCTCGAGCTGGCGCTGATCTCTGCGTCCAGCTTTCGATTTCACTCCCGGTCAAGAACTTTCCTTCCCGACCGACCTCTTCTACCCCGTAGTTCACCCATAGCTCATCGAAACCGGAATCAGAGAGGAAGTGTCAAGAGAGACGAGAACAATGTCATTTTACCCCGAATGGGAAGATACGAACAAAATATCCATATATTTATTGGGCGCTAACGAATTCACTGAGAGAGCGGAGGGTTTCGAAAGTGGTGAGCTCGTGCACAACCTCATCCACGTTTCCGACAGGAATGAGAGGTGCCGCGTGAATTTTGGAACCGTCCACACCGAACTCCAAGCTAGATAGGTATTCTAGGGCAGAAGAATTCTCTTGAGAGTCGATAACAAGCTTCTCCATCCGAGGCTCAAGATCGAGGTCGAGTAGGGTGTCATCGAGGACCGTCGATGGATTCTTCAATATCGGGCAGACTACCGGAATGGGCTGCACCGTTGGATACAGGCTTCTCTGGATTGGCAACAAGCTACTGGTCGCTTGGAGCTCTCTCGAGTTGCAGATTTCCTCGAAAGACGCGCGTATGCTGTCTTCTATGACTTCGGTGCTGCTTATCTCGGCACTCAATCTCTGTATGCTCTCAACGAGATTTTCTTGGAGGGTTTCTGTGGTCAACATCTGGTCGGTGTCCACGGTCCCGCATATTCGAACTTCCCCTAATTTCGCCGTCTTACTGGTGATGATCCTCACACAATTTCTGGCGATATCCTCTCCGAGCTGCTCGGAAACGTTCTCGCGCTCGAGACAAATGCGCAGAACTTCCGAGCTGAGTTTCTTCAATCCACAAACATGAGCCAGAATATTCATGATGTTACTCCCGAGTTTCGTGTCCCGAGGCGTTGATCGCAATCTCTGAATGTCGTTGTTGAGCTCCGCGACCGCGTTCGAGAGTACGCTGATGGCTCGTTCACCGTCGCTGTAATCGACGACTCGTTTTTGGAGGAAACATAGCAAAGAATATTTGGCGACTTCATCGAAGCTCTGTGTGACTTCAATCATTTTGGTCAGGGATGGCAAGCTCCCTTCTGCTCTCGCGAGCTTGGGCACTTTGATTCGTTTCAACGACTGAAGATGTCCCGACAAGACGCTCGGAACCGTCAGTAGAGGCGCGGCCTTCTGTAGGAGCTGCCCGCCTCGATTCAACAAATCAGCTGATGACTGACATGCCACAGCCACGGATCTGTCGACTTCTTTTTGAGCTGTCAAACGCTTGTGCTTCCTGTGGAGAGTCTCGAGGACTTCGGAGACGGTTTCCTCAGGATCACCACGTCTGCTTTCTTTGCCCTGGTCTTCGGTGAGTTTTTGCTTGGCTTCATGGAGCCGGATCGCATCCCTGAAGTGTTCGCCTGGAAATGAGAGAAGGTGTCGGCTCACACGTCGAGATCCCTGCTACACGTCTGAGACCCGGCATTCAATTGATTTCGGATGAGCTTACCGATGATCGGCAGACACGCTCTTGCTAGACACTCGATCACTTGGAGAGCCTCCTTCGGTAGGTTTTGTTCAGATGAGTGTTCTATCCCGAACTTGCGAAAAGTTTCGACTCTGATATCCTCCGAGTTCAAAAGGACGGTGGGCACAGCTGGCGGGTTAGGCATACCCGAGCCGGGGGCGTCTTGACGTTCCCTCTTGGTCACCTCGATTGCAAACCTCAACGAACGAAAGTCAGAGTAGAGTGGATATTAAATCGCTCCGTCGCGGCGGTTGTTGTTTGAATTACGAGACATTCGAACATGGGGTGCTCTGAGAATTCGTCTGCTACGAGGGGAAGGCGAGCGCCCTCCTCTCTCCTCCTCAACTGTAGTTGTTCGACGCGAAAACTTTCCTTGGGAGAATATTCTTTCCCCAAAACAAGGAGAACGAATGAATCAATGACGAGGGCGAGAGCGTGAGCTCCTGCGGTACTCTGCGAAACCGTGCGCATGGACGCTCATGTTTTTCCGTTTTTGCCGCGATCAGACTGCGGTGAGCTTCCCCCTCAGAATTTCCTCGATCAAACTTTTCCGATTCCGCTCCGAGGAGTCAGGGTCGGAAGCAATTAGTCGGGCGAACTGTTTGGAAGACTGACGAACTTCCGAGAAAGACCCCAAGATACTCTGAATATCGTCCCGGGAAGGCATATGAAGATAAGCGATTCTCTCCGACGGCGAGGCCGAAGCCGTAGTTTCAGAACGAAAACTGCATTGACGGAAAATACGAATAACATCACCAAATACAGCCCGATATTAGGGAATATAGCGACGGGAAAACGGGTACGACTGGAGACCTACGATGAGGTGGATGGGGATGTGTACTCCGAAATCAGCTAAGAGAACAAGGCCCAGAAGATTTGGCGCGGCGAATACTGCTGCAGCCTACCGACTGGCGTAAATTTACTCTCAAAACCTCGAGCCGATGTTCCTTTAAGGGTCACGACCATGTCAATGAGGGAGCGGGATCGAATCGGGCCGGGAATCCGTACTCTAATATCTAGTAAGTACCGTGAATATTCCAGTATGTCAAGAATGTTCATAATTTAAACCTCGCACGCGTTCCGATCCCATGGATAGCAGACCAAATTTCTAAGAATGAAACAAGTTCGTCCAGCTCGGTCTCTCGTAGAGCACATGCCTCTTGATTTTACCAAAAAATCACCTGTTCCCTCGTTCGAAAACTCAGGCTTTAGAGTTCCACGACAGGCAATCCGTTCCGTCCGATCACAACAAATAAGTCCCAACACAGTAGAAGCCCATCTCCAATAGTAGCCCGTCTCCTACAGAAGTCCCTCGGCGGGATTCTCAAGTCGGAAAGAAGCCCGTCTCCAATAGTAGCCCGTCTCAGACAGGAGCCCCTTAGGGGGGATCGAATCGGTACACTCCCGATTCCCCGAATCGCATCCCCCAGAATCGCATCTCCCCGAATGAATCCTCCCCCAATTCGGGCGCGCTGCTGGCCTATTCAGGACTCAGCGAAGCTCCTACGATCGTCCAGAACGTCCGACATAGAGCAAGTTTTCAATTCTTCCGGCGGATTATCGAAGCCACAGCAAATCAAACCAGCAGCCAAGCCTGCTCACGGGTTTTTCCCAAACATGACGGGATAAGAACGTGAACTACCTTCTGTTTGCTGTTGATATCTCGGGATTCTCAGCGAGTTCCATCTACGAGATCATCATCGGTGCAAACGCTCTTCTCTAATCTGTGCGGATTCATGGATATCGATCCCGGAGGCTAAGAGCCGTACGAGAACTCACAGAATGGAACCGAAGGAACTTCCACTCTCGAATTGCTCGATGGAGTCGGAGTTCTCTAACTCACAGCATTTTGAATGAGGTAAACCGATGCGCTCCCGGTTTTCTCGTCTTATCCGCTTCAGAGCGCTCATAGCACTCGGATTGATATTAGTTTACGTTGAGTCTTCACCACAGTTTTCTTCTAGAATCATAGAAGCTCCGCTCAGCCTGAAATGCGCCAGCAGCGCGCCTGGATTGGGGGAGTATTCATTCGGGGAGATGCGATTCGGGGGAAGCGATTCGGGGGATGCGATTCGGGGGGATGCGATTCGGGGAGATGCGATTCGGGGAGTCGGATCATAACCGATCAAATCAGACTTCCGAAAAGCTCTGTTCCAGAACATACCTCGAGTTTCAGAAGTCACGATAAATCCAGCTTTCCGAAGTCTCTTCTCCCTAATCACCGTCATCGCAAGACTGCGCGTAGAATCATGAGGAGCTCCATTGTAATAGAATCCCCTCTCCAATTGAAGCCCATCTCCAGTGGAAGCCCCTCTGCGAAGGGTTTGAAATAAAAGAAGCCCGGGCGGAAACAAATGATGCCGATTTATTGATGTTATTCTCGGATACTACTGTCTCTCTGGATGAGCTGGCTTCTGGTGCTCTATGTATGACCAGGACGAGGTTGACTTCCCCATGTCCGATGATGACAGTATAGATGGGGAACGACATTTCCCCGAGGGATTCCCGATGGAATTCGATGCTCCAAAACCCCAGAGAAGAGCTTCCCTTCCGGATCGTGGTCGCGCTTGACGGGAAATTCGAACGGTCACGCGACGTGCCCTTTCGGGTCTTGATGGACGACTTGCGAATACTCGACTCGCTCATCCGGTGGCGATTCGTCGGGATAATATTTTCTAGTGATCACTCGAATGTTACATTCATACTATATCGAGTATTTCTCGGTATGTCACGGTTCTGAGAAGGTCGAACGAAGGGTATCGGAGAGATGTTCCGGAAGCATCTACGTATAACGATCCCACCTCTCTTATCCGACATCGATCCGTACAGCATTGAAAACCGAGGACATCGTCGCCTGGGCAGAGGTTGAAATCACAGCGGAGAGACTGCTCGTAAGTGAAGAAGATCTCAAGATCTTTCTCCGTCGGTTCAGGGAAGTCCGGAACCGCGTCGGTCGTCCCTGCTTCATCCCTAATCCTTCGACGCCTCGAGTCAGCGAGTTCGGGACGTCTCGCATTTCCAGCATGCGTTCAAGAACCTCGTTGGACATCGTTCGATCAGACGCTTCCCGGAAGTGTTGTTCAGTGAATACGCAATCTTCGTCAGGGCTCCGATCTTCGGGTGCAGGTCGTTGTCGATTCGATGATCCAGGATGCGCCATGCACTGCTTCGACGGCCTATCGGATTCTCGTCACGAATCGGGAGGCGTTTGCTTCATCTGCAGTTGTCTGCTCGCGATTCCCGTTGGAGGCTGGCATGCAGGCAAGGGAACCTTTTTGCTCAAGAAGATTCCGGACATCACGGTAACCCCGATTCAGGAAGCATACATCGCCGGCCCTCAGAAGTCCTCCAAGACCATATCGATCTTGAAGGGCGATTTCCATGATTTTCGCATCGTTGACAGCTGTCGGGAACGGTCCCAGAATGTCAACGACGCATCCCGTTGTGGTGCGGATTGTGAAAGCCTCGCGGAACGGCGCTGTTTCCTGGACCCAATGTGACTCCCTCTGGCAGCAATTACTCGCACTCTCCCCATGACGCAGATAGTCTCTGACGTTAGTCAGAGCTGGGCGAACTCTTTTTCCGAAGAGCTTTTCAACGAAGTCAGGTGTCTCGTACTGGATCAGGTCATCTCTTAGGACGAAGAGTCTCTTCTCAATCGAGGCCAGCACTCTGACTTGATGGGGGACCCTTGTGCGGCCTTCCGGAGTACCGCAGATGGAGCAATAACTCTCGGTGGCAACAACTCTCTGGAAACGCGTTTCGATCAGCTGGAGAGCATTTTGGGAGCTCGTCGCGACACATGAAAGAATTGACGATGGAATAAGCTGAAAGGAACAACGCGGTCGAACGAATGCTCCGATGATTCGGCTCAAGCCTCAGCTGCGTGAGGGACACGTTCGGTACAGATTTGAGTTTGTGTTTTTCCCGAGGAAAATTCAAGGAACCCTCACTCGACTGGAATATTTTGAATCGGTAGACGCAGGATTGTAGCCCCCGAAACCCGCAGCTTTTCTTCGTATTTTCATCGGAAACCATCAAGGCGTTCGAGGCTCGGAAGAAGTCTCTCCGCAGGAGAGAGCCCGTCCCCCCCACAGGAGCCTGGCGGCATCGATCGCGGTGGATTTCGGGTCTTGTGGAGGATTATTTCGACTCCTTCGTCGTCAGCATGTGGGCTCTCCTCTGGCTTCGATCGCCTCTAGACCTCACCAACGTTCGGCAGAGATCATGAACATCAGCGTTTTCTATTCCTCTGTCTGGGTGGTGATTACTGCCACTTTCATCTATTTTCGTTGCCATTCTCTCGGGACTCGAGACGGTGTGCTCAGATATTTTTTTCTCGTGATTCCTTAGCCATCGGACATCATCCGCTCAACTGATCCTTCGTCTCCCTCACGGACACGGTTGCCCGTTCACAGACATGCGAGTCTATCGCCAACCTCCCATATGATAGCTGTCTGTCTTATACTGTGACATTAAGATTCGATACGTCTCATCTAGTCAGATATCGGAGGAGCCGTATTCCGTGGATTCGATAAGATGTGAGTACTCTCACGGACGATTTCCACTTTAAGAATCAGATCCCACTTCCAGCTGGCTCGAAACTCGAGCAGATGTCTCTCTTGAGTGAACTCTGAACTCCTCCTCGAGACTGTGCCAACCGAAATCCGGCGTGGTGACAGTCATCTTCTGGGAATCCAACAGATCTCTGTAGTTCTGGAATTGAACTATCGATCCGAGATTTGTTCGTCGAAGGATTCGGTGTAGTATCCGCTCATGCTCCTCAAAGCTAGAGATGTTTGTGAAAGCCCTCGAAACATTCCAGTTATCCATCGGAGCCATGGATTACCTCAGTCGCATCAAATCCACTGTCGTCGATACAGTGTCCAACTTGTCATCGGTTCTGACCGGGAACCCACTCAGTGGACAATATGAGATCGGGAGCTACCTCGGCTCCTACGGTCCCGGGTTGCATTGGAAGATGTTCGATGCGATCAAAAGATCCACTCGAGAAGAGGCTTGCGTGTTCCTCCTCGAGAAGAAGTCGCTGGACAGGTGCGTTGGTCGAATTCGTTTTTTGCTAATTCTGCTGAGCGTATTCGTCCCGTTCGCGGTGAACTCGTTCTGACAGCTGTGAAATGGAAGTGAAATATTTCTCGACAGGTACTCGAAGTCGGAGCGGGATTACGTTCTGAATTTTCTGAAGCAAGGAGTGGCTCAATTGACCCGTCTGCGTCATCCGGCGGTGCTAACAGTGTCTCATCCCCTGGAAGAATCTCGAGAGGCCTTCGCCTTTGCGACAGAAGCGTGTTTCTGTTCGTTGGCTAATGTCGTGAAATGTGATCGACCGGGATCGCCGTCTGTGGATCTGCCGGAGGCCGTGAAAGAGTATAAGCTACACGAAGTGGAAATCAAATACGGTCTCGCTCAGGTCGCCGAGGCTCTTGCATTCCTGCACCAAGCGAAACGAGTACACGGGAACATTTGTCCGGAGATGATCGTAATAAACAAGAAGGGAGCTTGGAAGCTCGCCGGCTTCGATTTGTGCGTCACGTTGACCGGAGACAACGCTCGGTACGACTTCGACACGACGTCCCCGCAAGCTTGCCAGCCCAACTATGATTTTATTGCTCCAGAATGCGCGAACGATCACTCGTGTACACCGAGCAGCGATATGTATTCCCTCGGTGTGCTTGTGTTCAGCGTTCACTCGAATGGAAGTACGCCGTATTCGACGAGAAACAACTTCCAGACGCTCAAAGCTTGTCTGGATCAGATGAAAACTTTCCCGAAGAGCAAACTTCAAGGCCTACCGAAAGGCGCCCAGGACCACGTGAGGCTGCTGCTGAGTTACAACTCGAAACTCCGTCCCGATGCCCACGAATTCCTCAAACTACCGTATCTCGAGGACATTGGAGTGAAGACTCTGAGAGATCTGGATAATCTCTATCAGCTAGACAAGGTGGGTTCAATATTATACTTTCATCCTTCCGCTCACGCTCATTCGATACTCTAATTCCGAATCCTCGATCGAAATTCCGTGACGTCCTCGATTTTCTGGAGAATTACGAAATCTCTTCCTGATCTATACGGTCGACCGATGTTTTTCGAGCCGATGAGGACACTCCCCATTGATGAATTCCGTCTCGAGGGAGTTACATAAACCAATTTCCATTCTCTGTCTGGTGATTTCAGGTAGCGAAATCATACATATTCAAAGGATTACCACCCGTCATCGAGAAGCTACCGAAGCGAATGAGCTTGTACCGGGTTTTGCCCTGTCTGGCTGCCGAGTACGTCAATCCCGAAATGGTTCCCTTCATCCTACCCAGCGTGCTTCTAATTATCGAAATGACCACCAAAGAGGAATTCGTTGCTTCGATTCTCCCTGATATGCAGCGAGTTTTCACCTACACCCAACCGGTACACATAATGTACTTGCTCCTTCAAAAAATGGACCTCCTAATCTCGAAATGTCCGCCCGAAGCGGTTCGGGATCACTTGTTACCAATGGTCTACCGTTCCCTGGAATGCAACTCTCAACAAATTCAGGAGCTCTGCCTGGGCACGCTGCCTGACTTTTGCCACTTGGTGGAGTACGGCTCGATGAAGAATAGTTTGTTGCCGAAAGTGAAGAAGCTCTGCGTTGTGACGAGTTTGACTTCGACGAGAGTGAAATGTCTCGTGTGTTTGGGCAAGATCTTGGAGCATCTCGATAAGTGGGTGGCGCTCGACGACGTCATCGCGTGGCTGCCCGAAATCAAATCGAGAGATTCGGCGGTGTTGATGGCCATCATCGGCATTTATAAGGTTGCGCTCCACCACTCCAAGTTAGGCATCACTAAGGAAATTCTGGCATGTAAAGTTATCCCGTTCCTCGTTCCGCTCGTCATAGAGGGCTCGTTGAATTTGAGTCAATTCAACCAAGTGGTCTCACTCATCAAAGAAATGCTCGCTCAAGTCGAGAATGAACATAGAACCAAACTCGAGCAAACGGATACCTCGAGAGAAGACCAAGCGAACAGCTCAGCCACTTCGCCTATCAATTCCCCGAACGCCGATGAGTTGTTTGCGGAACTCTCGTCCGATACTAATCCGACAAGCCGGTCGAAAGTAGTGAGCAACAAAACTCTTTCCCTCGAAGACAAACAACGAATGGTGCAACAAGAGGACGCCATGAGCATGCTAGTGAATCAAGCGCCTCTGACGCCCGACTTGGGGCTTCAGGCGAAACCTCAATCGGAGTCCAGATTCGCCGCTCAAAACAGCAAGACCGCTGCGAAGGATCTGACGTCTTCCCTCATCAATTCGAACATGATTAGTCTCCAGAATAAAACAAATAATCTCCGGCCCCGACAACAGACGCAGCAAAGGCAACAACAACAGTCCTTCCAACCGAATTACAACATCGACACTCAGACGCTCATGAGTCCGACGAGTCCGACGAACAGCTGGTCGAAGACCGAGAGTTGGTCCGTCAGTGGCAACAACTCGACTTCAAAGCAGAGCTCTACGAATTGGGACGATAACTGGGGCGACTGGTCGTCTCCTGCGGGGAATAAGTCGACGCTGGATTTATCGGAATTCGATACACTGACTCTCGAAAGCAAAAAGAACGATATACTTCGAAGGAACAAAAGTTGAGCATGGAAGGACGACGGGAGACGAATTGGAACGATTCCTCTAGTCACGAAGATTCAGTGGAGTTGAATGGATCCTCGATGCTTTGTGTCATTCCGTGAGATACCTTCAGCGGCGTGTACATTTCCCTCCTCCGCATCATCCGGAGTCATCAGAGTCGGATAGTCCTCGGGAAAGCCTGTCTCGACTTCCGACTTCCGACTCGCGGATGCTGAATAATTCTGAATCGCACTGTTCATCTGATTGTTGTGCTGAGAATAAACATGCATTCCGTGGCTAGGGTACAACGCGCCTAAGTTCTACGGCTTTCTACTGAAGAGTTTCTCCTTCGAACTCCGGCGAATTCCCGTGTCTCTCAGGATGAGTCTCGAGATTCTTGACTTACCATTCCCAAGAATCCTCGCGTCTGAGCTGAACGTGGAGAGCACACGGGTACAATATGCATACCAAATTGTGGGTCGATTCTCTCGAGGACCGAGCAGTGCCAGAGTGAGAGTGATCATCAATGAGTATCCTTTTCGAGGATGACATGAACCCGAAGAAGCCCTGCACGGAGAGCGATGTTTATTGTGAAGCCGAAATTCGAGCCGGATCCGATGCTGTCGATATCGGGGATATATTTCAAAAACTCAAGTTCCTTTGTTTGTTCGAGAATTGAAATCTAGATGATGACCCGTGTATCAAGGAAGGTCCCTTCCTCCTGAGCGTTTCGAGAGCTCTCACTCCATGCTCCGCTACAGCGGTGCTCGATTTGGATAATCACGAATCATTCGGAAGGGTCTACCGAACCGAAATCGAGAAGGGGACTGATGAGTCCCGCTCCCGAAAAAGCGGAATCTCTAATTTCGATCAATCGCGAAGACTGCTCTCCGCATGGGCGCCGAAACGACGGTACGTACGAGTCGGAAGTCCGCCTCGCCCGAGAGCGATATTGAGCCGCATATTGAAGAAACTAGAAGCGAACGGAGTCCCTGGAGTTTCCGCCAAAGATCATCGTCACCATTCTAAATTCCTCTCTGTTTACTCTCCCCGTCGTCTGCTACAAATCCTTCTCGATATGGTCCCCGCTCGAATCCCGTGCGGGCGATCCCGTGAACTCGGAAGATTTAGGAGCGAACGCGATCCCGAGCATATTGTAGCATGGACTCATGGGGGAACACGATTTGGTGTCGCGCAAAATCGCTCATACTGATTGACTCGTTCGATTGCAGAGACCCCCTCTTGGCCTGTGTGTGTGATGATGTGAGGTGCGTGAGCAGAAGACACCGAGACACCGCACACACGGGTCTGCTCTCTCGACGAGGAGGCACACTTTAGTTGTTGCTCTCTGGTCGAGCGGATCAGCGCTCTCGCTGCCGTGTGTTCAAAAGTGGAAAGAAAAACCGTTGATACAGTGCGTATCAGGGTGTGAATAGTCAGAAACACGTTGTTGATGCTAGTTTGATCTCGCTGTACATTCTTGAGTGGCCGTCCTGCACACGACATCTACGTGGCTCATCGGGAGGAGCGAATCCCCCCTGATTGCTCTCCGGATATTCGGAGAATACGCAATCGAGTTCGATTGATCGTCACTTGTCACGATGGAGAGCGAGGGCCTGAAGGGACTGAGTCTCTGTGACGGTTGTTATCAGGCGGCCGATCAGGAGCAAGCCGCTTCGAGCGATGCCTGCGATGTTTGCATGTACCGTTCGAAGTTGGCTGAGTTCCGGAATTTGCTATCCGTCAAAGACGGCCGAATCGAGGATCTCGAAGCTCAGGTAGAGAAGCTCAAGCTGCGACTGAAGGACAGTGAAAGCCAATTGCTCAACGGGATCGGCATCGTCGACAAAGCTCGATCAGATATCGAAGGCGTCGCCGGCGAAACCGACAACCACAATCACCGAAGCGACGGCGGCGACGGCGGTGCTGCCGGCAACGATCGCCCTCCGAAGAGTGCCGGCAAAGCCGAAGAGACAAGCCCGCCGGACGCCCGTCCCCACGTTATGCTGGTGGGAGACTATCTGTTTGGGAAGCTACGCAAAGCGCCCCATTTTATCTATGAGCAACTGGGCCGCATCCCGCGGTTTTTCAGTCGCACGAAGCCCGATGTCGGCGTACTCGAGATGACTCGCAACGCGGTCGACAGTCTGTCGAACGACAAGGTTCCGGGGCGGAACTTCCACATCCTCTGGTTCGGTGGCCTGCGCGACACCACGCTAGAGGATTACGATAGGAAGACCTACCTGGAGAAACTCGTGGCATCGTTGAACGAGCTCCAGAAGCACGAGCGAGCGCTCTCGGTCAATTGGTGCACTCTGCCCGAGTCCGCTCACAATGCCGAGGCTCGTGAAATCAATGAATACGTCACTAAGTGGATCAGCGAAATCGACGAGAAGACCAACGAGAAATGTCCGATACGTCTCGTCGATTTGCGCTACATCTCTCGCAGAGATGGCACCATGGAGCTCAACGAAGCCATGTGGACCCCGAAAGGGAGCAAACTCGTCAGCGAGTCTCTCAGAAAAATTCTGAACGACAGGCTCCAGTTCACCCAGAAAGAGCTCGAAGGTATCGAGGCTTCGTCCAAGGCGATGCTCGAAACTCGGGAGAAGAAGGAGAAAAACAGAATCGCTCGGAAATCCAAGCACGAAGCCAATCTCCAAGAGCAGCAATTGAGGAAACAGCAAAAAATCGCTAGGCAGGTCCTCCTCAAAGCTGGCCATTCGATCCCTGGTGGCGGAGCCGGCGCTCCATCCGCTCCGCTGAAAAACGGCGGGGCTAGCAATGGCAAAGCGAAAGCAAGAAATCTGAATAAGCCGAAACATCCTAGAAAATCCCGAGGTGGGGCAGCGGGAGTTGGGGGAGTACCTCCACCGGTGGGAGCCGGGGCGGGAGGAGTAGCGAAGTCTCCTGTGAAACGGAAGGCCGTTTTCCCCGAGACGTTCCAGGCGCCCGAGAGATCCTACCAGAGCGGGTATCCGACAAACTCTGAGACGTTCCCTGCACGTGAAAATCGTTCCGATCTCTATTTCCAAGGTTGGCACACCAAGCGATCCAGAGCTTCGAACGACGATCCCTCGTATTCGACAGGCTCCACCTCGGATGGATTCTACAGACGGGACGATTACTTCCGAAGGTCCCCCCCACCCCCCTCGAACGCAACTCAGTACGAGACCAGCCGATATCTCGCTTCCAACGAGAGATTCGCGCTGGACGATCAAGTCCGACGGGCTCCATGGGATGCGTACGATCGTTTGCGTCCGTGAGACCTGGAAAGGCCTACTTAATTTAGATGCCGGAGCGAGAATGACAACAACGAGAATATTTTGTAAAAATCACGACGAGTATGTCGTTTGTAGCAAGCGCAGACCTTATAATGTTGAGCCAGCATGAGGATTAGCGAAGTTTCTGTGCACGAACGCTTTCCTCTTGGAATATGTCTTTTACAGCAAGCACGCCGTTCATCTCCCATGGATAATCTAGGTACACATTTAGATGCTGAGGTATTTCGGTTCGATTATGTTCACTAAAGAGAGCAGTCACCTTTCTGCAATCTCTAACATAAATAAAACTCATGTCCATTGTGATTCCGTTCCTTTCCTCTGCTGAGTATCTTCCACTCTCCTTCCGTCGAGCACCGCACCTGTCTAGTGCGTCGATAATCCCCATGCTCCGAGACAGTACTCCAATGAATTCGGAGGAGAATTCCCGATGGCCGAACACAGACCTCGTTTGCCGGAGGGAATTCCACCGACGTCTCGCGAGGAGCGTTTCGATCCAGTCTACTCGACGGCGCGATCGAGTCTTTGATCCGGGAACTCGGGTGTTTCCCACGGTTTCACGTTTCCCCAGTTCCGATTCCGACATCCAGTTTCAAGTTGGCCTCTGGCGCGCCGTGGATCTCATATCGATTTTCATTGTCAACCAATACCCGCCGTGCTTTAAGCATTCTGTCTGGCGAAGGGCTCGCTTCGCAGAACTCGAGAAGCCCCCGAGAAGAGGAGCCCTCTGATGGCGGCGCACTGAAACTCAGAGAAAAAGCTCCGGAACTAGCTGCGACGCTTTGATCGGATCGTTGAGTCTCATCAATGAATGACTACCCCACTGGTCTAACATCGGCTCCGCGGCAGCGTATATGATGAAACTTTTCGTTCGGGAGACATTCGGTCTGATAAACCGGTCCGAGTCACGCCGCCAGATCTATCAGAAATGATCCCTCGTGGAGAGAGGCATGGGATTGAATGTATTGAGAAGCTTCTCACAATCAGACCCCGATGAATAAATAATAATCGATGAAGCAGGGCATTCCGGGGGGCCGAGATTCTTCATCTCGGAACTCACACCGGAGCTGTAACCCAAGGGGGCTCGATCACGTGGATGGTGGAGATCTTCCCCGACCACGGTGGTGTCCGCAGGGGAATCATCGATCCGAAGCACGGACACTCGAAGCATTGCTGCCGGCAGGAATGACCAAGCGGGCTCACTCTGGAATCCAACAGTGCTGATGCTGATGAAGCTCACCTAAGGTTTCTCTATTCGAGATGTCAAATACGTAGATGATTCCGGAGTGCGCAGCGACTACGATCCACGTTAAATGGTAGTTGTTCGTCGATCGCCTCTGTAGAAAAATCCGGCTCGGGTATCGAGCCGGGTTCTCAAATATCTGTCAGTCATATCGGTCGAATATCTGACCCCCTTCCCCCGATAGCCTATGCTGAGTGAGTAAGAGGCGAAACTCCAAGGGTCTGGAGAAGTTGCGCATTTATTATTGGAAATAAATATCCAGGAATAGGCCTTGACTGGACATCATTATCTGATCGTGCGACAATGACATCTCGCAGATTTCTCCAAGCAACTCAGAATGGCACTCATTCAACTTCTGTCGTCACCTCTAAAACGTATACTCAGGTATATTTCACAAAATTATGTACAATTATTGAATTATCTGAGCCAATATCCATCGATGGCACTTTTTGTTTTGATTCCACCTCTATGTACACACAACTGGTAGATATTCACAGATTGCTCGCGCATTCGTATCTAAACGTATTCCTCGTTGGTGTTGTTCGTCGCCGGTTGGTGATTCGATGCGTGCATCGAGTACGCCGAATCCCGCGAATGCTGTCGCGAATGCGATACGATGTTGTGGAGGCTACCGTGCAGCGAAGTTCGAGCGCTCGAATCCCGAGAATTCTGCCTGGAGTGAATGGAACGACTAGCAGCGGAATGCAGAGACAGGTTCGAGTCGCGAGAGTTCTGCCGGGAATGAATCGCTCGAGGCGCTGCTTTCACGACGGCCGGCCGCTGATGAGCCCACGAGTTCATGAGGTTCCAGTTCAAGGGCGCCGCACCGGGAGGATCGGGCGGCGGGACCTCGTAGGCGTTGTAGGCTTGCTTGGCGACTTGTTTGAGAGCGTATTCGCTCTGGGCGGGATTCGGAGCGGGCTGTTTGCGGGGCTTTGGGGGACATTTGATTTTTTCGTAGTTGTGCCCGAATTCGAACTCGGAACAGGTGAAGCTCTCGTTTTCGGATTCGTCGGCGCTGGAGTCGTCGTCCCTCCCGTCCGTGTTGGTTTCCAGCTCGTGATCGACCGATTTCGGGCCGATGTCGTCGTCGGCTCCCGCGTCGTTCCTGTCGTCGATGTCGTCATCGGTGTCCGACTGGACGGCATCCAACGCTCGCACCAAACTCGAATTTCTCCTAAAATCCAATCTCTCTATCTCGTCCTGCGTCAATCCTAGTTCGATCTCAGCAGTCGGCGTGCCGTTGAGTTTGTTCAGCTGCGCAGCAGCCGAGAGCGTTGCGCTCTGTAGCGCCGGAGACTCCAGGTCTTTGCTCGACGCTATATGGCTTGAGCTCACCGGCGATCCTAAACTTCTGTCGGAAATCGCCATGGGGTCGAGGTTCTTCGACGAGCTCGCCAACAGAGCGTTCTGGATCGGTTTGCCGGAAATGTCTCGCAGGGTGAGAATCCGGGGCAGAGGCTGAGAGACCTCGCTAGACGGGCTCAGTCTCGCCAACGGAGTGTTCTGGAGCACCTGGGATGGACTGTTCCGGATATTTGCGAGGGGACTCAGACTTTGCGCTAGGACGTTGTGGGGTAGCTGTCTTGACTGCAAATTGGGAATTGCGTTGCTCGCCGGAGGACTCAAACGGTTCTGGTACGGCAGCGGAGGTTTATTCCGTCGGTCGCGTACAGCACCCGTCGCATCCCGGTACGCCTTGTAGTGGTAGACTATGTCGATGTCCGAAGGGGCGATGCTCGACGCGTTCTCGAAGTCGTAGCATTCCGGAGCTTCGGAGCCCGCTTGTATGTTGTAGGCCGGCAGACGTGACTGGTAGACCTCCCGACCGCTCTCGTGGTCGGTCTTTTCCCGGGAATCGAAGTCCTGGAAACTGTTCAGAAGTGCCCCGCCATCGGACGGGGGCCATAGGGATCTTTGCTTTTTTGGCTGGAGACCCGCATTTTCCGGTCTCGATGGGGTGGACGTGACGACTTCCTGCGCACTCACATCCTGGTTGTTGTTGTCTCTCGCGGACGAAGGCGAAACGTAGGTATTCGAGATCTTATGCTCGGACTTCTGAGAACCCTCGACGGATTTACATTGTTTGAAGAACGTGTAACTGGCGAATAATCCGCAGATCAGCGTTGCGAAAAACACTATCACAACGATTATCCCGATGTTCAGAGGATATCTTGCGCCGAAAGCGGCGCCCATCGTGGTTTCGGAACAGCCATTCAGGATTTCGCCGCGCGCGATGACCTCGAAGTACGTGGGTCGGGTCGAGTTCATCGACTGCACCTCACGGTTGACGCTGATCCCTTGGATGCAACCGAAGAACGTCGGCGTGTTCCCCACGATGGCGTTGTAGGCGCTCGAGGCGTAACCCCCGAGCCACATTTTCGTCAGGAAGGGATCGATGAAGTCGTGGATCCCGTGGGCTTCGGGCGCGAGACGGATGTCGACGGTACGCTCGTCGAGCGTCATGCTGACCCACGGTCGGGGCTCGTGGTACCGAATCAGAGTGACCGTGTGCCACTGGCCGTCTGCGCATGAGGTCTCGAGATCGACGGAAATCATTCGGTCGCCTGCGGAGTAAGATCAAAGAGATATCGTTGATGAACGTCCGGAGCTCGAAACTCCTCTAAGGGCCTTCTAGCTAATTGTAGAATTTTGAGGGAAATTTCCTCTCAGCCATGAAGTCTGTCCCACCTTTGTATTGTGAGTGGTAGGTCAAGCGTCCGTTGGAGAGTTCCAACTTGGTGAAGTCGGCCTCAGTGGTGGACAGCATCAATAGACCATTCGTTGACTTTGTTCGGAACGAGAACGCCATGCTCTTGACCGGCTCGGGTTCAACTGATGTTTTCTGACTGTGAGACACCGAACGGTATATCTGATGTTGTAGAATCGTCCTGGGAAAAGTCGCTGATGATTATTATCGTTCGACTATTCGTACCGGTGTTTTTGGAATTTTTTTTCGAGATGAATTTGTAGGCCCCGAGTTCCGGACCGGAGTTGTAGGCCCTCTCTTCTTTTGCAACTGCTCACCTTCTCTGTTTCTCCTTCGGAACCAGTTCAAGGAAGGCCTCTCCAGCTATCGCAAACACCGACGAACTTTCGAGTTGGCAGTCGGGGGCAATCATTCCGTTCGGACAGACGCACGAAGAAGAAAACCATTCATCGATGCATTCCCCGCCGCCACATTTCGAAGCGCAGACGTCGCTCTCACGGGGACACATGTCGGAGATGAATTGGGACTTCAAGGGTGACTCCAGGTCGAGAGATTTGCCGTTTATCGAGACCGAGTGGACACAGCCAACGAAATCGTCCGACGAGAGCTGGGATGGTCGTTCCAGGATTGCTTCTACATATGGGACGCCACCGATGTATAGAGGGTTGTTGTTGAAACCTAGGGTGCCTGGAAAAGGATTCGACATCGATGAGATGAAGTTTTTCGTCACTCGCCGCTCTGGAGTCTCTCGGGGTTCTACATGAATGCGGAACTTCCTTCGACCTCGCGAGCCGTATTCCAGGATCTCAAGGGGAGATCCCGTGGAGAATCATGGAGTTCAATAATTGTATAATTTACCTGCATGTCCCAACACCGAAGCGGAACACGTAGAGTTGCTGTGAGAGCACTCCTCGCAGATTTCGCCGTAGCCGACGCAATCCACGACCGATAGCGAGGCGGTCTTTCCGTTACGGAAAACGGTGATCTTGTGCCACTGGCCGTCAGCGACCACAGTGTTCAGTGTCACGTAACTGATCGCGGTGCGGGAGCCTCCGAAGCTGAACTTCGGTTTCCCTTCGACGAGCTCCAGAGAAATGAAGTCGCTCCGACCACCGCTTTGAGATCCATAGTTGTAGGCGAGCAGGGCGTTCCGTTTGCTCGTGGCGAAAACGATCGAAATGTCGTTGGTACTCGACCTGAGCGTGGGGAATTCCATGAACGAGTACGGATGGAAGCCGTAAGTTGTTCTCTCGCAGTGTTTCCCGTAATAATTGAGTTTGCATTTGCACTGGTAGGCGGATTTATCCGCGAGACACACTCCTCCGTTCAGGCAACGGTTCGGTCTACAGCTGTCGCTCCGATGCTCGCAGAATGTGCCTTTGAAACCCGGCTTGCAGAGGCAGAAAAAGCCTCCGCTCGGCGAATTTTCGCACGATCCTCCGTTCCTGCACGGAAAAGCGTTGCAGCTGTCCGTGTTCTGCAGCTCACAGAGTCTGCCGAGCAGATGCGGCGGACAGGAGCAATAGAAACCGTTCTTCTGGTCGTGGTGGCAGGTCGCTTCCGGTGAGCACGGGTTCGGGGAACAGGGATCACGTTGAGATTCACAGTATTTTCCGTAGTATCCGAGGGGACAGGTGCATTTCGCCACGCGTAAAATGTTCGGAGACGTGATGATCAACGAGTCGGAGTTGCTGAAACGGAACTGACCACCCTGCTCCAATTCCGATTGACAATGCGCCCCGTTGAGACACGGTTTGCTCTCGCAAGGATCGTAACCGATGATCAGATCGAATAGGCTGTTCGAAGACGAGGATTTCTGGAATGCGTTCCTCACTTCGCTCGGCGAAGCATAGACCCCCGGGCGTTTCTGAACGGCCACGCTGATCTGAACGGAGCCTTCCGACTCGGAAATGCTGAAGGCCGCCGGAGCTCCCATGTAGCTCGTTGCCTGGCTGACGGTCTCCATGAAGTCCTCATAGTGAGCGGAAAGAAATTCGTCCGCGGTCGAGTTTGGCCACAGGAGCGTGATCGATTGTTTTAGGGTCGAGTTGTCGAACGAACGAAACTGAACCATAACCGTCGAGAGGACTTCCTGGTGACGTCCGTCGTTTCCTCTCACGACGAGGTGGTAGTTCTCAGGATGCTCCGACCGACGACTGTGCAGGGAACAACGTCTCGGTAGGCTGAAGACTGACGTGTCTCCCGATTGGATCCTACAGTTGAAGTCTCCGACGCTATCGATGTCCAACGGCTGTACGTCGGCTATTTTCCCGCCCGGGAAAACCCCGTTCAGCGTCCACACGATGACAGTCACGTTCCGCGGCGACGATGGATTATCGTTTTTGTCCGTGACGTTTATCGTGATTTTTGTGCGGGATTTGTGCATCGGCGAACCGTTATCGTGGACCTCGACGATCAGATCCATCTGAGGATTCGATTCTCTGTCGAGGGACTCGACGCTCCTCAGCACTCCGCTGTGTCGGTCGAGCTCGAAACGGTTCTTGTGAACGCCACCGACCAGAAAATACGCGAAAGGTCCGGTGTTCGGCGGCGCGTCCTTGTCCTTGGCACTGAGCACCATGACCGAGGTGTACGGCGGCTCGTTTTCGGCGATGTAGCCAACGATCTCCGTATTCTCGAAATAGGGCGCGTTGTCATTGACGTCGGCGATCGTCACCAAAACCGTGGTCTGACCCGTCTGACTGGGGATCCCGTTGTCGATGGCTCCCACCGTGAGGTTGTAATGCGACATGGACTCCCGGTCCAAGTTCGAGGCCGTGTGCAGATCGCCGGTGTTCGGATCGATCGTGAATGCTCTGTTGATGTTTCCGTCGAGGATCGCGTACACGAACTGATTGTTGCTCGGTCGGACGTCCCTGTCGGTGGCGGACACCGTCACGACGTAATGGTCGAGGTCCACGTCTTCGGGTACTTTGACCTCGTAGAGAGACTTTGAGAACACAGGCGGATCGTTTCCATCTTGGATCAGGATCACAACCTGAGCCTCATCGGTGTCGTTGCCGCGAATACTTCCGCCGTTCTTCGCTATGGCGGTAAGGACAACGCGAGCCTCGTTCTCGCGGTCGGGCTTCCGGGCCACAGAGATGGCGCCTGTGCGCGTGTCGACTTTGAAGCCGCGCTCGTTGTTCGCCCCCACCAGGAAGTAGAGCACCACGCCGTCTTCCCCGGCATCCTCGTCGATTGCTGTGATGTTCCCAACGAATTTCCCGACGGGGTCGGATTCGCTCGCTTGGAACTCGAAGATGCGCTGTGTGAATTTCGGGTAGAACTCGTTCCTGCCGAGAACGTGAACCGTGAGTTTTGTCGACGTGAACTGTACGGTCCCCGGATTGCTCGCAACAACTTCGAGCTCGAAGGCCGCTTGTTGCTCGAAATCGAAAATCGCTTTCGAGACGAGCACGCCACTCACGTCGTCGATTGCGAACAGGCGCGACTGGGGACCGAGCAGGGAATAACGAATTATTCGATTCCTCGGCGAGTCCTCGTCCGTGGCTTCGAGTTTCGATATTTCGGTATCGACGGGTTCGTTCTCGTGAATGTAAGCGTGGAATTCGTTCGCGCTGAACCTCGGGGCGCAATCGTTGACATCGGTCACCACGACCGTCAGCGTGACGAATGCGCTGAAAGAGTTGAATGCGAGGTCACGAACAGCGACCTTGAGACTGTATCCCTGAGCCGTCTCGAAATCCAAGCTCTCGTTCAGCGTGACGATTCCGCTGTGCTTGTCGATGGCAAAATTTCCGTTGGCTTCAATCGAGAACGCCAACTGACCGTTCACGCCCTCGTCCGGATCTGAAGCCTGGATCGTGAGGAGCTCGTTGCCGACGGGTTCGTTTTCGGCAACGGAGATCTGGTAGCTCGCCGAGGAGAAACTCGGCGCATTTTTGTTCTCTTGAGTGATTCTGATCGTGACCGTGACAAAGCTTCGCTTGAGAGGCGCTCTACTGTCGCTCGCAGCGAGTTCGATCTCGAAGACGTCTCCGAATCGGTCCCGTACCGCTTTCGCTAGAGTTATCCAGCCGGTGTGCGCATCCAACTCGATGAGATCCGTTCCGTTGCCTCCCGCAACGTGAAATTGCACTTCAGCATCGAGGTGCTCGTCTTTGGAAGTGGCTTCAACCTGAATCAGAGACGTCCCCACTGACAAGCTCTCCGGCACGGGTACGAAATACGATTTCTCCACGAAAACGGGGGCGTTGCTATTGCTGTCCATGATGTTTACGATTACGGTGGTCTCACCCGTCAGCGCGGGTTTTCCGTAATCGGTGGCGACGATTTGAAGAGTGTGAATGTTTTCCGGCGAAAGTCCCCGCCTGCTCTTCCGATAGGTGAACGTCCTCTTCGTCGTTATGTTTCCCGACATGGAATCGACGTGGAACGATTCAGAGGGCCTTTTGAGGAAATACGATATTCTCGAATTTCTCCCTTCCTTGTCGCGATCGATCGCTTGGATCAGGCCGACGTAGCTCTGGATCACTTGTTTCTCGGCGAGGTAGAACGTGTATTCCGTTTTACCGAATTGAGGGCTGTTGTCGTTGACGTCGGTCACGGTTATTGTGAGAGGCGTGTCTTTCTTCCAGGCTCCGTCGAAAACCGTCACTTTGAGGTTGTACTCGTCCTTGAGCTCCCTGTCCAAGCTCCCGGCCACCGTGACGTTCCCGGACACGGGATCGATCGCGAATTTCCCGCCAGGATTCTCGTTCAGAGAATAGGTCGCAATGGCGTTCTGACCGATATCGCTGTCGATGCTCGTCATCTGGATCACGAAAGTTCCGATGGTCGCGTCCTCGGACACGTTGGCGCTGAACAGTCGCGTGAAACGAGGGCTGTTGTCGTTTTTATCGGCGACTTCGACCATCACTGTGCAAGTTCCCGTGTTGGCGGGAAATCCTCGGTCGACGGCCTGGACGATGAGACGATACCTCGACATCGTTTCCCTATCGAGCTTCGATCGGGTGAAAACTTTGCCGGTGTCCGACTCGATCGAGAACAGGGACGTTTCGGCGACGCTCTCGAACTGGTAGAACACATCTCCGTTCGTTCCTTCGTCCGCGTCGGTCGCGTGGACCTGAGCGACGAACTCCGGGGGTGCTTGTTCCTCCATGACCGTGACGTTGAAAACAGCTTGAGAGCACATCGGTGAGTTGTCGTTCACATCCTGTACTCGAACCTGAAGCTCGGTTGCCGCCGATAATTTGGAATTGATGTTCTCCGCCTGGATCCAGAGGCTGTATTCTTTCACAGTCTCGTAGTCCAATTTTTTAGCCACGAACACAGCTCCGGTCGAGGCGTTCACTCCGAAAACGTCTCCGAGATTTCCACCACCGATCCTGGAACAAGCGACATTACGGATTGAGCGAGCTCTGAAGCAGATTCGGAAATTCAACGCCAACGGAAACGGTCGGAGTACGAGTACCGCACCTGTAATTTATCGTCGAGTATAGGGAAGACTTCGCTCTGATAGTTGTCAGGAGAAGTCCTGGGGACGTGTCTTCAGGCAGCACGAACTGCTGCTTTCCCCCCTGGATTTCAGGGAAGTCCACGTGTCTCTCGACTCTCACGCGTAAAATGGCGTTGGATGACATCGGTGGTTGACCTTTATCGGATGCGATGAGACGGAATTCGTACGGGCTCTGCCGGTCCGCCATCCAAGGCTTGCGTTGTTTCACAACGCCCGTGGTGGGCTCTACGACGAAGAAGTCGACATCTGGACCGGAGAGCGAGTATTCGACCATACTGTTCAGTCCGATATCCGCATCGTGGGCCTGACCCCCGAATACGAAGCCACCTACGAGAAAAAATCTTAGATCGAAGATACCCATACGACAGCCCTACCGGGACGGCATACCCTCTTCACTCGCTAGACCTCGGAACCCCCACCATCCCCCTCTACTCGGGGAAGGAGGGGGAATTTCGAACCCTCGATTCAGTTGTCAAGAGATCCCGGAGGCTAAGGTATCGCGATTGCAAGTTTTGGATTTTCCCCCGATTTCCTCCAAGCAACAACAAAGATCGCTATTCAGCGCTTACCTTCAACCCCTGTCTCATCGACTTTGATCGAGTAAATGCTCCTGTGGAATTCGGGGGCGTTGTCGTTGACGTCATCGATCAGAACCCGAACGCTCACAGCCGTCCATTTTTTGATGGCCAGACCGGAATCGGTGCAGTTGACTTCTAGATCGAACGAAGCATGCTTTTCTCGATCGAAACTCCGTTTCGCGATCAGAACACCTGTTTGAGGATCCAGTTCGAACCAGCCTGATGGTTCTTTCAAAGTGTACCTGCGGGGGGATATCAGTCAATGGGTCGCTTCGCGTGAGATACGCACATCCTTGAAATTCCCTGCTAGCAGAGGTATCCGGGGTCCGGAAGAATTTCAAATCTGCGCAGGCTCACCTCAACAGAGCGTTCAGGCCTTGGTCGCTGTCGGTTGCTGTGATTTTTGCAATGAATGTGTCGGCGGGCAGATTCTCCGAAACATGAATCTCATAGAACGGCTTCTCGAATACCGGTGCGTTGTCGTTGCGGTCGCTAACCGAGAGGATCAACGTCCCCGTACCGGTCAATCGCGGGGTCCCTGAATCGATGGCCAGAACCGTGGCAGTGTACTCGGACTGCTGCTCGCGGTCCAAGCTCCGCATGGCGTAGACGTTTCCGTTCGAGCTGTTGACGCGGAAGAGCGCCTTATCCCCGTCCAGAAGTCGATAATATATGTTCCGATTCGAGTCGGCGTCTACATCGACGGCCTGCATCTGCGTAATGAGCAATCCCCCGCCGGACGGAATGATCGCGTTTTCGACGATGGAAGCCTCGTAGGGATTGTCCAAGAAGGTCGGAGGGTTATCGTTTACGTCTTTGAGCGTGATCGAGATCATGCACGTGTCGTGACGTGCTTCGGTCGAGCTGTCTTCGGCCTGAACGGTAATGACGTAACGGTTTTTTCGTTCGTAATCGACTTGCTTGTGGACTCGGATGACGCCGGTCTCTTCATCGATGGAAAAATCGTGGTTCGGATCACCGGCGACGATACTGTAACGTATGAGTCCGCTCGGCCCGACGTCGAAATCCGTGGCAGACACCTTGATGACGGACTTCTCGACTGGAGAATTTTCGCTCATTACAGCTTCGTACTGCCGCTGCTCGAAAACTGGACTGTTGTCGTTCTCGTCCAGGACGTGAACTATGATGGTGGTGGTTGCCGAAAGCGGTGGTTTGCCTCGATCTTTGGCGACGACGATAATCTGATATTCTGATTTGAGCTCGCGGTCAAGCTCGCTGTTCACGCGTAACAGGCCGTCGACGGGTCCGATGGAGAACAGGGACTCCGATCTCGAGGCGAACGAGTACTCGATGTGCGAGTTCCGACCCTCGTCACCATCGACGGCTTTGACCGCCATGATTATCGTGTTCAAGGGGGCGTTCTCAACGATTGAGCTCGTGTTTGGCGAAACGAAATGCGGTGTGATATCGTTCACGTCTTGGATCACAATGGAAACTTGTGCTATTGATGATAGTCGTTGTCTCGGGTTAGCTGCGCGGTCTGGAAAACAGAACGGGTCCGTCGTAAGTGATCGCTTCGAGTTTCCGATGAATCTGTCTCCTCCCTCCCGTTGAACAAATTCATCCGAACCCGTTAGTGGGCACACACCTTCGGCGGAGACGATCAGATTGTAATGGGACCTCGTTTCTCGGTCCAGCGCGCGTGTAGTGATGATTCTTCCGTTTTCAGAGATTCTGAATTGTTGATCGTCGTCTCCTTCGAGGATCGTATAGGATATCTCCCCGTTCGGACCTGCCAAGCAGAAGGAAATCGATGAGCTGTCGAAAGGGAATTCACAGATCCTGTCTCGATTCCGATCGTCGAAAGAAGCGATCTGTCAGAGAACACCGAACTCGGCAAAGCACGGGACTTCAATGAGGGAACCTGCCTGAATCGAGATCCGAAGCGTGCACAGATAGCACGGTGGTGTTGAGGGGAGCGTCCTCGCGCACTTCGGCAGTGTACGAAAGTGGATCGAAGACCGGCGAGTTATCATTGAAATCTATGACGTTCATGTAGACCGTCACAGTGCTGGACAGACTGGGTACTCCTGCGTCTTGGGCTGACACGACGAATATGTAGTGTTGGTACTGAAATCAGGCAAACGAAATCAAATTTAATCAGCGAAATTTCCGACTGTGTCTTGCAGTGACCAGCGTCTCGGCGATCCTAAATGGTCCGACCAGCGTGAATATTAGCTAATCAGGTTCTACGAAGAACACATTATATCATGACATTACAATTGAGTGCTTTCGGTGTTGAAGGCCTGGCTCTACACTCTGATTCCAGCGGATGTGGAATATGTATATTGTTTCTCGGACCGGTTGACTCATTGTCAGAACATTCTGCGGAGCAGCATGCGTCGGTGACATAATTATAATCAAGCCTCGCTGAAGAAAGCGAGATTGGGAGAACCAGTTTTTCGGTAAGACACCGCCTGCCGCAAGAAACGTCGCCGGCCGCTCCCAAGCCGAGGAGGCGGTGCGAGAATCTTTTTGAAATTCTGTACGTCGTCGCAGAAAACGCGAGACTCCACCAAAAGCCAACAGCGTGTTTATATCATTGTGTTCGGTTGCGAGTCGCGTCCGAGAAAAAAAAGGTGTAACTAATGAGCCGTCGGGGCGAGCGGTGCTCGCTCGACTTCTATTCCAGCTTGATAGGGATCCGTCTTCCAGAGTCCAGCTCTGACGCTGCCGCCCATCGTTGTGCCATTCCAGACTCGAGCGAGGCAGGTTTTCGATCTGTACGACCCCTTGATCCCATCTCGGATCTGCGATTCGATAATAATTGCTCACGCAATTGAGCACGCGTTCTAAGTGTTAGTTGTCGTCGGAACGGCAACAGAAGCGCTTCACAATCGACCCCTCCGTATAAACAACAGTGACTAACAAAGCGACACCGCGCGCTTATGTGGACCGATAAAGACTCGACGGTGTCGTTGCTCCGAGCTTCTCAACCGTCAGCCAGCCGCCAGGTAGCAGCAGCCAGAGAGCCAGAAAAGCGCTCTGCCGTTTAGCCGACCGGACAGCCGGTCGCTCGCTCCGTCGGTCGAGCATCAAGCGTCGACACGGAGCTGCTGAAAAAGCACAAGGAACCGAACGGGCAAATGAGAGGCGGCAATCGGTCGGTCTGTCGCTCCCTTGCTCGCTCGCTCGAGATGGATAGACACTTCGCCAGCGAGCCAGACAGCAGCCCGCATCGAGGGGCTGCTCCTCTGATCAGTTGCTCCATGAGTTCACATTCATCAGCGGACCTCTCGCAGCTGAAATCGCTCACGCCTATTATCTAACTCGTGTAGATGCTTTTCGACTTACACTACGAACAAGTAAACCTGTCAGATTGAGATGAAACAGAACGTCAGAGTTGTACAATCGTCCACCGTCCTCCCCCCCCCCTCCACCATCTACCCATGTACCTGCTACATGAATCCTCAAAACTCTCGATCGGGGTTCTCGGAAGCAGTCTTCTTCTCTCACGATTAGACGAGCCCATCGCGTACCTGACCGGCCCCGCATATCGGCATGCAGGAATGCGGCTCGAGCTCAGTCAGTCAGCCAGCGATATCATGAGATCCCGGGAGATTGAAGCATAATCGCATCCGTTTCACAGAATCCGCCAAAACGACCGTTCTTGCTCGTTCGGGAGAAACAAAAGGAAAACACGAGCAAACCTACCTGCTCGTAGTCGAGGTTCGAAGTCAGGGTGAATACTCCGGTTTGTGGATTGAGCGAGAACAGATCGTTTCCCCAATCAGACAGAACAGAGTAGGACACCTGGCCGTTCTGCCCGATGTCAGCGTCCGTGGCACGAACGCTTCCGATCTTGTGACCTCGAGGAGTGTCTTCGGGTATATCGAACGAGAACATGCTGTGGCTGGAAGCATTGGATTGTTGTTTCAATATAGTACTTCGATCAGAGACACCGCGCCGACGATTCGGCGACTGTTTGCGTTGTTCGTCCCTACCTGAAGACAGGACTGTTGTCGTTGGTGTCGAGAACGGTGATATCAACGTTCGTTTCGCAGCTCTGGACGCCGTCGGAAACACGCACGGTCAATTGGTGCTGGGCGGCTAGTTCTCGATCAAGCTGTTCGACGAGTACGATATGACCTCTCATGGTATCGATCTGAAACCTGGACGAGGAAAACTATTGAAACGTTTTCCGGCGCGAGCTGCGGCAGGCGGGACGAGTCTGCCACGAGTGTCGTATCCGCGATTCCCGCATGGGGAGCGTTTGGGTCTTCGCGAAAACTCGCGAATGGCTGCGGAACATCGAGCTTGGAAGTTCACGAGCAACAGGACGGTTTCGACGGACTCACCCTTGGAATGCACTTCTGTCCTTCGACGACACGAGCTCGTATTTCACGGAGCCCTGGAGATCGGGATCCTCGGCGTGGACCGTCAGTATGGTGGTGGAGGTCGCGGCATCCTCAGAAATTCGTATCGCGTACGGCACTCCCGTGAATCTGGGAGGCGTGTCGTTCCGATCCGAGACGCGGATGATGGCCTGCAATGTGCAGATTGGAATGACCGGAATCCGTGGGGATAGTTGAGCTCAATAGTTCCCCCTGAAACCCAGCTTCCAGTCGTCCGAGGAGACATCGCCTCCGATAGTGGCGACCGAATGACCTGCTGAATTCGTCCCCGTGGGTCCAGGAAGACTAGGACGACAGGGTAGGGGGGAAAGGGCGGGTTCAGCTCGACTCACCTTCGTTTTCGCAGTCATTGGTGTTCTAGCGTTTCGATCCGTGGCGTAAATGATGACCTCGTAGGGTTCCGGCTGTAGCTCTCTATCTAACGGTGTAGCCGTCTCGATGACACCGGTCTTGATATCTACAACGAACTTGCGACCCTGGGGACTGCTGCCCGCCGACACGGCAGTAACGTAATATTCCAGTTCGGAATCTGCCCGACCCACAGCGCGAACCGACAGAACAGATGTCCCCGCGGGCTCGTTTTCGCCTATCGATCCGGAGTATTGACTTTTCTCGAAGCGAATATCAGACGATTCACCAGCAGATGTAATTATTACGACCCGTGTCTCGGAGCTGCGTCTCTGGGATATTGGAGCCTCGTCGAAAGCTCGAATCTTCAATTGATAACTGACGTCGAACTGCGAAGTCGGGAGCAGATTTTGCTTGAGGAGAATCTCCCCCGTCATTCGATCCAGGTCGAAGAGATGGTGGATACCTCCAACGAGCTCGTAGCTGACCTGACCGTTAGTTCCCGCATCGGGATCTGTCGCAGTGACCGCCATGATACTGTGGCTGCGGTTTGCCGGCACTGGCAGTACCGCCGTTCCCACCGAGATGAAGCTCGGGGCGTTATCGTTCACGTCTTCGATGACCAGGGTCAGAGCCTTCTCTGAGGTCAGAGCGGGCTCTCCATGGTCGGTGGCTGTGATGGTCAGTTTGTAGGTATCAGTGAACTCCCGGTCGATCTCCCTGGCCGTGTAAATCTGACCTGTTTCGGCTTTGATGCGGAAATGGAAAGGCTCGGTGTGCGGAACCTGCCCCGTCAAGGAGTACGAAATCTTCGAGTTCTGCTTGAGGTCGCGGTCGGTCGCCACGACGCTAGCCACCATCGTGTCCGAGGCTATTCCCTCTCTGACCGTGCGTACGATGGCCCCGTTCGGGAACACGGGAGCGTTGTCGTTGACGTCCGTGAGCTTGAGCTGGAAAACGATGCTCGTCGACAGGCTCGGCGAGCCCCCGTCCGCGGCCGTGATATTCAGGGCGTACGAGGATTTCTGCTCGAAGTCCAGCGCCTTATTCACTCGGAGGACACCGGTGATCGCGTCGATCCTGAATGCGTCCCTGATGTTCCCGGCGGAAATCGAATACGAAACCTCACCGTTGAGTCCGAGATCCATGTCTTCGGCGGAAAATTGATAGATCTCCGCTCCGATTTCGGTGTCTTCCGGAATTTCCTTCGATTCGTGGGTGGACGCATTGAAGACGGGAAAATTGTCGTTCTCGTCCAAAATGATGAGGTTCAGCGTAGCGACCGCGAAGCGCCTCGAGGCCATCGGCGCAGCATCGGAGGCGATCACCGTGAGACTGTATTCGGTGACAGTTTCCCGATCTAAAGTTTTGCTCAGGGAAATCTGGCCCGACACGCTGTCGATCGTCACCACGTCCGTGTCCGGGATGGTGTACACGATCATACCGTTCGGACCGTCATCTGGATCCGTGGCACTGACCCTCGCGATCTGCGTGTTCGCAGGCGTAGATTCAGAGATCGGAGACTTGTAGACTTTCCTAGAGAACACCGGTGGGTTGTCGTTCTCGTCCAGCACGTGGACGACAATGCGCGTCTCGCTTTTGAGTCGCGGATTACCGTTGTCCGACACCGAGGCCTCAACGGTGATATAGTCGTGGCTCATGGTCTCGACAAGTTTTTCTCTGTCGAAACTCTTCAGACTTCTGATGACTCCCGATCTCGGATCCACGGCGAAATCGGTCTGATCGCTGCTCAACGCGTAGGTGAGCTCTGCGTTCCGACCCGAGTCGGCGTCTTCGGCTACGAGGATCCCAACGAAGCTGTCGGGCTCTTGATTTTCGACAATGGAGAACACCAGGTTGCCGTTAGGGACGAAACGCGGAACGTTGTCGTTATCGTCGATGATGTGGATGGTGAGTGGAACGCTGGAACTCCTCGGTCGTGCGCCGTTATCGCGTGCGGTGACGACGAGCACGTAAAAATCGTGATGTTCGTGATCGAGAGCTTCCTTGACGAACATTTGTCCGTCGGGGAAAATTCCGAACTTCTGTTCCTCGTTCCCTCCGGTTATCGAGTACGTTACTTGACCGTTCTCCCCCACGTCGTCATCGGCGGCGTAGAGCGAGAAGAATCTTTCGTTCACCGGGGTGAGCTCCGCCAAACTGATTTCGTAGCTCGTATGGTCGAAGAACGGCGTGTGATCGTTGACGTCTTCGATTTCGATGAAGAGCAGCTGGCTTGCACTGAGCTCGCCACCTCCACCACCGTCGTCGCCTACGGTCGGGTTTCTCGCTGTGATTTCGATGGGTATCGTGCGCCCGGCTTGCTGTCCCCGGAGAGAGCGTTTCAGACGGACGACGCCTACATGCTCATCGATGAAGAACAAATCCTCGGGATCTTCTAACGAATAGAGAATTTGAGCGTTCGGACCCTCGTCTAAATCGTTGGCCTGCGATACGAAAACGTCGAGACCGATGGCGAACGATTCGGGTATCCGAATCGTCACGAACGGTCGTTCGAAATACGGCGCGTTATCGTTGATATCGGTTATTTCCACGGCTACGTTGTAGGTGGTGAAGTTGTAAAGGGTGTTCGCAACGACGGTCAAGTTCGTCGACGGCATCTTCTCGCGATCTATCGCAACGTCCGTCGTGTAGATCACCGCCTGAAGGGGGTCGATGCTGAAGTAGGAGAAGGGGTCCCCGTTCACGATCGAGTATTTGGCTCCGTCGAGTTTTCTAAGACTTCCAACCGCTCGCCGATTACCATGATCTCCTGAGCTTTCTGAGATCTTGAACGAATAATTCCCCTCCGCTTGCGATTCTCGGAACGCTGCGTCTCGCACGAAAACGACGACCATGGCCGTGCTCGTGGCCTTTCCTTCCAGCAGGCCATCCAGGGGCTCCTTGTTTGTGGCGGAAACCGTTATCTCATAACGAGCTTGCTGTCTCGTGTCGAGGACTCTGGTGTTCAGGATCTCGCCCGTGGCGTCGTTGATTTTGAAACGGTCCTCCGCACCGTTGACGATGCTGAAAACGATTCTCGCGTTCACCCCCTCGTCCGCGTCTGAGGCGTAGACCCTCGTTGAAAAAGCTCCGGGCTTGATCCCGCTTCGAACTTGATGGAAATAGATGCTCGGATACAATATCGGTCTGTTGTCGTTCACATCCGCAACGTGGACGCTAACGTTCACCGTGGACGATAGCGACGGCTGACCGTTGTCCTTGGCGATAACGGTGAGCTGATAGAAGGCGCACCGTTCCCGATCGAGAGCCATCGCGGTTGTGATTCGGCCGGAGAGCGGATCGATTTCGAACATGTCCCCGTACTGGAGTTTCACCGACGACTGCAACGCGTAGCTAACCGTTCCGTTAGGACCCAGATCGTTGTCGGTGGCGGTGATCTGGGTAACAAGAGCGTGAGGGGTAGCGTTCTCGCTCAGCGTGACGTTCAGGTGGTTCATGACGAACGCCGGGGCTTCGTCGTTCTCGTCTTGGATGTGGATTTTGAGCGTCGTGTACGCGAACTTTCTGTTCGGACCACCGTCGTGAGCGTAAATTTTCAATTCGACCAAGTCCTGCTCTTCACGATTCAAGATCTCGACCGTCGTCACTAGTCCCGTCTTCTTGTCGATGGCGAACCAATGCCTATCGTTTCCAGACTCGATGCCGTAGAATACGAGAGCGTTCACGCCGGTGTCTTCGTCGGTCGCCGATACGGCCACGACGTAGCTGCCCACATTGACAGTTTCGCTGAGCACGACCGAATACTCGCTCTTCTCGAATTGAGGCTCGTGGTCGTTGACGTCGTTCACCCGAATGATCAGGAATTTAATCGTCGATCGAGATGGAGTACCTTTATCAGTGGCCACGAACGTCAAGTTGTACCACGGTACTTTCTCACGGTCGAGAACTCCGTCGACGCGGACAGTGTAGAATGTCTGCTCGTTGTCCAGCCTGAAATGCTTCATGTCGTTTCCTGCCGACAGGCTCAATTCCGTTTCGCCGTTGAGCCCGTCGTCGCCGTCCACGACAGATATGGCCGCAACAACCTGATTCCTCTCGGCGTTCTCATCAACGGTAGCGTCGGTGACCGACGCCTCCCCGAAAACTCTGAACGTAATTTGAGGGTCGTGATCGTTTGTATCGACCAAGTTGACCGTGACATAAGTTCGTCCGTCTTGCCGGGGGGAGCCGTTGTCGCGTGCGTAGACGGTGAGCACGCAGCTTTTGTTCACACTGCCGCTGGCACGATTCGCGCCGCAGATAATATTGTCGAAATTGGTCGATATTACGCCGGTGTGCTGATCTATACTAAATTGATTCGCTTGTTTGGCGTTGCTTTCAGCGAGGGAGTAGGAAATCCGTGCGTTATCGCCGGCGTCGGCGTCGCTGGCGTGCACTTGCAGAACTCGATGTCCGGCTGGAAGCGATTCATTCATGCTCACGGAGTACGCGGAGTGGTCGAAAATCGGTGGGTTGTCATTCGTGTCGAGAACCGTTATGTTCACGATCAGGTAACCGTGCATGGGCGGATTTCCCCCGTCCTCGGCCGAGATATTGAGTCTGTAGAATTCTTTCTGCTCTCGATCCAACGTGGCCACCGTCTCGAGGTATAAAAAAACCACCGAGAACGTATTCGGATCGTTTGAGGTCCGGAGATCGAATTTGCCATCTTCGTTACCCCCGACGATTCTGTACTTGGATGTAATACCGTTGTTGCCGATATCCCGGTCTGTTGCTGTCGTGAGGAAAATCTTCTTGTTGATGGCGCTGGACTCGCTCAACTGGACCGCAAGGCTCGGCTCGGGGAACTGGGGAGAGTTGTCATTGACGTCAAGCACGACGATTCTAACCTCGACAGGATAGGTCGGTTGGCTTGACAAGATCACCAGGTCGATGCGGTCGTTCTGGAGAGCTTCGCGATCGAGCACCACCGTCGTTTTTATTTCACCGCTGGTGGCGTTAAGTTCGAATTCCTTGGGCTGATCGTTGAATCGGTATGTAAATCCGGATTGGACCCGTATGAAACCGACGGACGTACCGATCGGTAGACCTTCCTTCACCTCGAGATACACGGGTTCGGACGCACATTCTCGGACGACGATGCTCACAGCATACAGCCAGCCTAGCAGCACTGCGATACGCGGTCCGTTAGATCGCATTGCGGCACATGCCTCCGATCGCTACGAGATTTTTTTGCCTCTCATGCTCTCTCTGTCCTCCTTCTTCTTCTTCTTGACACCGATCACGCACACATCCACGCACAGCACGGCACGCTTTGACACAACACACGCTCACTGCGTGAACTCCGGAGTATCCGATCGCTGAGTGAAGTCACTTATTCGCAAGCTTTGCACTCACAAGAAGCACTCCCACAGGTTCCCTCATGATCATGCTCTCGAAGAACACTTGTTGTCGTCGTTGTTGTTGTTGTTCTTTCTGCTTCTGCTCGTTCTGTTTCTGTACAGGGAAGGCTACTGACAAAATTCGAGCGGCGAACCGGGCGAGCAGAAGCACCAGCCGTGGCGGCCGCCATCGGGTTTCAACGAGAGCCCCTGCGAATCCTCTCCCCTCTGGTTCAGTGCTCGTCCGCTCGATTGGTCGGTTCGAGCACTCGTTCTTGCTGGTTGGTTGGTTGCTTGGTCGCTTGAATGTCTGTTGCTCCTGACGGGCGGCAGGTTGTTCGGATCGCGTCGCGCCGTACCCTCGACCATCGACCGAAGGAAGGACAGACTCACAAAGAGCGGCCGGAGCAGCAGAAGAAGAGTCCAGCGCATACCAGGCATAGAAGAGAGGCACTCCTCGTTTCGGCAAGGGAACATACCAGGACCAGAACCATCGTCAGAAACATCGGACAAAGATCTGCAAACAGCGCACCGAAGAGCACGTCACTTGGCTTTCGTTATTTTATTTGTTTCTCCTCCGACAGCGCTCGCGCTGGGTCCGTCCCGGTCGACCTGATAGTTCGATTTTTCCAGTCGGAATACGGCCGGGAAAGCCGCAGTGTGGAAAGTGTCACGCCTCGGTTGCTCATCGTGAGTCTTCTTTTCCTCGGGAAAACTCGAGATCCTAACGGGCTTTCTCCCTCGACGGAGCGAGACTGCTCTCGAGATTTTTCGGTTGAACTTCTGAAATTCTTAGCCCCCCCCGAGCTGAGCGATTTCCAATCATCGTTCGTTTATGTGTTCGAATGCTGAAAACGATTCCCGGTCTCAAAGATCGAGCGGAGAATGAGATAACGCCTATCGAGCATCCAAAACCGCCCATTTATTTTCGGAGCCTTGATAATTGCACTTCTGACCGAGGGGCGAAGTGACCCAATAAGTAGAATGATGGAGCGATCATATTTGTCGCCGCTCCTGGTCCCGAGGAACGACATTGCTTACACTTCTCTTCCTCTTGTTATATCCGGTCGGCAGGTTACAGAGATCCAAGAACCGGCGAATCCTCCCGAGTGGCTCGAGATCGCCATGAGTTCAGGAGCCCTCGAGTGATGCAGATGCCCGACCTGACCGCAAGTATTCAAACATGTTCCACGTTGCCGCTCGTCTCTTGGTAAGGTGCGACTGCGAAGTATCAGAGCATCCCTGGCACATTGATTTTCAGACGCTCGGCTCCCTGCACGAAGACGAGAACGTGGGGCAATCCAGGTCGCACCAAAGGTCGGACTTGACCGGATACAATGAGATTGACATTCTTGCCTCTGGGGAAGCTGAATGCCTCTAGTCGGCGAACTCTGCACGGCGGACGATTGCTTGGAATGAAGCTATTCTGCGGAGAAAGCGCTCCTGTTGCTCATCCAGGACAGGACGGAAGGAATTCGCAATCCATCTTTCTCCGAGTTGGTCGTTGATTTTATTGAACATAATGCGCTGGCGGAATCGGAAAAATGATTGGTACAAAGCTTGTCTACTCTAATAACTTGTTGCCATGCAATCAAAGAGTTCTCATAGATTGAATATATCGATGTGTAAAGACATTTTACCGATCGAATCATATGGCACATACCGAAGCAGCCTCGTACATTTCGTGATTTTCTGAGACAGTATTACGCCGAAGACATTGGCGGATGCAAGGATGGAGCATCGAGAGGAATAATGAATGATGGCATCCGTCATAATAATTATTATTATCATCATCATCATCGGTATCATTCGTATGTATAACTTATTTTTTTACTCGAAAAACTCAGTGAACCAGAGAGATGATAGATGGTGGCGGTGTGCTGCTCGAGGCCTCGGAAATGTCAGAAACTCGGGAACAAACTCATTTCCTACGTTGTGAAAAACCTGTAGCATACGAGCGGGCCGAACCGTTTTCAGAGTCTGGCAGATCCCCGAGACAATAGTAGAGGTCGCCTTCCTCCCACGAACGATCGTTGGCTTCCGAATCTACGCAAATCGAGTTCTTCGAAACGCTGTTTCTGACGAGACTCCCGATGGGTACGCACCCACAGCCTGTCTTAAGCCTGAAATCCACTCAGCTGTTGATTCGGAATCGTGGATTCGAACAGAACAAGCGGTTTTCCGGTTGGGCAGAGGAACTAGTCGGAACTGAGTGAGACTGAGTGAGACCTAATTTGCGGACGTGTCCGTGCACACATCGATAGGTGAATCAGCCAATCGATCTTTCAACCTATCAATCAATCAATCAGTCTGTTAATCAATGCTTCCATGCTCGCCAGTCGCTGGGAAAATTGACATTGCAAACATCCTCTCTCCGATTGGGTTGGCTCAAATCGAGATCCGTATTTATCTCTTCCCGGAGTCGATTTGTCGCTGAGAGATCTATCAGTAACACTTCTGTGTCTTTATTTTCCCTTACTCGCAGAACTACTGCGCTTGTCGATATGAGAAATGAGGTGAGCAAGAAATTTCGTTGTAGAAGCTTCTGCTGCAGCTACTACTGTTGTGATGTGATAGAGGTTTCAACCGTGCTCTCTATACTTGAATGTAGAAGTGCTTCTGTCTTAGGGAGGTCGCAGCTGTTGTTGTGAGGGAAATGGGTCGAAACTGCATCCAGATGACTCGCTGAATGCAGCGCGTTTCGTTTCTCAAATTGTCTTTCCTTAGAAGATCCCCTTCTTCTTTTCCTTTCTCTTTCCGCCCGAGGAGTCTAAAGTGCTGAAAGTCGCAAACAGAAAACAACGCTGTTAGTACAAGCTAAGAGCAGAGTGAGTTATGGCGCCGAAGTTTGGTTGGAATCTGTTGCTTTCATTCCAACGTGAACTTCTTCGTTGTTCGGGGCATCGGTTAGCTACTCAAAATGATGGGAATCACAAAACATCTCGGATCATTCCCCCAAGAATCTTCTACGGCTCGACCAAATCACAGCAAACGAACAAATAGATAGCGGTTGTCGGTTCCTGTCTGATCGCCTCGAATTTCGCGGGGCCCAATCGGAGCTACCGGATGTAGGCTGGCCTAGCATCGACGCTACGATAAAAAGCAGGAACACATAGTGACCGAATCAAGTGGAGTTGAACCTAAAACATCCACAACACAGAGAAGATCTTATCGGAGTCCACCGAGCCATAAATGAAGTGAGAAATAAAGGGAACAAAAAAACGACGTCACCAAGAACAAAAAAGCAAGCAAAAGTCGGCTTTTATTCGGTCGAATCTATGGAGGAATAAACTCGCCCAGAACATTACTGATGCTCCTGATTAGTGTACATCTGCGCGTGAATCGAATACCCGAGGCTAACTTGAGAATCATTCATATGTGATAACTTATCTCTCATCAAATGATTGGATTCGGGTTCTAGTTGTGGCGATTCTTGAAGACATGCCCATCCCACGGCCCTTCTTTCGTAGGCGGAAGAGCTCTGTGGACTCGGGAGTGTCGGGGAATCGACTCCTTCGACGAATGGAATTGTACGTAAAAGAACCACTCAATCTTTCTGTGTCATTCAAGTTCCCCCGGTGGGATGCCGATGCTTTTCCAATGACTAGCGTAGGATTTTCCGGATGAACTGCGTCAATATTGCCGAGGGACTTCCGCCGAGGTGACATACAAAATTAATTTCCGACGCGTGGCACAGTCAAATGGCTGATCGTCCGCGCTTCCGCTTCCACAAGAATGTATACCGCCCGGCTGCACCGCGGAGATCCGACCGCGGACGATTTTTTTAAATAACGATGACGGTCTCGATGGCGACATGGTTCCCAGGAGAATCCTCTCGGATCGTTCACTGCTGGCTGCACGATTGCTGCGGGTGATGACTCAGAGAAGGGTTGTTCTGGACAGTCGCATGGTCCAGTTGGTGGGTAGATATAACCGATGATCCAGAGGGCGCCAGCGTGAAGGATTTGCCAAATTTCAAAAACTCCGCCGACTTCCAGCGCTTCATTTTGCTCGGTTTGCTGTCGGGGCGAAGTCGATCGATAACAACAAACTCAATCAATGATGAGCGGCGAATACTTCTTCCGTTTGAGAGACAGATAGAGACAGACGAGACGAGACGGAAATGCACAGCTAATGTCCCAACCACATCGAATGCACACGAAGTAACCCTCCATGGCTTACCGACAGGCCTCTAATTGAATAATGACTCTCGACTCTCGAGTCATAGGGGATAAGGGAACAAGCTAGTCAATCTCGAAGAACCATCCCCGCGACCGCACGTGCTCTTCCCAGTTTTCTTCTCGATATTATCGCTCTACGAAAAATCATCGAGCTCGATGAATACGCACGGAGCGTCTCAAGCGTAACAGTTACCGAAAGCACCACCGATTGTAGCGGGGGGAAATGGGAACTAATCGCTAATCGCGACAAAAATTGGGAGTCTAAATATATCACCGGAGATCCCGAGAGAACTCCGGGAGCGGAGGGAGCCCCATATCGCGCTGGACCGACACCGAGATCATTTGTTGGTTACAAGAACGAAAAAAAAGCAACAACAATGAAACAACAACGACTCGACAACTTGATACCCTGTGGTGGTGGTGGGGAAAATCCCGTGAGGAAAAAACATCATGCTGTGCGGAATGGAAAGAGTTGAAAAGGAGGGGATGAAGGCAAGCGAAACTCACTCTCTGTTGTCGAGGGTCATCCTCTTGATGATGTCTTCATACTCTTTATGAGTCGAGTCGAACGCCATCTTCTCGCGTTCCAAGTTTTTCTCGCGTTCTTCGAGTTCGGCCCGCTGTTTCTCGAGTTGTTTCATCTGCTCTTGATGGCGTCTCGTTCGTTCAACCTCGTCGTTCTCAAGCTTTTGCAGCTGAAACCGTGAAGACAGTTGACGTATTCCATGCACCATGAGTGGGCTACTTATTGTTCCTTTCCGAAAATATCGTAAGTCTGGGGAACACTAGACTCGAATCGCGAGTGATACTCGGGGCTTCAATTCACCTTCTCTTTGACTTTCATCGAGAAAACGTCCTCGAAACCTTGACGCATTTTTTCTATCTTGAGGTCGTGCTCCTTCTTCTCTTCTTCCATTTGAGCCAGGGGGTTTTTGTTGCTGCTTCCTTCCGGGGGTACAGAGGTACCACCGGTGAGCTTGCGAACCCTTCATAACGAAATGGAGACATTAATGATCAGCCAACAACATCATCGCAGCATAGAGTACCTTGTGTGAACGATTGAGGTGGAACGGAATTCCCCTCCCCATGGCTCCAAAGAGAAATACCTGAAGTGCTCATAGTGACAATTGTGGGTGACTTCTTTCAGGTCTTGCATGTGACTGCGGATGAGCAAATTCCGCAACGGAATGAAATCACAGTGCTCGATAGAATCGACTTCCACGACGCCCCACGGGTATTTTCTTGCTCGAACCTGAAAAAGCAGAGCAATGAGTGAAGAATATTCCTCGCTCCTCTGGCTTCATTGTTTGAGGGATTTATCCGTCGCTCATCAGATACCGAGGCAAATCACGAGCGGCAGAGAACAGTGGCAGGAAGGGTTTGGATCTTTGAATGAGGGGAACGATAATTCGTGTTCCATCGAGAATGAACGGATACTCCACCTTCTTGCCGGCAACTTCTATCAGGGCGTTGGAGCCGACGACGGCGAAGGGGAGCCGGTCCTTAATCGATTTGCTTTTTTCGCCGTCCCCGTTATCGACCGAACCGTTTTCACTGATTTCGTTCAACGCTGGGAAGTCGTATACCTTCAAAGCAGAATTATTGTTGTCGTAATTGATTGATAATCTCCTCGATCGTTCCATTACTTCTACAGGGCAGAAATGACTGCGCTATAGTTTCGATCAGGGAATCCGCGTTCTGAAAATTAACTTCGCTCGAGAGCTACCTTGATGCCGTGTTGAGTCAATTCGTTTTGGATTCTCCTCTTGAAGAGCTGACATTCTTCAGGAGTGAACGTATCCGCTTTCGCAATCACCGGTACGATGTTCACCTGTGGATCGAATGGATAGTAATCTGGATTAATCAAATCCCGAAAGTCATGAGATCTTCGCCAATTACTTGAAATAGCATTTTATGAAACTCGTCTATACGTTCGCGGCCCTTCGTTCCGAAGATGACGTACCTTGTCATGCAGCTTCTTCATCACCTCCACATCGAGCGGCTTCAGACCGTGTCCCGAAGGTGCGATGAAATATAAGCAGCAATGGACTCTGCGATTGGTAAGACGACGATTATTTTTTCAGAAATTCTCCGAAGGCTGCTGTGGTTACCTCCTGCCATCTGCATGGATCGGGTCTCCCATCTCACCTGTTGTCGACGATGTGAGCATTTCTTTGAATTTTTGTCTCCTCCTGCAAATACTCGGCGTATTTGTCCTCGATGAAGTCTGTGATGGGAACCCAACAGTTCGTGTTATCTAGGTTACCACCGAAGCCAGGAGTGTCTACAATCGTCAGAGTCAGGGTGACCTGGCCCTCCTTCAGGAAGAAAAGATTCGATTATTATCAGCGGGAACGATTCAAGCCATGGGAGCGCGCTCCGAAGAGAACAACGGAACGGAGGGAAATCAATCTTCGGGATTCGTAAACTGCGATGACTTACTTGCAGAACAACTTTGGTCGTTTCGACCTGAACAGTCTTCTCCACAGTTCGTTTCGAGGGACCAGGATAGTCCGCTGAATAGATATCGGCACAGAACAACGAATTCACCAGTGTGCTTTTACCTAAGCCGGACTCGCCGCACACCATCAGGGTGAATTCGAAGCCTCTCTTGACGGTCTTGTTGTAGACCTGTGGGAGAAAAAACAATATTCAGCATTTGAGCTCTCACATCTCCTTGTCGCCAACATGTTCTGTCTCAGGTCGGCTGAAGCCAGATGAGAAGCTGTTCCGAAGTAGAAAATTCCTACGTGGAAATCTCGCCACAGGTTTCGAGGATGGAACATGATTGCTTTCCCGCTCCCGTACGGAAGCGACACATTATTATTCTCGTGGTTTACCTGCTCGGGTAGAGTGGAGAAACCGACGGGTCCGTCGAGTTTACTGAGAGTGTTGCCTGCCACATCCTTGTATTTCGAACTGTACTCTCCACTTCCGCCGTTCGTATCGGATCTGAAGCTGCTGGATGCATAAACCGAGTTTTTCTCCGCTCGGGGGGACTCGTAGCCCTTCTGATATTCTTTCGAAGCGAGCTGAAACATACAATGAGAATATATGACTCAAACTGGTAGGAAGAGGGATAAGACTCGAGGCTACAACAGGTTTATCGACCTCACAAATACTGGAAAAAATCTTGGGCAGAGTCATCGCTCCTCTGGAACACTCCGATCATCCATGGGTGAAATACGTCTGCTGGTCGATTTCGCTCGCGGGATAAATCGCGAACACGACTCCGTGAGAAATAAGTGCGATAATTCGAAAGACGCCATCTCGGAACGGGTTTCGATTTAGTGTGATGCTTTAGACAAAAAAGGCAATAACAATACATCAGATGAAGCGGCCAAAGAGCAGTCGATTGAGAAGAATAAGGACGAATGAATGTAGAGCGGATGTGTTTCCGATGAAAAAAACTAATGAGAGGATATTTTGATTCCGAAGGCTCAGAAACTGCGAAAGTGTTTGAGCTGGCTCGGGTGTCTGCCTCGCCACGCAGCTAGCTAGCTGGCTACCTCAGCGAGATTTCCGAACAGATGGGACGGGACTCTTCTGACCAGCACGACTAAAAAACTGACAGACGCATTTGGAATGAATTCACTCATCGTCAACGGTCTCAGAATGAAATGCAACGGTTTCACTCCAAAGCCCATCTGAGTCAACGGGAGATCACGCGAGAAATACTATGCAGCACTCGTTTCAAGCAGGATTGGAATTAAAACAATGATCTAGAAATTTCCCGCGCGATCTGAAAATCTCATGCGTAGGTGTGGGTTATTGGTTTATATTCAATTCTGCGTCATTGTGATGGAGATTCGTCGCGTTCCGATCTACTCCCAGGCATCTGAATATCCGTACACCTCCTGGAGCGTTTTTGAAATGTCGGCGGCCGAAGCGGACGTACCGCCATCTTTTTGGCGATGATGACCAGGACCGAGCGAAACTACGATGGATGAAATAATTTCCGAAGGCGCGAGGGCCTGCTCGCCTGCTTGCTTGCTTGCTTTGGGCGTTGTCGGCCAAAGTGGAACAAGGCACCACCAATCCTACCCATCCCATCTCTGGAGCCGATAATTATGACAACAATCTGCAGTCAAGAGAAACGAGCGCGTGTGTGTGTCTTTCTTTCTTCTTATCGGTGCAATACCCATGTCCAATAGTTCCAAAAGGCGCGGGAAGTGTACCCAGAGACTCAGAAAACACTTGTAATCAGTCATGGAGCCGAAAGTTGCTCCGCCGCTCAGACGGCTCAACAAATGGTCGCTTGGCTGACCGCTCGACCAGTTCGGGCTTCCTGTCGATACGCGATACTGACAAGCATAATATCGGCGCCGAAAATAAAAGAAACGCGGCCGCTTCAGCGTAAAGTTTACGTCCAAATTACCCGCCTACACTTCACACCGGATTCAGCTATCCCTTTCATTCGGTAGCTTTCTGATCAGGAATCGGATTTAGGCAGTCGTCCGCAGAAAATTTGCTCCTCCGTCAAATATCTCGACCTCACTAGCTGTGAGATGGCCGAAAGAGATTCATTGCTTCGCCGGGAACAGCACTTGATCGAAATGATCCGCACAAATCTCATTCGCAAGTGAGCCAAACTACCCAGATAACACGGCTACCCGTCGCGATAGTCCGCAACCGGAACGTCCCATAGCTGAGAAGCGCTTTCTGCACCGCACGCTCCCGCGGTTTTCGCGCCGTCTGTTGATATACAGTGCCATAAAATGTCTTTCTGCGTCTATCGGCGGTATCATCAGCGGCCGCAGGATCAAAACCGTTGAACGCGACAGCCGCAGCAACGTGAGCGGGAGACGCACGAGGGAAAAGCAAGAAGAGCAAGTTCCGCGTCCGGAGGCAAAGCGTCAGTACAGAATGAAAATTAACAACATGGCAGCTAGACAAGCGGCGGGCAGGCAAGACTTGATCGCTCGTTCATTCGCCTTAAATCGGCTCACTGCGGCGGCGGCGGCGACGACTTTTTCTGCAGGCGATCGGAGAAATAAACAGAAGTAGCCGGAGCTGGTAGACTTTTGCGCAGCCAGCTGATCGAGCTACGACGGCTGATGAGGCCGATCCAGAACGCACTAGCTCAACACACGAGCAGGCGCACTCACGAAACCAGACGTACAAACACGGACGGCTTGCTTGCTTGCTTGTGCAGCGTGGCCCAGTTGCAGCGCAATTATTAGCCCGATGATGGAGCCCGATTTCTATTGATGAAAATTAAACATACCGTCTGCATAATTCCCACCGCTTCGGCTAGCAAGGGATTTCGGATGGTGAGCCTGAACGCCGGAAATCGGAGAGGCGTTCGGGTATACGGCCCACTCGAAGGCTTTTTTTTCTGACGCCTCACTTGATTAGATGTCACTCCGCCCGTCACTCAGTCCGTCAATCGTTTCGTCTGATTTTGAAAATGTACACGATAGATTGACGACAGCCGCCGCCAGATTTCTAGACGGCATCAGCAGAACAATTACGGCAGCAAGCGAGCACACAACAGGAACTGATCCGCTGCTAGTTTCAGCCACGCCTTAGAAACCTTAGGATCGCTGTGACCTGACAATGACGTTAGCGGCTACTGAGGCGACGGTGCCTACGAGGGTATGCGTTATCGAATTCCGCCGTCAGTCTTATAAGCCTATCGTTCAGCACTCGATATTGCTTGGTGAGTGGAGGGGGGCGTTCTCCCATTCGTAATCGCATCATGTCTAGCCTGAACTTCTCCTCCTGTCCTTGGAGATGTTTGATTATCTCATAAAGATTGACATGGCTCTTCTTGATTATTCTATTTAGAGCTCGATGCCATCTTTCGAGATGGTTTGTTGTGCGCGCTCCAAAATTGTGGTAGTGGTTCCACATTCGGCGCGGGAAGACGGTCTCATTTTCCATCCACGTGTTTATGAAATCGAGTTTGAAATCTTCGAGCTGGGTTTGCCGATTCTTTCGAAGAGGAAGAACACTCAGCGGAATCAGGGTCGATTCGATCGACGACTTCCGGTGTCCTGGATATCGACGCTTTTAATTTTCGGCGTACTGGGTTTCGGCGTACTGGATTTCGGCGTACTGGGTTTCGGCTCTTTTTATTTTCGGCGTACTGGGTTTCGGCTTTCTTGACTTTCGGCGTGATGGGTTTCGGCTTTCTGGGTTTCGGCGTGAAGGTTTCGGCTTACTGGGACCTAACCGGAAGAGCTGACAGCCGGACCGACTGATCCCTCGGACACTACACATTCCCTTCCACTTGAATTCCACTCCGATGACTAGATCGTGAATATGAAATCAAAACAAGCGACGACGCGTCCGCATATACCAACCGCCAACTCTCTAGCCTAGCCACTTCCACAAGAAATTGTAAACCCTTCTCAACGATGAAATCAAAGGACAAATGTCCGCGGAGCGTCTCCGGTTCGCTGACCTGAACCGATATTTCTCGAATGCGGTGAAAGAGAGACAAGGAACGTGGTCGTTTTGAATCCCCTCAGATTCTTTCCTGCAGAATCAATGAACGATCAGTCTCGAAGTCGACCGACGGACTCCTCCACATTCGAGAATCGAATTCCCAAATGCTCCCGTCTTAGCGAACAAAGGCTCAGAGTATTCTATGAAAGACTCGATCGGATACGAATTTCTCAGAAATCTCGCTTACAAGCTGATGGTTCCCAATCGACGAGTTGTCGAATGCAACGCTCAGAGCGAGTCATGACACTCTCGAGTTGATCCGACCGGGCGACTCGATTTTGATTCCGGAGAACAAAATTTTCGTTCGATCCCCGCACGGATCAAAATTCATCGAAACATGATCAAAGCTTTGGAGCTTGAGAATTATTCGTTGTCAAGTATCCAGCTCTCACATATCCATGTATCCTGATGGATGATGTCGCGAGCGATCACTCCCTCATGGTACACCAATTATTTTCGTCCATGGAATAGCGCTCTGAATGTCTTCCCCCATACAGACCGAATGGTAAGTTGGAGGAGGGATCTAACCGACAAATTCGTATCAAGAAGCTCCAAACGGCCAAGACAACATCCCGGTACGAGGAAACGCTTTCCGAACACGGACTGATACTCGCACGGATTCGATCGCGTCAAGGCTCCTCATATACAACAATCCGACGAATTGAGAGTAAATAGGGCGGATAACTTACTTCAGCGTACAAGTGCTCTCTCGGTAGAACAAGTCGCGATCTCAGAGCACAGGTGCAGGTTGCGGCATTGAAGCATCGACAATCTTTTAGGAACAGGTTCGTGTCACGAGTCATTTGTTTTCAGCAGGAGATAAACAGTGGTTCGAATGAGGAGAAAATCGACCAAGATGTGAATGACCACAGCAGGCTCTCGTGCAATGTCTCACGACGTTTTCTAATAGCAACCAAAAAACTCTCGTTAGATACATCCACAGCGCGCGGCAAGCTTCAAGATCTGGTTGCGTTCCTCTCTGGAGGAAACGGCGCTAATCATCGATCGGAAAAGAAGACTTCTTTCCCGTCGACTCCTTCTCCTCTTCTGTTCATCCTTTCTCGGTACATGTCAGACAGTACGTGCCGCTGTCGGGCATGATGAGCACCGTCAGTGCGCTTCTCTCTATCTTCGTCGAATCTACGGAAGTCTAGCGCAGATAAGAGAAAATGGCAAAAAAAGAAGCCTCTCGGCAATTCGATACGCATATACATAGGTGCGAATCAATGTTCGGTTCGATTTTGTGGGAAAATTGAAAGAACGACACTCGCGATCCGCTTGTATTCTTCGATGGGAGAGTCGCGCGGGGAAGAATATACGCACACACTCAGTCGAATTGGGTATATTGATCTCCCGTCCTTGTGACACCAGGAATAAAATTCCTAGAATGCCGGCAACACTAAAGAGGATTGAAAATGAACGCTAAGAGCTCGGTGTAGCCGAATACTGCATTGACTGAAGCCGTGTTCGGCGAAGACGCTGCTTTCTGTCGGATAATGTCTTCGGGCGACCTACGACCCGAGAACTGAGGGGGAAGCCCGCTGACTTCTTCTTTCGATCTTCTTTTAGACATATCGAAGGCGGAAAAGTGATAATTCTCAGATAACCTTTGATTCGAACGTTAGCAAAACGACCTGATCTACGCACACGAAGCTCATTTTGCCGTGGCGGCGCTCCGTCTCGACGGTTCACCAGAAATTCCAACTCCGAGTGAAGCCCCGCAGGGAGCTCCACGGACTACGGCATCCAATACCGACATCGGAGCTGGCCGAGGCATCGTATGACTAGAACTCACGTCTTGAGAACTTTCTGAAGACTTCGGCGCTTCGTTGAGAGACGGACTCGCCGAGCTCTGACTCTCCGATCGGGGTTTCGGTCGAACGGGAGGTTTCGGCGGAAGATTTTCTGGTCGCGGGGGTGGAGGAACCGCCGATCTCATAGTTTTCGGTGCTCCGGTCGCGGATAAATTTCCGCAATCGCCAGACATGCCGTATAATTTGTCACTTTGTCTCGAGTCGAGCAATAGTTTTCGATTTCGTGCGTTTCACAATTGAGCAGTCGCTTCCGTGGCTTAGCGCGAACTCCGGTCCTAGACTTGTGAGATGCGACCTTACGACACTTTCACACAACGAATCTGATATGGGCTTTGACTTGGCTGCGGGTTGGATGTTTCGAACAGTTTTCCATCGTTGGAGCTCGCGGCCATTTCCGTGGAGAACTTCATCGACCGGGACCTCTCGATATCTCAAAGACTGCACTCTCCTCGAAGCCCTTCGAAATCCTCGCAAGCACTGCAAAAATCTCAGCCAGATCGGAGAAATCGCGAACTTGCTCTGGCTGTAGCACAACGAAAACCCTGGATCGTCTGCTAAACGGGCCTCTGCCGTTGGAAAAGGCCGTCCGTCGCTCTCTCCACCTCCCCTTTTTTCTTCCAGAGTTCGCTCGACGGGAGTTCTGAGCACGAACAGTCAAACGAGAGCTCCCAGATGGCTCCAATAAACACTCGGAGTCTGACGAGTTTTGTAGAAATGAGTCAAAGAGCAAACACTCCCGGATATAGCTCTATGAAAATTATATTCGCTCAAATACCCGCTGTATTGCCCTTTCCCTCTTCGAGAGAGGCGAAAGAGGGGCTTCCACCGCGCTCGTAAGAAAAACACTCAACGCATTTCTCGATTCTCCTCGACAGGCCCCGGATTGTCGATCGGATCGGATCGGCTAAATCCGCTCCACGGTCGATGGTGCTCTCATTCATGACTTCGTTCCTCGATTCGACCCTCGCAACTAGAATAGTGACAGCGTCCACCCTGCCCCCCCCCCCGGAGTCTTGGATGAGGATAAAAAAGCGATTTCCTGAGTTGCCCGTAATGATTTCTTTTCTCAAATCTTGATTCCTCTCGTTCGGAGCGTCCCCGGTAGATCGGGAGAGCTCACTCAGAAGAACTCTCGATAAACTACCTGGAACTTCGACGCGAACTCCCGTGCATTGACTCGCTGTAATTTCAAAGAGCCCAGGGGTGAGGTCGAGAAAAACTGAGACTTTTCTTCTAGGCGCCTCGAACTTACCACATCCGGCATGATGTGTCCATCATCGGATGCGAGACCCGGATCTTGCTGCTTCCGACTAGGTTTCGAGCCCAAGACTTTTATGGGCGTGTGCTGAACCCCATCGGCCACTTCGACCACGCGATATACCCGCAAAGTTCCGCAAGGTGTATTCGTCCCGCTACGGGTGACTCCCGACTTGAATTCTGGCGAAGCCGGTCTTTCTGTGTCGCGCTCCTGCTGGTGCTGCAGCTGGATCTGTTCCTGTTCTTGCTGTCGCTGCTGCTGTTGTTTGGCCGAGGTCACCTTAGACTCGACCGCGATGTGCGCTTGGTTGACTTGCACCGTCGACAATTGCTCTCCGACGGTGGAAATCGTAGCCAGTTGTTCTTCTTGAGTCGGCATGTTCTCAGACGGCAGTGAAATGAGCGGATTCGTTCGTTGCTGCTGAGGTGGGTCGGCAGCTCGGAATCTTGGGCTCGGTACCGGTTCCTGGTTTTTCCCAATCAAGTGAACGGTTGTCGTATACGACGACGATGATGAGCTCGGCGATTCCTGAGCTTCGGACGCCGAGTAGTCTCGGGCGGCGTCTGGAGCGAACTTCGTCTCGACGGGTCGGAGGGAATTGTCGGTGGTGTAATACGACAGCTTATCGATCCGTTGGGTGTATTTCGGCAGATAAGAAGACCTGTCAGGTCTGTGACCACTGAGAGACGACAAATTATTGGAAGACTCCAACGGCGAAACGTACGAGTAGCGCGCGTTGACGGTCGATACTTCAGGAGTTGCGAAAAACTTCGATTTCGCCTCCAAGTTCTTCTCTTTGATGGTCTCGCTTTTCGAAGGATTCAGGCTCGCTTGGAAGACGTTGGGGCGTGGGGGCTCGAACGACGAGGGAGAACTCGATTTACTTTTCACGATTTGACTCACCGCCTTCTCGGAAAGTGTGGGAGATATCTTAGGCAGCGACGTATTCTCAGCGTAGACGAATTGGAAGTTGGGTTGTCCCGGGAGAGCAGCGAGATCGCTGGCACAAGAGTAGCGAACGCCTTCCGGCTGCTGTGGAGTTTTCGATGAATCGACGTAAACAAAGGCACTCTTCCCTAAACTGTGACCTGGTCGATGATCTTCGGCGGTTTTCCGGTCAGATTCCTTCGAGGTCAGATATTGAGCATAAGTTTTCGGTATGGCACCCGAACTAACATTTTTGCCGAGACGACCGGTGTCTCTCGACATATCCAGCGCGGAAAGAGCCGACGCAGTTGTTTCTCCCAGGGGACGGCTCAGCACGGTTTCGACGTTTTCGTCTGGGCCTCGTAACCCCTTGGAGCCGCCAGGCAGATAGGAACTGAGACAGGAATAAGAGCTAGCCGGTTTAGGTGAGCTTCGCGTGAATCCGTCGAATATCGAACGAGGTCCGGAGGGAAGTTCGGCTGTCGAGCTCTGTTTTTTTTCCGGAGCAACGCCGGCAGTCTCTGTCGGACTCGGTTCCTCGATGCTCCCTTTCACGGATTTCACTGAGGGCACCGGGGAAGTCTGCGTTGAGCCGGACACTTGCCGTCTGAGCGATTTGTGAAAATCCGGAGTTTTGGTGACATCTTGCTCTCCGACTCCCACTCTCTTGCTGATAACTTGATGATGGTGGTGATGATGGTTTTTGTCCGCATTCTCACCTTTGTGGCTCCGGTGGTTGCTGTGATGATCTTTCGATGATCGGTGGTGCTCGCGAGTTTCGTTGTGCGACGAATGGGACTGGCGTGACGGCGTCACCGCCGATTTGTGCTTCGATTTTGACGGAGTCAGTTCGGCGGCTGAGTTGCCCGGCGATGGATTATCGAGAGCATGGGATAGGTTGGGCTTGCTGAGTCGCTGATTCGGGATCGTGAGCTGAGACACTCGGTTCGGAATCGACGTCGAAGGCGCAGCTGCTGCTGGCGGCGGAAGGTCCTTTTTGATGAGGGGACCAGCCCGGGGACTCACCGGCGCCGCGAGAAGTGTTGGTAGATAAATTTTGCACTGGGGCAGCTCCCTGACAGAATGAGGAAGTCTGCGTTCACTGGACAGAATCTCCACTCGGATGGGGCAGAAGATGGATGGATCGAAGGACGATGACGAGATTTCTTCGAGCGAAGAGAGAGAGGATCAAAGAATCGGGGACACTAGCGAAAGACTGAGATGTGAGACCCCTGCGAACAGCTTTATATACGACGACGGGCCCCAGGAAGATCGGGAGTTGGGGGATTCCAGGGGAACGCAGCGACGGGAGAGAGTCAGGAGCACTAGAAGTAGGCAGGATGGGGTCGTGGGGAGGAAGACCGTGGGGAGTATGGACGACAGGGGGTGCACGGAAGCTCACGGTTTCCTTGCACGATGAGGCACGGTCGGCTGGCCACGCCTAGCCCCCCGCCATGCCCAAACCGGCGCAGTTCTGTCGTAAACCCACAAGCCACCACCCTGATGGCCTCCATGGAGGAATAACATGACGGTATCGACCTTGAGCAAGAATGCCGTCAAGACGAAGCAACCCGAGATATCTCATTCGGTGTTTCGTCTCACTGGAATCCGGTCGCGGCAACCAATCGACCGGGCAGAAGAACGATCGACCCCGGAATCATCGTTATCGAAGCCGCCGACCAACCTCACTCGTCGGCTAGAGTTTCGCTTTTGACATCGGCCTGCATTCGGTCGGTTCCACCCTTTTCCTGAGTGACATACATCGAAGTATGAGCCCGTATGACTACGGGGGGCAGGGGGAAACCGTCCCGGCAACCGTCACCGACGCCCACCCCTCCATTTCTTTCTCCCTCACGTTCGCCGACATTGCTTTTGTGGACTAGGGTCCGGCTCACGCACTTGGCTGATTAAGGCAGGGACAGATCGACGGATGGACGCACGGTAGACTCTAGTGCACGGGACAAAAGCAAAACCGGAGCACAGCTTTCGAACCAAGCATTGACACCTCCTCTCTCGGTGCTCATCCCCGTAGTGAGCCGAGCGCGGTTGTCCGTCGTGGATTTTGAAAGCCATGACGTTGTACTGCCGAATTGGAAGTCATCCTCAATTCTGATCATTTTGATCGATTCCGGTCTGCGAGAGTGCATCCGCAGCGGCATCCCCGAGGGAGTCGGGCTGATGCAACCACGAGAAAAGACATGTCTCTGCGAGCCTCATCTATGGGCTCTAGGGACGAAGAAGACGTCATAGAGGGAAACAGGAGCTTTTGTCTCCATCCGACGATCAGACGTTAGCCTATTCGCTAGCTCGTCAGGATCGCGTGATCCGGGCCCACCACCACCTATTTTCCCTGACGGAACACCCGTTTCAGCGTGTGCGTATGAGCGTGGTTATCTCACTGAGCGATTCCGTCTCGCGCACGCGACGACACCGATGTGTTAATCCTGACAAGATCGGCGAATATCGCTCCGAAACAATGTGGGGAATACTTTTCCCCGACATGGAAACGACTTGAGTTTGAAGTCTTCCGATAGCGGTCCACGAATAAAATTTCACCTATCGTATCCACATCCCTTTCTCTTCTCAACCGGCACCGGCGCAGCCGTTCGATTCCAGAGAAGCAGCAAGAGGGAGTGATATGCTCGGGAGCCGGCTCGACAGAAAAAGCTCATCCACCCGCAATTTTCCGGAATTCTAGGGAGCCTGATATTTCAATCCAATCTCAGATCGTCGTAGTGCCAGGGAGACCTCTTATTCACAAACCACGCCACTCACGGAACAAGGCGTCGTTCTGATTTCAAGCGCAACTAGAACTATTCCGGCGATGTTCCCGCGAAGAAAATAAGCGTCGTCACCGCTAAGCCGCGATCGCTGAGGTAGAGGCCTTCGAACTCAGCCTACACTGTTTTACTAAATGAGTTCGCTATGTAGCTCTGAACGAATTTACTCACATATCTGGACGTTGCGCTCGGCGTTCTCGACGAATACGCTGTGTAATCTGGAACGAAACAGAGGCGTTAGCTTTCCTAAAAATTGATTCACAAGGGACCGCCCCCCCAGGGTGTGCGAGCACGGCAGAGGATGTACTCCGGAGACCTTCGCCTAATCCTCATGAATTCGAGGCTAGGTAACACTCGTCTTCCGAGGTTTTTCTTAAATACAAAAACTTGTGTTCTCAAATCATTTCTCCAAGCGGACCGTACGACTCGATGGCGTGAAGAAAGTCGTTGTGATGAGCATTCATCATGATCCTCGCCGATGCAACGCAAAAGCGTGGAGCTCCGGCTCCAGTCCGGTCTCGATTCCGACACGGAATTTTGAAAATTCCAAGTTCGATTCACTCTCTGTGCATGGGAACTTCTTGGAATTCTCGTGCAAACATTGATCGATACAAACGGGGGAGGCTAGCGCCCGTATATCTGGAGGACTCGCCGAGACGGAAAATGGAAGGAGTACGAAGTTGGAGGGGTGTTCAGAGGACGGCCTCATCCTGTTTTCTTGAATGAGTAGCTCACTTTCATCCTGATGCTCTTTCGATCGCATCATCGATTCAACTTGAACCCTCCTCAAGGCCTCATTGAGAAGTCGCCTCTAGTAGGTATCATCGAGTGGGTAAATGTATCTAGATTCTAGATCACATCTTGTTCTCAATATTATGGCTGACAGACTGTTACGCATGCTGACACTCCTACAGGTTCGGAAACATCGGCGAGAACGTCCAAAGTTTACCAGACAGATGTTCTGTTCCCTAATTTTGGGAGGAAATCCGATAATCCCCAGACACAGGACGCGATCTCCCAGGCAGAATAGAGACAAGCCGGTAGGATAGAGACAAGCACCGAGCATTCCCGCTAGACGTGGGAGCAAAAAACCCAGCCTCTCCGAAAAGTCGGAGGATTCACTGGGAGGGCAGCTGGCACCCCTCTCTGAGGTTAGCCTACCCATAGGCTCATCGGCCCAAGATCGACTCCCGCTTAAGGCTTCTTGATGAAATTCTTCTCTTTGCTTTTTCCCGGCCGGAACCTAGCCGGCGAGAACCTCCCAGAATCGTCCGAAGCCGATCCGGATTCGTCAGCTATGCTCTACAAAGTGCACCAGCTATTCCCACCAGAGATGCACGCGATTCAGACAACGCGGCGTTTTCACGCAGTGGCGAAGCTCGTTCTTCTCCCGCAGTATCCTGATCCCGTTCTGCCGCTCCCATCCCATCACAGTATCTGATTTCTGATTGGCAGCCATTCAGATCTTTACGCCAGTCCACCTTACATAAGGTAACTGGGATCAGTCGGAACGTGTCGGATCCCATTCGATACGCTGAGCCGTCTTAAGGAAGCGGTGTGGCGGGATCCCATCTCTAATTGATTTTATCCATCAGAGGGGCACGATGAATACAAGCAAAGAAAACATTTAAATTCATATATCTCGAGGCATCGATTTCGGGAGCATCCTCTTTTGTAACATTCCTGAATGCCAGATCGACATCGACCGCAAAGCCGCCGAGGGCGGCTCGAGATGAGCGTGTTTTGAAATTCAATTTTTCGCTGAAGATTTCCGACTTGTCACAGGTTGTCTAAAATAGCTGTCACCAATGACCTACCGCTCACTCAGCCAACTCCCACAAGCCGAGAACGAATGGGATCGACTTTTTTTGTAGGTCAACTAGGAGCAGTGCCTCCTGGCTCTATAGTGTCGTTCTATGCTCGCTCCGGGCTCGATTCTATAGGCAAATCTCAAATCAGAGCAAGTGACGGATGACAAAATCGGACCTCCGTTGATGAGAGGACTTGATCGAGTTGATCCTGCTATGCGGAATAAAATAACAGTAACGTACTCCAAACCGATATTGAGCTTCGGTGGACGGATCTGTCGCTGCGCCGAGATACGGAATGAGCGAGGGGAATGAGGATGTTTGTTTCTCAAGTGGCTCCGGAGGACCCCTTTCTGAGGCCGGCTCTAAGGGCTATGAGTTCGATGTCACCAAGTGATTCCGACCGGCTAAACGTTCTCACTCGGTTTTGTGACTTTCATATCGCTCATGCAGCTGGAACAGAGGAGGGAGGACTCGAAGGCGGAGTCCCGCGTGTAGTATTGGGAAAAGTACACGAGATACTCTGTCCTGGTGCGATGAACGCGTTATCCGGCATTTATCTTGAATACGGTCACGTCTGGGTCGTGTCAAACCAAAGCTTCTCATCGGGACGCTCTGCTCCGCTCACTCGAGCCGACTCGAGCCGACTCGTCTCGAGTACTGTTGATAAGGAGCTACGATGTGTCTGCGTTAGCGACGCCCACCAGTGTCTCTTCCGCTTCTATCACTCCAAATGTCGGTGACAAACATTCTCGTACTGCGAGGCAACGGAATTTCAAATACGGAAATCAATGAGAGGAGACACTCAGCTCTAGCAAAATCCTGGCACATCCGAGTGTGGTTGCGTCGTCGCTGCGGCGCTCGTTTCCAACTGATACAGCTGTTTTGAGAACAGCCTCCCAAGGGGTACTTTATGAGTCACTCGGGCGGGGTGCCATTCTCGAGCCGAGCTCTCCGCTCGTCGTCTACGCGGCTGTCGAAAATATCCGAAAGCTAGCTGCACGCTGTCAACCATCTATGCTTATCAGAAACGATTGCCGAGCGTTTCCAGTGATCGGCCCTATCAAGAATGATGTTGATCGAACATTCCGAATCGAGAGATCATACGGCGCGATGTTTTCCACCTTCGGACGCCTCGGCATGACTCCGCGACTCTAAAACATGAAAACTCTCTGGCGCTATCTCGAGGTCCAATTATCGCGTTTCGAGCAAACCTCACTCGGCTGAGTACATCGAAGTTTTCCAGAGTCTACTCAACAACTGTCAATCAACAGTATTCACTTTTTCGACGCATGCTTGCGTTATCCGCACGACTCTGGGAGCGCTGAGCGTGTCGTGCATTCCGGCGAACCTCTAAGCGAGCTCCAAAGATGCGAAGCAGCACCAGAAAAGAAATCCCGTCCGTTGGAAAGCGCGCGGCATCCGTCGTTGCCGCCGCCACAGATCTTCAGCAGTGTGCTTCGATGCAAGTTTGATTATGGCGGCGGCGGCAACGGCATGGACGGCAGCAACGGCGGTTTCATGCCGTTTGTACGGGGGATCCCGGGAAACTCGCCAGCGAAACTTTCTCACCTTTTGACATGTTGTCGGCGTTTAGGCCGTTTCCAGCACACGCTCAGTCCCAATGCAGAGCACTGTCAAAACGAAACCGCAAGCACGCACGCACGCACCAACCACCGGAATCCACGCGCTCGGAGGATGTTGGCCGCTTGTCACTTCTCAGGAAAGCCGCACGAACCGCATCGAGATAGTTGTCACAATGATTGTCAGTTCGGTCGGAAAACGTCTGTCTCCCTTCTTCTAACAGCAGCGGCACCGAGGCAGCCACAACAACAAATATCACCACCGCCAACCACCACCATGAACACCAGCAAGCAGCAGCAGAACAAGCGATCGTTGAGCGCACCAGAGGAGAGCAGCAGCAAACACAACACACAGCGGCTACAGCAGCTACAGCACCACCACCAAAGCGGTGGCGGCGGCGGCAGCAGCGGCAGCGGAGTTACTTACTTACTGCCTCCTCTCTCAGTTCATGATGGATACTGATGGGGGAAAACGCGTCCGGAATCTCGATCCAAAGAGACAGAATGGCGATCGACGATTCTTATGCATCCCCCTCGAGTATACGATCAGTTTTATAAGCGGCTAAACACCATGATTTCGCAACCTGAGCCGTTCGCAGCATGCAATCGGTGGTAGAGAGTTCTGAGATCGATTGGCCCATCAAGCGATCGCCCATGAGCTGACAGCGCAGCGAGTCGCTGCACGAGCTTCCATGTTCGCTCAAGTCAATCGTCGACGAAATTCTTATTGATAAAAGCTAGACCTCGACGTCATGTCTTCGATCTGAGATCTCGGTCTGGGTCAGACGGGGAAAACAAAATGAGGAGGACTCATACATTCGTCCTTCCTCTGACCCTATCATCTTAGATAATTGTTGAGGATCTCGATTCAGCTGGAGCAGAGCAGAAGAGCGACAAGTCTCCTTAGCCAATCAGTACGGAAGCGCTCCGAATCATATTGGGCCGATTCCCTTCTACACTGGGGCCCGCTGACTTCGAGGATGTTAATCCGGTCGGATCCCGAGGATAATTCGGGATTCCAAGATAACGGATCGTGCATTTCTACGAGCCGTGTCAGGTACTCTCGGAGACGGCTCGCTCCTCGAGTGTCGGCGGAGCCTCGCACGTCGCGGGTCCGCATGCCGTACCCGTCGATACTGAATCTATGTGAGCCTTCGAGATGAATGAAATCCCGTCCCGCCGCCATCAAATCGCAGTGAGAGGATGACTGCCGAATGAAGGTCCCCCATAACAGCTGAGAAGACTCGACGGGCGATTTCCATGAGGGTTACAGGCCCACATGATCGCCGGGCTTCGAGAATTAATCCTACGCATGCACCCTTGCTCATTCGCATGTATGCATGCGTCTGACCCATTCCGAAGGAAGCGGCAGGTGCTTCCGTCTCAAAATATTTGGAAACATCGTTCGTTGAAGACCCGCACTCGTCTCTCGAGTGGATGTCAATCGCTTCGAAGCATGAGCTCACGAAGTACTAGCGATAAGTTGAAAGGAATCATCTCAGATCTGAGCAAGAGTTTATTGGATTCGGAGATCTCGGGGAGAGTCGGTGCGGTGCTTCGTGAACAAACTCGTGTCAACAATGCATACGCGCAGAAACAGATCCGTTCTTACGAGGAGTGGGTGCGGCTATCGCACGAGAAACTGCGTGCCCATCGGGAAACTCAATCTGTCATTACTCGACTCCGGTCACACAATGCATTGCTCCAGGAACGACTGGAAAGACTCCAGAAAGAACGGAACAGGAGGAAAAGAGTCCTAGAACACCACCGAAGCAGAATATTGAACAAACTGAGGGAGCGAGCGGACGTCGAGCTCGGAAGACGGAGGCATGTCGAAGAAAACCATACGAAGCAATTGGACGAGCTTGCTGAGACTTTGGAACGGGATCTGTGCAGCACCCTTGACGAGATCAGCGTTCTCCGGACTCACTATAATGAGTTCGAAAGCTCCGTATCGAGAGTGCTTGCAGATATGGAGAATAATTCCAAGACGATGCTTGACCGCACAGAACGGGAATACGAATTTGATCTCAAGAAACGTCTCCAAGAAATCAGCGATCTTCACGGTATGTGTCGAGCTCGTCACGCACGTGAAGAAGAAGAATTCGTCGAGAGGAAGCGAAAACTTATCAAATCATTGCACAGGCTGGAGAAAATTCGGGCAGATTTACAGCTAGAGGAGTTCCCAGATCGGGCGGCACCCATCGATGATCAGGATGAATTCGTCATTGATGATTCAGACGACGACTTTCCGCTCAAGTCGTCGAATTAGAGAAATACATCTATCGGAGTAAGAAGTGCGAAGATTTCGGTACTCTGTCGAAGTCGAGCAGAACACGGACTCGGCAATCGAACTCCTCGAGTCCATTTCCCGCGACATCGTTCCGATCATATCATACGTTCACCGACTCAAGTAGCTCCACTTCAGCGAATCATACAAAGGAATTCCGGAGAGGTTTCCCTGACGTATCCTATCCTAGGCCTCCGCCGCGTTTGTCGATTTCAGAGGTCCATGGTCTACTGCCCTAATGTAAGAAGCTTCAGATATTCCAATCGATCAGTATTCTACTCCCAGCGCCCGGATCGATTTGTGATCATCGAATTGTACGATGAAGTTGTGGAAAAAGTCATACAGGGATCTATCGAGAACAAGATCTGCTAGCAAAGTGAAGCACTTTTATTAAACTTATAGTGTGAGTTCCATAATGGCATTAACCATGTCACCCTTGTGCTTTCGGAGCGCTTTGGCTGCTTTCGCCCTCGATACTGTTGCTTGATCGGCGACGATGTCGATGTCGTTTTCGCTGAGTCCAGCGGTGGCGAAGTCCTCATCGTCTTCATCCTCTTCGGCCATGGTCGGTAAGGTCTTTCCTGCACCGGCGAGGAACGAGCCTTCGGCAGCCGCGGTAGCAGCCTTGAATTTCTCAGCGGCAGCCATCTGTGCTTGCTGGCTCAGATCTTCGATCTTGGCTTCACCGAAGACGATGTAGGTGTCGGAGTTCGGGCTCTTGTATACGTCGGGTTTCGCGATAACGAACTGAATGTTTTTGGATTTGCGGATGCTCACGCGGCGGACGCCCACGATTTGCTTGAGACCGAGCTTCGACATGAGTTTGCGTGCCTTCTTCTCATAGCGGGACTGCTTGGCAACCCCAGTAGCGTCTTCGGTTCCCTCGGCGGTCTTATCGTCTTCAGCACCGGTGTCCTCACTGCCGGTGTCGGTGCCAGAGTCGGAAGCATCTTCAACAACAACCTCCTTCTTCTTTTCGACAGGACCTTCTTTCTTTTCGACAGGAGCATCTTTCTTTTCTACAACAGCTTCCGTCTTCTCTTCTACCGCAGGTTCCTCCTAGAATCGAGAGAGAGAGAGAGATTTAGCAATTTCTAGAGAGTTGCTTGCCGGAAGGATTTCGAATCTGCTATACATGGTTCTACAAAGATGGCTTCGGAGATGCGCATCACCCGCCCTAGACATGCTGAAGCCGCGCTTACCTTCTTTTTCTCGTTTGCCTTGGTTGGCTTCTCATTTTTCTGAGCTTGTGCTGCTTTCTTTCCAGCTTTGGGCATTCTGAATAATTTCACAACAGTTTCTCTGCTCGCGAAAACTTATAAAGACGATTTCTGGTCACCACGCGCAGCGTGCACTAGGCTCCCAGCGATTGAAAAAGAAACCGGAACGACCGGCATCTGCGAGGCTGCATTATTTATGTCGAGTTTTCATCGCGCTCCAGTCTACCAAAACTGTCGCGCAGGCATTGGCCCGTCTCCACACCCCATTGCACTTACGTGCGATGACTTGATCGGTTTTTTTCCCCGAATAATCGGGAAAAATCCGCATGCTCGCGAAGCGCGGCAAATTCAAATCCAATGCGGGAGGAGCTCCATGGAGGGACCTCAGATCCGGCTCATGAGCTCACTCGATTGTATGTACAGTTGTCTCCGGGTAGAATGTGATCGTGATCAAGACGGCGGAGAGCTGTCTCCGTCGGACCCTTCACCGGCAGGTGGACGGAGCGAGCGTTTACGGGAATCGAGTTCTTTGAGAGATGATGCCGATGATCTTCGCTAGGACTTCAGATGAAGGCAGGCGGTGCCTCCGCCTGAGTCCTGTAGGCTCAGGTATCCGGTCTCATTGTGCTTCAGGTATCGCTCCCGGATCGTGCTGAACCACACTCGAAGCCTTTCGAACCCCGAAAGAAGCGTAAGGTCAGATGAGTCTGATCAGGCTGTGGAGTCGCGATCCAAGAGAGTCGGATCTTGGTGTGAAGCGAGGTTCCTACAGTGTTCCACACTGCATGTTTTCAGCTCCGAAAGATTCCGACGACGCGGCGGGGGAATTGAAGGCTCTCAGCGGTCTATATCTTCCCGTAAAGGGGTCTTGGGTTCTTTAGGGACTAGGGGTCCCGACTGCCGATCTCGGGGGTCCGTGAAAAAATTCCTCTTACGATCCCTTGGAGAGATATATCCGATATAGCGTGCAAGAATATCGATCAGCCATAAGGCCTCAGAATCTCTAACTCAAATGAGAGGGTTGGCTTATTTTTTCGGCGCCGAACCTCGTCTTTATTCAACCTATATATTCGAGGGCTTGCTTAATGAGAGACAAGGAGAATATTCTTCGTCTGGTGAAGCCACGCGGGAGCGGTTGTCAGCCGGCAGGCTTAGGAAATGGAGTCAGCCGTTTCTCCGAGCTCGGCATTCTCAGCGGAAATCGAAGAGACCGATGCCGATTCCCGGCGTATTGCTAAGAATCCCACAGAATCCGACTGCTCTCGGCTGTTCGCGGGATACTACTTGCGTTATACTTGCGTGATGCGGCATTCCTCCCAGAGAGCCATGCTCGTGGAATGGAATTCTGCCGGAAGACTGGGGCATTCGGCTATCAGAAGCGTTCTCAGCGAATGTATCGGGGGGGGGGGGATTTCGGGAATCGCCCGATGTCATTCGAGATATTAGCAAAGATCATCGTCTCACTCTTTTGTAAACAGACCTGCTCTGACTGCTTTCTGCAATATCTCTCCGCTATCCTCGCGCGTTCTTCTCCATGTGCGCGCATTCTTTCAGGATTGAACATCGCGCGCAGCCCTTCTCTCGCTCAATCATACTGCACCGGCTAAGGGAAATACAGAGAGCAGTCCTCCTCCCATTTCTCTGAGTCTCCCCCAGAAAACTTACCTCGGGGCGCCACCGAGGTAGCCCCTGTCTTAAGACGAGTTTTCCCGCGCGCCAAGATACTGCACCGGTAGAGACTCCTCCGATTTCACTGTCACTCACCTTCGGCGAGAGCGCGCGGTGTGTCTACCGATCGTGAAGAATATGAGCAGAATTCCTTGCTGATATCATATCGCTGTGGGATCAAGCTCATGGGAGTCATGATGAGGGCAAGTTCGTTAGGGAAGATCATCACTCGCGGTTCCCGGATGAGTACTTCGAAGCAGTACCTTCTACCTATCAGTGGGTTCTCCACTAGCACGAAGCTCAAGGGTATGACAGCTCAAAATACTGCGGGATACGATCTCGGTTTTCCAGTCTTAAATTTTACTATGACTCAATCGGAGCGCAGCATTGATATCTAGACGGGGGTCCCGATGGGAAAAGTCCAATCCCACCTCTAAATTAGGCGTGTATCACGTCCGATGACTTGGAGGAGCTTGTCCGCAAAAGAAACGATCAGCTACAGCAATAGCATGATGTCATGGTATTCCCTGTGGCCAGAAGAGGTCGAATCGCAGTCTTTCATAAGACAAGCGAGTCAAGATTTTTTTTTTCTCCGAAGAAACCCTGGTTCAGATCGAAACCATCAACAATATTCGTTTGATCGGAATCAATCGTCCAGAGAAGAAGAATTGTGTCAACAGCCGAACCGCCGATCTGCTCCTAGAGTGAGTCTTCCCGTGTGTACTAGACGAAAATTGTGGGACTCCGCGAGGTTCACCTCAATCGATTCACTGATCGATCGATCGAAAAGAGTCGGTGGAGTCATCGCCGACGTGAGCGGGACGAGACTCAGTCTTATTTTTCGAACAGAGCTTTCGAGGAGTTCGACAGAGATTCGTCTGTGAACGTGGCTGTTCTCTACGGTATCGGAGGGACATTCTGCGCAGGTTACGACTTGGAGGAAGCGTCGAGGGCGGACCAGAAGCTTATGGAAAAATTCAAAACTCGTCGTCCCATGGTAATTGATCCTCTCTCCCAGATCTACACATGTAGAGCTTTTTCAAAGCTCGGAACTTCTAGTGCATCTTTAATGTACGGTGAAAGCTGTCTAATGGGACCAGCCGCGGTGCACCGGAAAAGCGGTCCGACAACTCAGGTGGTCCCATTGAGCAGGTCGACTGACATGGGAACGGATCGAGTCGGTCCCTTCAATGTGTGGTCTGATAAATTAGGTTCACCTCATAGGGTCCCTAGTCCCAAGCTCCTCCTCAGGACCCCTTGGAAGAGATCACTGATTATTTTGGGTCCCTTATGTGGATCCCTGTTACGCGGGCTCAGCTGTATAACTGTATAGTCATGTTCACCTTTCGCACGGTTTCGAATGACTTGGAGCAGTTTTTTTTTCTCTCCATCTCCTGCTAAGAACATCATCTTGCTGGGCTGGATCAGGAATGTCAGATGAATATCCATTCTCACACGTCAGGTCCCCGACGGCGACGCATTCAAAGGGAGCATCTCTCTTCCCGAACGATACAAGTGATCGAAGAACCTTGAATCTGAGAAAATCGCCTAAAGAACTTCTGATGAGAATTCTTTTGGGAAGACTTTCTACATGAGCTCTAGCAATCGCGCGATGCTCCCGTGTCGAGCGTTTTATTCTCACCCCATATATTCGTTGCGACCGCGCTTCAATCAATGGCGCTCGCCTTCCTCAGGGTCCTAGCGGAATGTTGACCTCGAAGCCGACAGTAGCAGCTGTCCAAGGTTTTGCGGTGGCTGGAGGTTTGGAGCTTGCTCTCTGGTGTGACTTGCGAGTCATGGAAGAAACAGCCGTCGTTGGCGTTTACTGTCGAAGGTTAGTTTCCGAATAACCTGTACTTTCCGGAAAGCGTTGTTCGAGCTCGTCGGCTCGGAATAGAATAGAGGTATATTGCTTGAAGATGTTGTCTTCCCAGGTTCGGCATCCCTCTGATCGATGGGGGCACGGTGCGTTTGCCGAAGCTGATCGGTTTGAGCAGAGCGATGGACTTGATTTTGACAGGTGAGCGCGTACAAGATCTAGGCATCGATTCGTGGGACGTGGGTCAGTGGATTCCAGCGTCCTCTGGAATCCTCTTCTCCGTATTCGATATTCATTTCCACGAAAAAATTAGAACGAATGGAATTCACAAGTTTCCATAATCGAACCTCTTCTCGGCGATACGAATGCTTCATCATTTCCAGGACGACCGGTTGATGCGCAAGAAGCTCTGCAAATGGGTTTGGCCAACCGCGTTGTGAGCTGCGGGACGGGACTTGGCCAGGCAGTCGACTTGGCCCACCGTATCGCGAGATTCCCACAAGAATGCGTGAAAGCAGACAGAATGAGTGCTTACCATAGCACTTTCGACGCGGCAAACATGCAAGAAGCCCTAGACTACGAATTTGAACACGGGAGCAAGATTCTCGACACAGAAAGCAAGACAGGTTCTCATTCCAATCTTTTCTTGGCTATGCACTTGAATGGAGCGAACGATGGACAACTGAGGCCGAGTCTCCTTTCAGGTGCGAAACGTTTCTTGGAGGGATACGGGAGACATGGGAGCTTCAATATGGTTAATCCGGTCAAATCCTGAATTCACTTCAATCCCCATCTCAATTCACCGAGGATGACGGTGTTCGCGGAGCTCAGGGTTTCAAGCGAAGCCTCAGCGACGGCAGCCAGGGATTGAGCTGCTTAGGTATCAGTCAAGCGTAAGATCGCATTCGCCACGGACACAACCGATACTTGAGAGGACCCGACTTTCTGTAGAACTAGAATGGGTCATGGAATCCTGGTTCTTGATGTCAGAAGCACGATCGACGCGAAGATCCATTACAGTTCGGACGGGCATGAAGTTTCGCGAGCGAAATTCAAAACATCAGTCGTCGCGAAGGCCTTCTCCGACATGGAGCAATAAAGATCGAGAAGAATAAGTACAATCAAGTTTATTGATCAAGTTTAATGTTGGACATCGTAACAACGGAGATAAAGGACGAAGTTATTTACAGATAGATAAGGCTTGAGGGAAGAGTCCGAATAGATCCATTCCCATTCGAGAAACATAGATAGCAGTGATTCGCTTCAGAAGTGGGAACCGTCTGCTTTTCTTGCGGAATCGATTTCATTCTTCGCTCCCTCGTCGTCGTCGCTGTCGTCGTTCTTTGAAAGGGAATGATTCTCAAAATAAATACGTTCTAGCAATTTTTCCGAGCCGATATACAACGAGAACAAAAGGAATTTCAAAATTATCCAATGCCTACTGATTCGTCGTTTGCCGTCAGTGTGCGACGGTGCCGGCGTGACCAGGGGCGACATTTTTTCTTTCATTTGGTCGTTTCCGATTTTTTTTTGTTTTGCATTCGAAATGGAGAAGCTAGGTACTCATTGTGTGTCGACCCTTGTAGAAACGAAACGGTTTGGCAAAATTTAAATAATAACACAGTGGAGGAGGATATGACACTGCGCTGTTCCGCCTTGGGACGAGCTACGTCCTCCTACGCCGGAGGTCTTCACTTGTCGGCAAAATAGTTTTGTTGTCAACGAAACAACAGAGCTTCACTCGTGTCTAGATATTTTCTGCCAAGCCCTTCGAATACTGACTCCTGTCGGATTACTCCCGGTAGTACCAGACACGGTGTGGAGAAACGTTGCTCTCGGCATCATCGAAATCGTTCGAGTAGGCGCCTCCTCCCCGACGAGGAGGGGGGGTTTGGATGGGAGCTGGAACAAACAAAGAAAAATTAGCCTACGAGATGCGAGCTGCGTGTATATGATTCCACGCATGGGGGTACATTGAGGTGTCTGCCGAAAGCCGAGTTGACCCTTGATATCAACTCTTCTCAAAGCTCTTTTTTCTACGCAACTTGTCGTAATTAGTAATTAGAAATCATCTATGTGAAAAATTTCGCACTATAAAACCGCAGTACCGAGTTTTGAAAGTTAATTCGAGGGACACTTGTCTCCTAAAGGCAGCGGTAGCTATTCCAGCGGGTCAACGGTGTGGATGTTATCAAGCCAACAAAGATGATAACAACTCTCTTAATTCGCGCGTGTGATCTTACCAGGAGGAGGAGGCGGTCTGACGACTGGTCCAGGAACGAAGGGACGCTGAGTCACGCGACCCTGAGAGATGACGCGAGTGTTGGAAATGGGTGCCCGAGTCGGAGCCGGTGCGGGAAGCGGGGCTGGAGCTGGAGCGGGAAGAGGCGCGGGAACCGGAGCGGGCCGGGGCGTTTGTCGTGGCTCTTCCTTGTAGAGGTCATTGTTAAGTCCGAAATACGATGAAGAAGACTGACAGTCAACATTGGCCCACCAGTCGCAGACGAAGTAACGCTGATTGAAGATTGTTCCCACGGGGCAAAGGAATGAGTTCTTTTTGCCGTCGGCCTCGCAAACGTGGAACACCTGAAAGAATTCACTCTTGCTTCGAATTCGACCAACACTTGTCCTACCCACTCCATTGTGTCCTTATTCTGGATGAGGCTGAATTGACCTCAACTTTTCTGGAATTCCCTCTTCAAAACCGACCGGGCGATCATGTGATAATTGATGAAAAGGTCGATGGCGAAGAGCCGAAGGAGGAACACAATCAGAGTGTCAAGACGCGTTAGACAATGTCCCTTATTCGGGTGCAGAGAGAAATGACCCACTCAAGTCGATGGTGAGACCGCAGTGGTCTTGAACAAGCTTGCAAGGGAAGCCGTCACGGTTCGATCGTGGACGCCGGCTCAAGTTAAATGAACACGATTCTTCCTGAACCGGCACGAGGGAAAAACTTCTGGTTCACTCCTATTAAGCTCATTTTCTTCTGGCATTTGTGCATCTCGCATACGCTGTTCTTGACGAGTAGTCTGCGTTTCATGAATCTATTGCAGCATAAAAAACAGCGGCGTCACTACTCAACTACTCTAGCAAGGTCAGCGGCGTACGAAGAAGCCTGATGGATTTTTGACGCTTACGAATTTCTTGTTTTCTCGGCTAGAGGGATTCGCTGACAGATGCGAAGCGCTGAATGATGGAAGTACTAAGCTGAAGCAGATCGCGCAAAGCAGTCATCTTCTTCAGCCTTCGGAAGTAATGATATCGATCTCGAGCTCAGCTCTAAATCCATCTCTTTTCTAGACGCTCAGTAATAATTCTTGGTGCGCGGCTCTTGACGATTGCACATCATCGCGGTCGCATAGAGTCAGATTGAAGAAGCTCACAAAGCTCATGAGCTGACAGAGCGAGCTTTCGCAATGATTACCATCAAAAGGGAGCACAGAGGAATTTTGAAGCTTTCTGACCTGACAGCGAGCTTCGGTGTCGGCGTAGTATCCGGGTGCTTGTCCTTTGCAGTCGAAAGACGTCTGGGGAATGGTCGAGTATGTGGGGTAATCGGATTCGGGTTTTCCAGGAATGGAGTCCTCTAGACGCCAGTTGGCAGGATCGTCGTAGTCATCTGTGAAGAAACTCCTTGAAGCTCAACTTATCACTGGAAGCTTTGCGTGAGCCGCGTAATCATTCTAATCAATGCGTCGTTGAATATCGGTATGCGTGGCCGCATAATAACTTCTTGGCTACAAGGCCCATCACGCTTGGACTTCGACAGTCTCATCTAAACCTGTTCCAGCGCTACGGATAACCGATTTCAATCGATACGGAATAGGAAAAAACGTGATCAATATTCAGAAAAGAGAAAAATTCCAATTTTTCAAGCTGCTTACGGAGATCCAAAGGAATCTTGTGCTACCGGAGGTCAAGACTATTTCCAGCGTCGACAACATGGGATCGCTTGCCAAATGATGAAAAATACGCTACTCGAGGCAATAATTAAACAGGCTTTCTCCTCGCACAGGAAATCCCTATCTAGATGACGATGGGAGCACCTGACCCCGACAAGAACAACAAGAAAAAAAGGGCTCCAAAAGCAAGTAACAAATCTAATTCACCCGTGTTCATCTCCGCGGCCGACACCGAGGTTCTCGGAAAATGACTCTGTCGGTGTAGAGAAAAGACCACGTCTAATGGGGTCCCCGGGCCGAGAACGAGCGGGGAGACAAAAGACAGCTCTCGTCAAATGAATTATTCGTCTGAATGCTTTTTCCCAACTCCAATGAGAAAGGCATTAGTATCGCACGGATTTCCGAAGAGGTCGTAGCGGATTAATGTTCAGCAGTCTTCCATTTGCTGATCAGCTGCTTCTATTTGCTCATCGCATCATTCATTCATCCATTTGTCCCCATTCACTGCGGTCCGATTGAAGCAATCGCCCTGAGCCCCTCGTCCGTTATAGAGAAGCATATGTGACGACATAAAACGTGCGCTATGTCCACCGCCATGAAAAACCCGGTGGAATGAGCGATCAATTAACGAGAAGAGGCGATTGAATGCCTTTCGCAATAGCTACTCGCGGAGCATGTATGAGCGAGACTGGTTTCAGTGCACACAAGATACTTCGCATGAACTGACCCTCAGTCGCAGCGGTGCCATTCGCGATCACAACTCAACAAGAGTAGACACAAAAGCTTACGCAACCGCTCGATGCTCAGAAGCAATATTCTGATTGCATCCGTTTACGTGAAGCGCACTAGAACAATGCCGCCAATATATGTATTTACCTCCTCCATGACCAGGTTGCGGAGCCGGGGCCGGAGCCGGAGCTGGTCGCTGCGTCGGTCGGAGCACAGGCGCCGGTGTGGGTTGAGGACGAGGCTGCCTTGCCTGAGGGAGCAGATTCGTGTTCCGTTGAGGCGGATTCGTGGGACGGTACGCGGGCTGGTCGTCCCAGGAAACGGTATCCTCTTCATCCGGAAGCTCGGGACGAGCGTAGCCTTGACGTTTGGAGAACTGTAAAACACATAGTTGACATCATCATCGTTGTCGTCGCCGTCGTACTTCAACGAGTGCCTTCGCCACCGCAGAAACACCATCCGCGACACATCCTCAAGAACGTAGCATCGTGCATCGCTGAGCGGTTCAAATAGAACGTCGAGCTGAAATCGTGGGAGTCCAGTTTCTGGGAACACGGTGGCGGTGTCATTCTTTATCAAAGGATGTTTGTCTAAACTTTTCTGCAGCTGATCTCTCAGCATTGCGGCTGAAGATGCGTTTGATGACAGGACACTTCCCCCGTGACGAATTTGATAATTCGAGCCAGAAGTTGAGACATACGATTCTTGCCCCCGGGACATCCGAGGACACGCGTATGGTGGAACAATCGGACGGAAAATCAGATAATCTCGGTGCGTTCCCCGGAATGACACTGTGCGTCGACGCACAGAAATCAATCGCTATGGCGTTCGTATGTTTGCTCATGCGGCGGCGAATCGTAGGGAGTGAAACAGCCTTGACTCGCGCATGTCAGCTAGAAAATCCGCGTGGGACCCAGCGGTCAATGTTGTTCCTTCCTCCTCGAGGAGTGATCAATGTTATAATGATTCTGGTCTGTTGTTCCCCGCTTTCAGAAAATGGAAATTGTCTTTTGAGAAACCTTGTCGATGAGCACGAGAAACGAATTTATAGACGAGACAATGATGACACCGCCGAGATGATGACCATTATATGGCTGAAGAAACTTCGATCACCGTCGGTATCGAAGTCCATTGCGAGCTTCCCAGATACCAAATCGCGTACAAATATTCGGCACCACTCACCGAAATCTCAGATCCGAGCTATTGCAATCGGTTTCTCTATGAACTTTTGATCGATGGGATCGTAGACAGACAAGATCGTCCATTGAGAAATCGAAACGAGGGACGACACCAGCCTCCAAGGCAGAAGTCCACATTGACGATCGACCGCCACGCCGGGAACGACCGAAACGACCTAGAGCTGCCCACTTGTCCTAGAGTCACTTGAGCGGAATTCGGTGTAGGAAAAAAAACAAAAAGCGACCAGTGACCGAGCCCTGCGATTTTCATGAGAAAAGGGCTTCAGCTCCAGTGACAAACTGAGGCTGGATTGCTAGCGAGCGGGAGTGCTGGGGAGCTCTAGTCAGATTGAGAACAAACAAAGAAGCCGACAACATTATAGCTTGCTAGCAAGCCAGCGAGCCAGTCGACTAGCAAGCCGTCCACCTTAGTCGACTCAGGCTCATACAATGTCCGGCTGTCGCGTCGGACAAGGTAAGATGAGCATTTAAAATAATTATAGAGAAAGAAAATGCTGCACTGCTCATGCTCCTGGACAGACAGGAGCAAAAATCTGCAGTGGCGTGTATTGCGACTAAAACAATGGGAGGACCGAGAGGTCAGTGAACAAGGTTATTCTTGAAAAAGCTTCACATACATCTCCGAGACGAGTTTTCTCGTAGGTGTTCATAGTCGATAATGCAATCGAGGGTAGCCGCCATCAAAAAAAAGCCACCGAAGGCTCAAAATCGTCACAACGTATTGGAGAAAATTCCCCTCGCTGATCTTACGAGTCATAAAGAGATCTCGAGGAAGGGCTTGCGCGCGGAGCCTCCCGGGGGCGATTTCCTTATCGACCCCGTGACAATACGCGAGCCGATAATAATCATTCCCTGCGAGCAGCTCCTGGCGCAGGCTCTCGGAACCATTAATGTGTCAAGGGTTATCGTTCACCGTCCGGCCGTCGCTGGCCGGCTGCTTGTTCCCTTTTCTGCAGTCAAGGTGAATTAGTCACTCCTGTACATTACACCCTTAACGACCCCACGTCCGCTCTTCAGCGGATCGTTTTGTTTGCTGAATCACATGCAGGTGTTGCCGCCGACGGCAGGCTCTGTCATTCGCTGACAGGAGACTGCGTGGACAAAAATTGAACGTTTCCAAGGGGAGGAAATCGCACGCAGCGACGACTGGGGATCGATTCCGATCACATCCACTCAGCGCCCATCTCTCAAACGAAGTCCTGGCATTCCCTCCTCTCGCTTGGCAAGTCGTTCCGTCGTCGTCGTCGTCGGCCAGATCGCATGCCCTTTTTTCAGTGTCAAAGGCCACTTGTGCAACAATGCTGCCATGGGCCACGACGAAATCACCGATGAAGCAGCGGGACAATCAGAGGATCGGTTTGTTCGAACTTGGGGCTTACATCGACTCCCTGCCGTTCCGCCGCTCAGCTGGCCGTAAGCCCTCGGTTCGCCCTCACATAGCGTTCCTCGTCTTCATCATCGAAGTGCTACCAGGCGCCACGCCGCTCGGTGCGCGCGCGCGCGAGTTCCGAGCTGTCGCACGCGTCAGCGTGAAGGGAGACGACTCCCAGAGAGCGGGACGAATATATTCTCTGTCGACCGCGACGGAATTTCTCAACGATACTGATATTTATTTATTTGACGGGAGGTAGGCAGTTCTCGGAAGCGGCTCGCTCCGCCAGCCATTGTCAAAGAGTCAATTGGTCAACAAGTCATCGCGCTTCTTGTACGCCCATTCCCGAGCCGACCGAACGCCTGTTTGTCCGTCTGAGTGAGTAGCGAGCTCTTTCAAAAGACGCATCGTCCACAGACGCGCATGGCACGCGATGGATCGAGGTTCGAAAAATCTCAGAACAAATTGTCTAACACGGTGAGGATGATGTTGTTGTGTGCCAACATCTTGTCATCCATTGTTGACCCCCAATCTATTGTGAATTAGATAGCCTGACCGGACCTCCTTGAGGATCCAAGATGACCTCTCCGCTATGGACGTTGTGTTTGCCCAACTTGGCATCGATATCCGGTCGTACGAACGTCGACGCATCATCAAGCCGAGAAAACACTCGCACCTCATTGTGTTGTGTTACGAGCTTGATTGTTGCTCGCTGCGTCGATATAATGATCTACAAAACTGGAAAGCTTTCTGTGAAGACTGTTGGTTCGTCCGTCCGGCCGTCCATTGGGAAACCGACCTAACTGCCTTCATCAGACTGGCTTTGTGTCTTTGGCGTACAGCACGCGAGCCAAGCACTCAATGGAGGCGCAACGAGCGAGTCTGTCCGTCGCAAGAACGTCATATCGTGAGAGATTCAATCGTCGCCGCCGCGAGCACTGAAGTCTTTGTTGTCCACTCCATCATCTAGTGATCACTTAAAATCCCTACTCCGACTCACCTGGTGGAAGTTGTTGTGTGCTGCGAAAGCTGCCTGACCGCTAACGGCTGGAAGAAGAGATCTCGATTGCTGATATGAAATTAGATAGTTCCCCGAGTCGAGTTCGGAGTGCTTATTAAAACTGCGTAATCGCGACGGCAACCAGGAAACTAGCGTTCGCGACGGTAGTTCCTAATCGACGCAACTGGCATGTTGTGCCGTCTTCAATGATGGAATAGAGGTGACGTGCTAGATTTTGAAATCGACTCGGAATCAGGAGCCTTAGGGGATGAGATTCGAGTCAGCGTTTGGACTCAGCCAACGAACGCATTCCCCGAGAGAGGAGTGAGCGAAGAAAGAACAAATGCTGTGATCCTCGGTCGAGACGCAATTTACGGCTTCATAACGGTATGATAGTTCAAGGAAAGATGCCGAGTGCCAGGAAATTATTCAAATGCTGCTCAAATCGTGGATTGTGGGAAGTAGGTATGTCGAATTACGGAGAGGCGCCAAGAAGCATAACGAGACCTTGACGGGGATGCAGGAAGATAGAAATGCTACAGACGACGGAAACAATCAATATCCCCCCTTCTAATCTATGCAGAGAGTCATTGAATCATTACTCACCAACGACGAGGGCGACGGCGAACACTCTCATCGCTCGCTGTTCTGTGGAAAATATTTCGGTACTAAAATGCAGAATTTTTACTCAGGCCTCCCGCTTGTGAGCCCTGACATTTACCCCATCGGGGTTTGAGATCTTAGGAAGACTCGGACATAAAATTGGAGAGTTTCTGAGACAAGAATCGGCAGCGTCGTACTCCTCCACAATCGAGGGGAAATAAGAGTCCTCGGACGGGAACATCGATGCAGAGACTCCTCATTCCAAAAAACAAATCTTCAGTCAGGGATAGAATGCTTGCGTGGAAGGAGAGATGTTCTCGCACAAGGGACGTTCAGGAGCTCCGGGGGTTTCCCACGAGCAACAATCCACAGCACTCCTCCGACTATGAGTGCGTATCGGTCCGGTGCATTCCAAGCCGGGAAACCTGCTCCGACGATCACTTATATCCCTCCGTGAGGAAGCACTGGCAGTTCTCGGTATCCATTGGTTTCGCGCAGAGACGCATTCGTCGCTTACCTCAGAGTAGTAGAACGAAGAACGCCACAATACACGACGACAACACGGTACGCTACGGGGGTAGACCGGACAACACACAGTGGCTAAGGGACACAAAGATTTTATAGCACAACACTGATGGGAAGAGTGAGGCTGGAGGGATGCGCTGAAGAGCGAGGGATGCCACAACCAGCCGACAGAAAGAAGACGGCGCTGCGCGAAAGCGAGCGGTCGCCCAGACAGCCGGACCGGATCCCCTTGCCATCTTCATCCGTGCTTCAAGATTTGCATACTCCGTCTCGGAGCACGGATGAGCTCTGAACCCATGACATCAGCGTCCAAGAGGACAATGAATCTGGAGATAAGTTATAGAGGTTTTCTCGTATGAGGGGGTCGAGAGAGAAGCCCAAGACATAAGGGAAACCCCTGACTTCAGAGGAGCCGCCATGGAGAGGGATCCGAGGTCCGGCTCTATATCACCTCCTGAATACTTTCGTCCACTCATAGAGTCTTCCGAAAAAGTCCCAGAGAAACGTGCAGCTCCCTCCCGCCAATCCTTCGCCTGTGGTGGACTAAAGAGGATTTTATCGATCCCCCATCCTTGTATCCTCAGATACTTTCATGAGTCCTTGTCCCTCTACTTCCGATCCGCGGCGATCTGCTCCAGAAAACGCGACGAGGTTAATCCGAATTCCTTCGCGTGGCGACCTTTTTGGTCCGAGAGGAGCAATGAATCTTCTTCTGACAATCCCAATATGAGAAAGCTCTCTTCGATCAGGGCAGCCCGGCCGTCTTGCTCCCGTAAAGCATCGAACACATGGAAGGCCCGGTAGCGCAGGCAATATGTCCCAAGGGTACTCATACGGAACGTCCTCGTGGAAATTCTAGCGAAATTCAAGATTCATCGAGTACCGGTGGAGATGGCATGAGGGATCCTCCCGAGAGGCTCAG